GTTTTTAATCTTACAAAATAGTGCAATCATACGTCGTCCTAGATCAGCTAGGTTTCGACCTGAAAAAATAGTTGTCACACAACAGAGGGCGCTACTCACCTACGTCGATGAGTAAAACCCAAAACATACTATGAGTAAAACTCCCGAATCAACCTCGTCCCCAGTGCTTACTTTATTTCCAAAGTTGTTTCCAATAGTAAACCCTGGAAAGGAAACTTCTTTCCTGCATCCTGATTCGATACCGCATTTGGCTAGAAATGGATTAATATCGTGTACTTGGTGTTTTTTTTCACAACGTGCAGTACGTGTTTTCGCGATCATTCGTCCACGCCTTCTCGAAAATATTCATTTTCTTTCCAATTTGTTAATATTAATATGAAATGTGATACTGCATGTTGTCTCGTTAAGATCGTAACAGTTTAAAGGGAAAATACAACATTTGCAAACATCAAAAAATAAAAGTACCAAATCGTTTTGAAATACCTTGCTGGACTGTTAGTGAATGACAGTGTAAAGCATCCTGTAAAATCATGGCACCTGGAATACTGTCACTTTCAAGTAAGGTGGTATTTTGGTATCAATTTTTTGCTGGTCGTTACACACCTATGAACGGGTACAAGCCAGCTAGACTGCTGACCTTACAATTTCCCAGTGTATGTAAACTGCTCTGTTTCTTCTTATATGGAGTCAGGGAACCAGACTACAGGGAAATGATTGTTTTTCTTGGTTTTTATAGCATTTTCGAACCCAAATTCCAAAACCTCAAAAAAGTCAGTATAACTATCATGACTATCATGACTATATTTGTTATATTTCCAACCCCCCAATTCCATCCATTTTTGAAAATTACAGCAAAAGCAAATGATGTATAGGCCTATTCCCTTTAATTAAAATAAAATCATGTTTTCGTAACTCACGCTGGTCTTCTCATTTACAGAAATAACCACCACAACTCCAGCAGCAACTACTAGTACTAGCCTACAAAAGGTAAACATTGATTTGGACTTTGTGCGACACATGCGCAGGATTGGTTGAAATCACCCCAGACACCGCAAACAAAAACAAACGTAAATGTAACGCACAGGTAGGACACAGACTACTCCTAATTTGCATACGTGTTCAAAAATCTTGCACATGCAAATGATCCAATACGAGAGAGCAGGTAGTGGTGGGCGCGTACTGCTCGACACCCTGGGGACGAGGTTGCTCCCGAATGGCAAAATGTGCATCGTTTTGACAAAGATGCACGTACGGAACATATTTAAAGCTATAGTCCATCATTTGCAGCCATCCGAAAAGTAACTGGCGTAATTATTGTTGAAAAACAAACTTGGTTGAAAGATAGTAAGTGAACTAAACTCCCTGTGAAATTATTCTTTCTGGGAAACTGTAATTTTGAAGTAATCAACGAAAGAAGGCATTTCCAACGGTGATTCTTAAGAAGCACCGTAGGAAAATTTAAATTAGTAGTTCGTTTTGTTATTCAGCGCAGCGCGCACAAGTATTGGAACGACGCACACGCGCGCGCGGTTGTTATAATTCGTTGGATCAGTGCGCTACGTCGCGTATAGCTGCAATTCAAAACAATTCATAACATGATTCAGTAACTTTTGATTTGAAATTGAGATCTTAGAATGCTGTTTTTCTCGGAATGTACAGCTGAAGCTTAGCTGAAACTTCATCAGGTTAGTTGCTCAGTATCCTTCATTAGATTTTGAACTCTTTTGTTGCTTCAAACGAACAAAATGCACAAATTACAAATGATGGACTGTAGCTTTAAAGGGAATGTACAACATTTGCAAACATCGAAAAATAAAACTACCAAGATTTTACGCAATACCTTACTAGGATGAGCGGCCGCACCAGCGTTGGAAAAAACTAACTATTTTTCAACTACTGCTCCAAATTTACCATTTTTTTTTCAGTCCAAGTTTTGTTTGCTATTGGTTACATGCAGGCCAGCTAGACTGGTTCCCCTGCCTTACAATTTTCCATCATCTATAAATAGATCCATTTTATCTTTTGTGGAGTCAGGGAACCAGACTACTTGAACATTTTAGTTTTTCTTGGTTTTTCCAACCTTTTCGAACACCAAACTTCAAAAATGTCAGTGTAACAATATTTGATCTATTATACTAACCTCTCAAAAAGTTTCCGAAAATTACAGCAAAAGCCAATGATGTACATTCCCTTTAACATGGTAAATGGTCGCATTTGAATTAATTTTCAATAATATTTTTGATGATGATTGAAGAAAATAGATGATATCTGGGTCATGTATGGTTTAAACCACTGGTACTACACACCCCGTGAAATTTTCGTCTGGCTTGCTGTCATTTAGAAGAAGAAAAGCCAACTTCGAACGATCAGTCCATTGACTGATTTTGGAGAATAAATCGTGAGTCGTGCCAAGGGCGGATCCAGAACACAATTGGGGGGGGGGCCAAAAAAAATTGGTCCCCCAAAAAAGTGGGTCTAAAAAATTACAGCGTAGGGTTCGGGGCCCGCTGAAGGGCCCCGAATTTTTTTTGGATTCTAGATGCTCTGTGGTGCGATCTGAGGCAATTTCTGACCACTTAACCCACTTTGGTGCGCACGTGTGGTCTAGCGGTGGAGCACAGGATTCGTGATCAAGAGGTTGTGGGTTCGACCGTGGCCATGCGTGTTCTTGAGTAAGGCACTTTACCTCAATTACTCCTCTCAACCCAGGTGTTAAATGGGTACCGGCAATGGATACCACCTAGCTCCGTCCAAAAATAAAATAATCATACAAATTCCTAAAAAATAAGTCGAACCCCCCCCCCCCCCCGCCGCTGTGACACCCCCCCCCCCCAATTATACTGGTATAATGTCCGCCTGTTCAAAATACGATACCCATTCTGTAATCTAGTGTTAATAATCGTCGAATTTGAACAGCACCCCCTATTGAAATATGGTACCAGCCCCCCCCCCCCCCCCCCCCCCCGGCCAAGTGACCGGAGAAAAAAACAACCTGTGTACATTTTAATAATTTTTTGCTGATGAACCCCCCCCCCCCCCTGCGAAAATTCCTGGATCCACCCCTGACTCTGTATCATGTTACGCGATAAGCGCCAGGCTGTTGTTGTCATTACAAAACACTGCATTAGAATTTACCAATCAAACCATTTAGTCCTGATTTGGGAATGAAATGACGTCACGATTTATTAAAGTCGACTCCGATTGGCTGGCCCGCGGCTTGCATGTCTAGACATATCAGACGTTATACAGGAGACTTGCTCCGTGGATAACGGGTTGGGCTAGCACCCCCCCCCCCCCTTTGCCCCCCTCCCCTCGCGACACTCATTGTGTGCATGGTCTGTCACTGTTTTCTTGAAAGTGTAACATCCACCGAGCTGAACATTTTGAACATTCGTCTTTATTACGAATAACATGCATGAAAAGCAAAATGATCACAATAACAACATGGGCTTCTCTTGCTCGATTGGCATCTACCTACTTTTGCAAGGATTTACATGCAAATATTTCCGGAATTAAGTTAAACGAGTGAAGAAAACGAATTAAAAATAAATTTGTTCCCCTTTGCTCTTCAATAAGTCGTTTCTCTCTCCTTCAGTCTTTTATATTAATCCCGGGAATCATTGCATGGAAATCGATTTCGCCCAAAACTCTCTTGGCCTACCAAACAAAATCAGTCTATTATTGACTGATTGTTGGAGATCATCACTATTTCTTGTAAGTATTTCTAGGGCAGTAAGTCAGACGGAATCATTTCACGAGAAGTTTGAAAAGTACCAGTTCGATCTTTTTGTGTGCATTAGAGGCCTTTTTCGGAGGGTTAGAGACGCCCAAAATAGAGAGATTGTGAAAAAATCTAATGCACAAACAATCCCATGAATTAATGTCGGGCCGCAAATCATGCGGCACTTTGGTATTTTTTTTTTTGGAGTAGGGCATAGACGCTGGCAGATCAGTTATTGTTCGATGTCCTGCTCCAAAAGTGAGTTATTTTTTCAAAAGGGCCGTTCCCTTTCAAACCATTCACACTCAAAAAGAGGGCATTTCTCTTGAAATAAATGAATAAAATAATGAACTAACCATTCTAGTAAAATAAATGTTGAAAAATGAAAGATTTTTGTCACCAGCATGACATCAGCATGACATCCAAAAAGGTCAGAGTATAAGGTGCAGTTTTGCGTCACGTATACATAAATCCAGTTTAGGCCTGTTAACATCCGTTACGTTAATTTTTTTTAATAAAAGAACGTGGCCATAGTGGAGAATGAAACTGTGTACGGAGTTCTTTCCTAATAGTTTACATTAAGAAAAGATGGGATTTTTGTCAATATGAAAAGTAAGATATTAGGCCGTGTTTAAGTTTTTGGCCATGACTTGCATATACACATGCGCCTATGGAAGCGGCTAAAGCCACTTGCTCTCGAAGTGTGTGCTTACTGCCAGCTAGCCGTAGGCACTGAATTAGGATGAACCAGCCTGTTCCTTATCTATAAGCATATAGACCAATCTGGGCACGCTGCCAATTCTATCACGGAGGCCCCCTTCAATGGCGAAAGCACTGCGCTAGCTATTGTTAAGATAATCCGTCACTATAAGCAATTGCTTTGTACAATACTGTGCGCAATGGTTTTTCCATTAAAGGAGGCCTCGTGAATATACAGTAATCACGTGCCCATATACACTGTACATGTACATGTATATACAATAAAATTATCAGAGTACTCACCACAACCTCCACGGCATGCATCTGAAAAAGTGGAGAAAAGAAGAGGGTAATTCAATCACAATCCACGGCCGTAATCTTCGACAGTGATGGTTTTAGTCATTCACAAACAATTCGAGCGCAACAAGCGCATGCGCTTGTAGCGCAGTAGCCGCTATCAGGGTATACAGCCGCAAGGAAACTGCCATGACCTTAGTGCAGTTCGTGCACAGTTGATGATACATACAGTGGCAAGCTATGTATCGAGTGTTATTTTTTTTGAAAACCACATAAGCAAGATTTTTGCTGATAGCTGGTGAAAGCCGACACTGGGATGTCCAGCCAGAGAGACTGACCAATAACACAGAGGAATCGAGTCTTAGGGACCGTCGGGCGTGCTCCAATATCGATGAGGTGTTCCATATTACCATAACTCTCAGTCATCAGATAAATAGTTGTGTGAGCCCAAACGTTAAACCTACCTGATGCTGGAAGACAAACGAGCACCAAACACAGAACGAACGGAGCGACGAGACTTGTCTTCGGTTCCATCCTGAAGCCTGGTTGTGGATTGGACTTAACTTGTGCGCTACTTTTATTACCACTCTGGGATCGACTACGCCCCTTATTTTTGTCTAGGCTAATTTATTTATTTTGGCATGTAGTGTGGCATTGTTCTGTTCGGTGGACGCTGATTTTCAAGCACAAACTTTTGAAGAAAAGTTTAGGTAGTATACTTCATCGAAAAAGCATGACGTCATGGAAACTGTGACCAATCACAGAAGAGGAGGGGAACTGCAGAGCTCCGGGTTCCTTCTCCGCGGGCCGGGACGAGCAGGCGGACACGGGTTGGACGTGTATAGACCATGCCGTGACTCACGGCCCTGGAACCTGCCCTACCCGCTAGTAACGGCTCTTTGTTGAGGGTTGCTCCGAGGGACATTCTGACCGTTACCTATCACTTACGACCGGGCAGTGTGCGCAAAAATCTGTTCTGTGCAAATATCTTTTACCAATTTACCAGGAACTCAGATTTCGAGTCCCGAGAGCGTTGTTGGGACATCCATTTGAGCAAACTCCAAGACTTTAACAATGAAGATTACTAAGATCATCTCCGTAATCTTCTGGCTCGTGGTCTCCTTACATCAGTCAGGTGCCGAGGATGCTCAATCCTCCTCCCCACCCACCTCATTACCAGGTCATCTCAAGCCCTTGGCTTCCGAGGCTATCCGTCTGCCCGTCTCAGTCATCCAGGACTTCCCTTCCCCTTACGAGTTCTTCCGCAGCTATGTCTACCCTTCCGTCCCCGTCATCATCAAGCAAGGAGCGAGGCGTTCGCCAGCCTTCCAGAAGTGGACCGACGAGTACCTGAAGAGCTTGCCCGAGTCCCAGCAGCTGATCAGAGTGGAGATGCGGAAGGTTGAGGAAAGACAGTTACCGAGGATGAACATGCCCTTCGCTGAATTCCTGGACAGATACCAAACCACCGATGAGTACCTTGTCGCAAGAGTCCCAGATTTCTTAAAGTGAGTGCTGTGACTTTAATGTACACAAAAAGACAGGTTTCTTCCTTACCTTTGTAACATCTACATTTGAGAATAAAGATATACATACACATGTATACTCTGCTATGATTTTCGTACCATATAAGTGTAGTTCACATGGTAGTGGTCTTCCTAAAGGGCCATCATTGTGTATTGTAAAAATTGTCATCGCTTTATTTCCCCGATATTTCTGTTTCATCTCATTATTCACTACCGTTTGTCGCTCATTTTGTGTTCACAACTAAGTATTCGGTTGGTGTTTATCAATGAAATTATGGAGTTTTCCCGGAGAACATTTTCAGAAAACTGTGACAGAGATGTTTTTGATCTATTACAGGAAAGATGTGCTGATCCCGCCATCTTTGCATTGTACTAACGTCACTGCTAATTTGCTGGAAACGGTAAGTGTGGGGGACATAGTCTAAAGAGAAAACAAAAATCCATCCTGACAGAAGAAGATGACGTATATATTGCATTAATGATTAATAATTGGCAAACCGACGGACGGACAGACCAAGTCCAACCTTTTACCTGATCAAGGGACAAATCAGCAAATCAACCAACCAACAAACCAACAACCCAGTGAGCGCTGTTTGCTTAAATTTCCAGAGATATGGACAAGGCATATAGGATCATTTGCATTTAGCCCAAAAGTTTCCCACCGAATCGTTATCAAAAGGCTTACATGGAGATCGTACTGTTACTAAACACCCCGCGAAATTATTTGCATCTGGCTTTTAATACTTTTAATACAGGAATATCGCAGATTTGTCTGACGAAATACCGATCTTCCTCCTATTGTCATGGATGGCAAGCCCATAACCAGGGTTCTCTCTACAAAATTCTTAGGCGTTCTCATCGATCACAAACTCTCCTGGTCCAACCACATCTCTCTTATTACTAAAACCATTTCTCGCAACTCTGGCGTCATCTCTAGGATTCGTCATTTTCTCCCCACGTCCTCTATGCCCCTCCCCTATGATACTCTCATCTTACCCTATTTGAACTATTGCAACATTGTCTGGGCTCGTGCCAGTAATACCAAGTTATATCCACTAAATATTGCACAAAAAAGGGCTGTTCGGATTTGCACTTTTTCATCGCCAAGAGAACATTGTTCACATCTATTTGCACAGTTAAGCACTCTTACTCTTGCTGATATTAATAAATTTCACACAGCTATATTCATGTACAAATTCACCAACAATCTTCTCCCCAGCACATTTTCGTCTTTCTTTTCTTCAGTACAAAACACCCATAGTCACTTTACTAGATCAAGCAGTAGCCTGTACATTCCATTCACTCGCACTCTTTATTCCCTTAACACTCTTCGGTACCATGGTCCCCGATTATGGAATACTATTAATCCCAGCATTAGAACACTGTCTTCCGTGGGGCGATTTAAATCACGGTACAAGAAATTCCTTCTGTCCTCGTATGTAGCATAGCTTCCCAACCTGATTTCTATGCATTTTCATCGTTTTTATTATTTTCATCATGTTAATTGTAACTCCTTCAAATTCATTGCTTTTCCAATTATTTACTCATTTTGTACGTTCATATCATGTCAGGTTAAGTAGTGTCACTTTTGTCTTGTCTGTATCTCGTTATAGTCTTGTTTTTCTGTTGTTATTGTTGTCTGTAAAGGCTGTTTCTTACAAGCCTCGGCTTACTCAAACAGACCCATACTCCTATTTTCTCCTGTGCATAAACCAAACTTAATTTTACACTTGTTAATAGCGCAGTATACTTTTATTACATTTGTTTGTGTGACACATTTATCGAATTCGTTATTTTGCTATGTACCAAAAACCTTTTGTTTATTGATGTATTTCTCTAAAGGAGTATGAAATAAATGTTTCTTGAATTGAATTGAATACTCTCATTTCCAAGAAATCAGACAATTGATTTTCGAAATAAAGAGTGCAATTGACGAAGTCGTGTTTCGTGATCAAAAGGTTTTGCATGGTTTTACTGTTTTATCGTAATGGGAAATCCAATGTGCTTAAACTTCATCAGGATAAGTTTTGAACATTCTTCTTTGGATTATGAGTGGTGTTATTACATGTATTCGAAACGAACACAAAATGCATGAAAAAATGATGCAATAGGTATATGCCTTTAATAAAAACTTGTTAACGTCTGCATCAAAAAATTAAATAACCCTTCGCCTTTTCTTGTGGGCAGATGCTGTGGTTTAGTAGCGGAGGTACCAAGTCCCACGTACACACCGACTACGTTGACATTATCAACTGTCTGTTCAGGGGCCAGAAAGACTTCCTCCTGGTCAACTACACCCGCTACAGACAACAGGTAAACATCAACAATTCATTGCCACTTGCCTAGGTTTGGGTTTTACTTTCTACACAAACATGTTCACTTAAGATCGACGATGCTTGTATGTTATTGCTTTTGATGGGGAATTTCCTGGTAAATACATTTTCTGCTTGATTTTAATGTGAAAAGTGGCTGAGTGGTATCGTGTTAATAAATGATAAAGGTCTTCTAATGTGTAATATTATTATAATATTTTTTTTTGGGGGGGGGGGGATTATTTTAGGCACTATTTAGTGTTTGGCTGAAGCCAATACCAAAATTAAGTGTGTCCAGTAATATGCTCTCGTAGATTGTGAAATAAAACTGCAAATTTTTGGCGACAGGTGAGGTACACCTTTTTTTTTCTTCAAATGAAGCATTTAATTTTAAACATCTCTAAAAGCGTTGAAAAATTACGCGTAAATTAAGTAGCTAATTTATAAGTTACTATTGCATCAACATTTCAATAATCGTTAATGAAATGGTTGCTTATTTTGTGAATTTTGATACAGCGTGAAAAAAATATTGATAATTGTCGTTTATTTTGAAAATTTCGTTAAATAAAGTAAATTATCTATCTGGAAAATAAATTACCTTTTGCAGCATGTATTATAGATTTTTTGACTTTTGGTGAATGTGCGGCTGAATACGCGGCTAGAAATCCGGCCAAATCCGCGGCTACCTTGAGCCAGGTCAAGTTGCTGTGAAAAATATTCACGCATGAAGTCGTGAATATTGCCGTCAATATTTGCGACATGGAGACCATGTCGTGAATATTGGCGTCAATATTGGCGCAAATATGGCGACATCATGGAGGCCATGTCGTCAATATTGGCGTCAATATTGGCGTCAATATATATGTGAGATGTCCCTTTAAAGCCACCATAAAAATTTGATTTTCGACAATTAATTGGAATTTAATATGCAGGTTTACTTGATTTAGGGTCGGATTTTCTGATGTATTGCATAATGAACACTACCTCGATATGTTTTTTGATCAACATGATCAAACGTTTTAACAATTTTACTGGTCGTCTTTGGCGCACCCCCTCTCCATAAAAAAATGCATCAATTTAGAATTGATGTGTTGGTTTCTTTAGCTTCCAGAATTTTCAATATAAAAAGGCGTTCATCACAAAGCTGCGCTTTTGGCAACAAGTTAGCTTTATCAATTAATGTCATCTTATAAATAGCTTCATGGTACTTTATTTTAAAGATTGTGTTCGATCATCCAGAAGGCTTCTACTCGAGTGTAGACGTGGAACGAGTCGACTTGAACAAGTTCCCTGAACTGAGGAACCTGGAGTTCCATGAAGCGAAAATGCAAGCTGGCGACTGCATCTACCTACCGTTCAAATGGTCAGAGCATTAACTCTTTGTGACTGATATTTTGAATTTTTCATATTTTGTAAGCAGATTACTTATTTCGCAGTTGTGTGCACATTAATATTTTCCTAAGATAATATTAATACTTTTCACATTAATATTTTCACAAAACAATGTATTTTTTTCATTGTCTTGTGAAAATACCACCATTTTCCTGGTTTGCATTCAACCGGTCTTTTTTCACTGAATTGCGTAAACAAAGTAATTTATAATTTCGACTGAGTTTGAGGAAACGTCGATTCCGTTTTCAAAACATTTAATTGCGTTTTATTTGAAAGCAACTTTACACTTTACACAAAACTTAACAAAAGCAAAACATTTGTCCCCCTTGCTTTTCATATTACATTTGGGGCGGAAAATATTTAGACCCAATTTTTCGGGAAACTAGAAAAATGTTGCCCCCCCCCCAAAAAAAAGAGAAGAAATTGTGGTCTGGATCCGGCCTTGCACATAGTAACTGAATAAGTTAAAATGTAGAAACAAAACACTTGCAAAAACAGTCTTGACTCCAAACGTAAGCAACACTCACTCCCTCCCTCAAACAAATTCTTATTCGTTTAAAAGATTAATAAAAAAATGACATGGGAGTTTTCTGAAATCGAGACGTTCTAATAGTTTATGGAATATCCCCTTGCACAGCAAGAGTCTAGATAATGGGAGCAGATTCGGCGATTAATTATGCAACAAGACTGCGTCTTCACCTCGATATTCTGACCATTCAGCGGGCGCCATCTATATTGGGTCTTCGGAAATACCCGTTTTGAAAGCCAATGTCAGGTTTTATTTGATCTCTATGCCCGTTGTTGTACAAAAACATGTTGATTGACCAATCAACAGCTTATTCCAGATTTCGGAATGAAATGATGTCATGTCGACTCCTATTGGCTGGTACGCGGGGTCGCGAAAATTTGCACACTTATTAAATACAACAGATGTTGGTCCGGAGACGAAGAGAGCTCCGTTGGACAGGGAAAATAGAAAATTTGTTAGCACTACGTAATGACATGCCATGGCACGTACTCGAGGCGATTAGAAGGAAACAGTGACATTGTTCTCGTGTTTGCGAAAGTCCGACAGCAAATTTGCAACAATTGTTTTTCCTTTTGTCTTCTATATGAGTCAACACTTGAAAACCTCAACATGTATTGTTGTATAAGAGGTGTACTTATTTCCCATTACTACCACACATGCCCCTGTGCATCATTTCTATGTCATAAGTTAAAAGTGAAAAGGGGGGGGGGAGAGACTGATTATAAAAAAAAAAACACGTATTAAACAATGCATATATACTCTAAAAACAAAAAACAAATAATAATTACACGATGGAGTGGTTAAAACAAACTACAAAACAAAACGCAAAACCACATTCTTGACTCCCAACGTTCTACGCAACCCTCACTCTCTCAAACAAATTATTATTCGTTTAAAAGCCTAATAAAAATGGCAGAGGATTTTCTATCTAATCGAAACGTTTAATAAGTTTATGGAATATCCCCTTACACAGCAAGGGTCTATTATGTGAGCAGATTCGGCGATTAATAATGCAACAAGACTGCGTCTTGACCTCGAGATTCTGACCATTCAGCGGGCGCCTTCTATATCTGGTCTTCGGTAACCCGTTTTGAAAACCAATGTCGGGTTTTATTAGATCTCTACGTCCGTTGTAAAAACATGGCATCCGATTGACCAATCGACAGCTTAGTCCAGATTTCGGAATGAAATGACGTCATGTCGATTCCAATGGGCTGGCGCCCAGGGTTCCATTAATTTGCATGCTTATATATATCAGGCGTTGGACCGGAGACAGAGAGAGCTCCGTCGGACAAGAAGAGATATACTCAGACTAACATTTTAGCAGGGAAAATAGAAAAATTGTCGGCACTGCGTAATGACATGCCATGGCACTCGAGGCCAAGGAAACATTGACATTGTTCTTGTGTTTCTTCTATTGAGTCAACACACAAACCTCAAGTGCATTGTTGTGCGGACTACTTATTTTTTCCCATTATAACCATACATGTCCTTATACATCATTTGTATGTCAATGACTTGTTAAATACGTGTGAAACTTGTCCTACTTCCAGTATCGGAATCGGTATTGGTCCATACTTCTTCTTTTTTCTTTTTTTGGCAGCTATAACTCTTGGCTGATAAATTACGATATTCACGTACTCGAAGTGATTAGAAGGAAACATTGACATTGTTCTCGTGTTTGCGAAAGTCCGACAGCAAATTTGCAACAATTGTTTTTCCTTTTGTCTTCTATTTGAGTCAACACTTACAAACCTCAACATGTATTGTTGTATAAGAGGTGTACTTATTTCCCATTGTTACCATACATGCCCTTATGCATCATTTCTAAGTCAATGACTTGTTAAATACGTGTGAAACTTGTCCTACTTCGAGTATCGGAATCGGTATTGGTCAATACCTTAACAAGCATGCTATTGTAGAGACTGTTGCTTTATTTGCTTGATCATTAAAAGCACTTATCTGCACTATTATTTTGTTTAAGAGATCAACGGTAGAAAGTTTTACAACACTCTCATAGTTATATATTGGTTACTGATTAAGTCTTTCTAGTCTTTGCTTATAGGTCTATGAACAGATCCAGGGTACATTGTATTCAAAATTAAGCGCCATTTCGGGGAATTGTTTTTGAAGTCCCTTGCAATCCTAAACGTTGCGAAACGCACTCGGTTCACATGATCCTCATTGTACACGCACCGCGTAGCCTGCGCCCTTGACGATCAACCAGGTGACTCCCTGAGTTGCCAAATGATTTGTGATGAAAAAGAAATAAAGTAAGGTTTTAACAAGATATAATGAGACATTCATATAATCTTAAAGTCCTTCAGAGTATTAAAACTTGAGTAATTATAAAGCAGTAGAAAATAATATAGGCATCTTCATTTGAATGTGCGTGGTTTTCAGTTTTCTCGAAAATCGTAATAATCACTGAGCTGAAATTTCAACGGGTCAGGATTTGAACATTCATCTTTTTTCTTCGGGTGATTTTATTATTAAAAAGGAACAACATGCATGAAAAGCAAATGATCCTATGTGTCCTAAAGCGCAATCTGTGTGTATGAGTTTGTTTCTGCATACAATAGGGGACGTTGGACAGTAGTACATGCCCAATTGGGATAAATCAACTACATGTGTATTTAGAATTCGTACCGTTTTAGAAGTGATTTCGCTAAAGATTGACCCGCAAGTTATAAGGCGTACCAAATCAAAAAATGAATGTCACCATGACGTTTAAGGCTTTTTTTATTATATGTATTTTATCTCCAATCACCGATTCAGGATTCATCAGGTGAATTCCTTCGGTAGCAACGTTGCAGTCAACATTTGGTGGAATCACCAGGCCTACGTCGTGCCTTCCCCGCAGTCCTGCGGCATGCCGGACCCGGGGCTCTCGCTGGCCGATGTCAGCTTCCCGTACCACGACCAGACGAACGGTGACATACAGACGGATCTTCACCCAGAACTGGATTTCTTCAGGGACCCGTCGTGAGTTTCATGGTTTATAGTTCCGCCAAATTCGCAGGGAATACTATCATCAAAAACAAAACATGTTTTAAAAAGATCACATATTTTTTAGCTGTCATGAGTTGAACATGTCAAGATACCTTTTTTTGATAATTGTTTCAGGGCAACTTTGACGACATTCATGGATGAAGAGGAGACAGATTCCTTGACAGAGGGGCAGTTTCTCGAATTTATGGACACGGTAACTGGAAAGCAATTAAGCATGTTCTGTTGTGATTTCTGAGGTCTCGATCCATCCTGAAATACATCATAATTAATGGTTTGAAACTTTTTTATTCTTTCAAATTAATTCAAGTCAAAATTACTTTGGACTCCTGTTTGACTTGGATCCACTCAGCACATCAAGTCAATAACTTTGCTTACCTGTCTTAAAGACCATTTGTGGAGTTTTACTTTGATCTTTACTCTCGGTTTCCCACACTTAGATATTTCCAGGACTGGACCAAGACGACATTTGGACCGCAGAAGCTTTGAAAGTTGCTCACCAGGTACCGGTATCTAACGTACATCTCAAAAGGAAAATTGTACTGATGAAAGAACTCTAATCTTAATGACATGGCTATATGAAAATAAGTGGTTTTATTTTCCTCTTTCTGATTTAATATGAAACCAAGGATTCCTCAAATGTGCTCTATAGGCATATAACTCACAAGCCTGAAGAAACCTGTAGAGAGAAGACAATGAGAAGAATTAGTTTTAGAGGTGGGATGAAAACCATGGAAGAGTATTCTGGGCAAAATCCACACGTGGTCTCAGCAGGAATCGAACCCGGGCCATAGCGGTGGAAGGCGAGGAAAGTAGTAACCAATGCGCCAACCTGACTCCTCGAAAGCGCGATACGATCGACTGAGATCGCTAGCAACTCGTGACTGGCTATTTGAGTTACGTTTGAAAAGACTCTGTACTTGTCTAAAGTTGTCTGGAACATCATGCAATAGTTCATCTGTTCGTCTGTTTATTCGTCGATCTGAATCGTATACTAAACCAGTGGACCAGAAAGTCCCTCTTTTGCAATGTTTGCCTTTGTGATTTGCTGTAATAGTTCTTGTACATTCACCCTGCTATGGCAGATATTCCAGATACTTGATGTTGATGATGATGGCAAGATAACGTCACGTGACACATCCAAGTTTCCAGTAGAAATCAACAAGGTACTCAATTTTTCTCTCAAAGAAACAGACGCTCACCCTTATGAATGCACCCAATCAAATAAATTCCTATAAGCAACAGTGATAGATGTCCATACTTCAAAGTTCTTGTTAAAATGCTTAAAACTCTCACAGGTGTTCAGGGCTGCACAGAAAAATGATGATTCACATGTCGTCTCTCATTTTCTTTCCAATATTTTGGTGGGTTGACTGAACCGATGACTTTTCGAGAAATTCTCACCCAAAGAAGACGGCCTAAAACGAGTGATGTTTCCCAAAGTGGAAAAGTAGCCACCTTCTAAAACGAGCCATCCACAACATGGCTAAATAGCGCCACTTCCGGGCCTGATTGCATCCAAAATGCTCAGAATTGGAAACCCCAAGTCTGGGCCAGAGGTGTATTGTCATCAGTCCTGATTGGTTTATTTCCTACTTTTTGTGTTATGAAAATGTGACGTGACCGTTGGTGGCAGGCGCAATGTTTGTGGAAATGACAGTGGGTAGACTTAAACCAGTCCTTCAGTCTACATTGTATTTTGTAACCCTGTGTATGTGTCACGCGTTCTTGCTTCATACAACAAAACAAAATTCGAGAGAATAAACTCCCAAGGATATGACTGATATTCGCCTTTATTTAATTCCCCAGTTTGACCCCCTTTCCATCAATCTTGGGCAGAAGATGATGATCTTAGGCGACATAATTGACGGCCAGATTTCGAAACAAAAACAGGTAGGGTACGACGTTAGTATGGATCCTTGAAAGTGAATTGATAATCATTGAAAAAGAATTAACAATACAATAATGTAAAATCAAAATTATTGAGTAAGAGGTTTTATGCATCTCATGTTCTCTCGTATTTTGCAGGAGATTTTGAGAAAGTTTGAGAAAGATATCCCAGAAGATGGCAACACACCGTCACGTGACCACAGCAGCAAGTTCAGAGGAACCCGTGATCAGACTTCCATGCCTAAACAGGAATTGTAGTATATCAAAGAAGCTTTCCCCGCGCCAGTTTGGAGATTAATCTCGAAAAATTGATGTTTTTTTTCAATTGCTATTTTAATAAGTCGTTCACTTTTGAATGAGACATCGAACGACAAAATACACGTAGGCCTACGTCTTATTACTGAATTATTCAAATTCAAATTATTAGCTGCTCAGACGATAATTAGTCTCCGTGCGCAAAATAAAAACCCATTTTTATAGGGTTGTAGACGCCCAAAATCGAGATACAGTATTTTTTTCGGTAAAACAAACAAATATTAGTTGAAACTTTGTTAGGAGGGGAAAATCCATTTTTTAAGAGCATGGGATAGCTTAGATATGCAACTTAATGAATTTTGAAGTTCTCTTGAAAATTGTAATAACTGTTACTTGCTATACCTTTGATACTTTTTCAATCTTTTTATGAGAAATCATTTCAGACGATCCAAAAAAACATCACTAAGTAATTTTTGCTCCTATTTTATGCTCCGACCTTCACTTTCCTAATGCTTTTTGTCAGACTTTTTTAATCACGACAACGCTACTCAAAATCGAGTCTTAGAAAGTCCCTATTGCACTCTTAAGATTACGAAAAATGATCTGCATGAGCGCTGGGCGTTTGCGTGGATATATACATAATGCAATCCTTTAGAGGCATAAAGTTGGTACAAAGCATTAACTGAAGCATGGTTTTCTAAATGTATTCCATATACTCGCATAATACTGTAGAATCCGGAGTTAGATGGGGAAGTCCGGTGTACTTCCCAGTGGGATTACAAACCCAGAGAGCACAATGCACCAAATGAGCCAAAACAAACATTACCATAAACAAGGAGAAAAAGTCTAAGGATTCAGTGCGAGGGTCAGTCAAAGCTGTTGTAAATTTGAAGGCAGAATAAATTTGTTGTAAACATAAAGTGATTAAAATATTTCCTTTGTAAACAAGGTGTATGTTAATTTTCTCATACGTGTAGGCCTTTGCTGGATATAACCCAATAATCCCTGACCGTAATAGCCCATCAATAACATTTCCGTTGACAAAATCCAAGTACAAAAGCTTTAAATGCGCCGTTAAAATGCATTATGGTTAAGGCGCGTAAGCGTGCAAGTATACATAAGATGTACGTCTTTATCATGAATGCCCCGTAGTGAAATATGGTGTCCAGCCTCCCCCCCCCCAAAAAAATATTTTGGTCATCCCCTTAGGGCAGATACCTAGACACCTTAATTTCAAATTACCACCAAAACCGCAGATCTCAGTGCTTATCAATCGTGTGACAATATTGGAGATCTTTTTTATCCTCACCACAAAAGATTTAGTGTGAAAACAAAAATACCCAGAAAATGTTGTACCTTTTTCTTCACTCTGATATCGCAAGGTTCCCCACATCATGCATAATTCATATTAGTCAGGGTTCCACGTGATTGGCCATTGAGAAATCGCCAACATCAAACATGGCTACCGTGCACGTGCAGGTTTTTCGACTGAAAAAGGCGAGTTTTGTAATTTTATTTTAATTAAGTTTTTGCAAGAGTTTAGCCAATTTTCCTGTGCCACATGGTCCCTTGATGGATAATCGTATAGTTTGGGACCCCGTTCCATATAAGAGAACGAAGAGACACTTGTTTTCGGAACTTGCCTTCATATTTTGCGATGACACAATCGTCATTGAATGACTTGATTCTGTGTGTTTGGAATCATCGAAATAGTTTGCTAAGATATACCTTGTTCTCAGAATCTCAGAATCTCAGAAAAGTGACTGGACATCGCCGCTAGGCATCATCATCCAGTTTGACTTCAGGCCAGTGCCGTGCAAGCGTGAAACACAATGTATGAGCAAGCTTAATTTTGTGGAAAGAGGGCAGGGGTTTGAGTTATGAGGGAAATTACTGGGTAAAACGGCGACTGGTGCACACGACCATTGATCTCCACAGCAATGAAGACGACCCACACGACAAGAAAAAAAAACCGAGATGGCGACAAATGTCATCAATGTTTCTGATTGGCTAATTCTTTTTATTGAAAAAAATAGCATGGTTTCTGATTGGTCGAGAACAACAGGGGGAGTAGCGTTGTTCAATATAATATCCAACGCATAAAAAAACGACATGAAAGCTTTTTCATGAATGAAAGCCCATTTCTCATTGGATGATAATATTTATTACAAGTTAAGAACACGATTTTGATTGATTTAACGTGTTTAGAGTGGGTAAAATGTTGATCAGAATAAGTTTCATTGGAATAAACAACGGACTGCACGGAACTTGTACAAAATAGACGGGTGTCCTAATTTTACACGATTAGGCCTACCCCTTAAATGTAAGCTTTGGGGATACTGTTCTGGCTGTAATTCCATCGTGTGGAACGGGAACTTGTGCCGTAGATATATCTTGGGGGTGACCTGGAGAAAGACAGTGGGCCTATTAAGCCTACTTTAGGTTGGGAAGCACACATGGTTAATGAGACGCACTTATATTTGGACATTCAAGTGTTCAGTGTAATTGTTAAGTCTTGTAAGTAGGCCCTATAGGTTTTGAGAACCTTTCGGTCTCAAAAATTCCTCAGTCTTGGAATATTTTTACAAACACTATCTTGAATTGCCTCATTTACCAATTACTATTTTCCCCGGGCCCCAAAAAGTTGCCCAGCCAAAAATCAAAATCCTGCCCTCTGGGGGGCTGGGGCTGGTACCTCTCTGCCAAATGGGGGCGCTCTTCAAAACTGAACATTATTATGTATACATTTTCAAGGCGCATTGTAATCGTTGTTGAGCGGGTTTTCTTTGGTGGGATTGATGTCAGAAATCATTGCTGACAAAAAAAAATTGTCAAAAAAATCCGCCGGGGGGGGGGGCCAAAGTGCCCCCCCCCCCTCCGGATACGCCGCTGGGTGGTCGACAATGAATATCTTGTAAAGTTTTCTCTTTTTTTCTTTTTCTTTTTTTACATTTGTTACCATTTCTTGTTACGAGAGACATGCCATATTTTGTAAAAGTAATAGATTAGCCAAGTGACACAAATTCGCCCAAAATGTTGGACTTTTCTTCTTTTTTGGGGGGGGGGGGTGGGGGTGGGGGTGCGGACACAATTGGGGCAACTTTTCCTCCCTATCAACCAACCAAAGGACCATTAAGTTTTCTGTTTTAAGCCGTTTTTTTATTAACATTGTATGATAAAATGTCTGGTTTTCTTTTTATCTGAAGACGATCATACCAAATTCAAGTTTGTCAAAACATTTTCAAAAATATAGGACTGTAACATGGCTGTTATTATAAACAAAAGTAGATTTCTAGGTGCAAACAGAATAATAACCAAACAAACACACACCCAAACAACCCAACAAACACCCCAACAGCCCAGCAAACAAACCGAGAACAGCCCAGCAAACAAACAAACAAACACAGCAATATCTAAAGGTAGTGGCTGTGCAACAAATATGATTTTTCAAGGTAACACAGCATAACATGAGCTTTGTGAGTGTTCATTTGCTGCACAACATTATGTATGATGCACATTGTGTTATGGACAATATGCTAGCCAATTACATCTGTAATCTAAAGGTATTTTTCTCAACTGGTACGATTTTTCACTAAATTTATAATCTTGTAGTACATTAATCGATTCAGTTTGACTGAATGGATGCGACTGCAGCATAGAAAACTAAACAAGTACACACACAAAACACCAATTGACCTCAAATACAGTACAATATAATATGTACTAAAACCCTTTCCATAAAAAAATCTGTGTTAAATATTAAAAGTTGACTCCTGATTTTCGCACAGCAAACAACAGGCCCTTGATTATGCATGAACTATTAGCTGCAAATATTGATAACATTTTAGCCCTTGTACCGCCCCAAAATGCCCTGCCTGTAACTCCTCATATCCCCAAACCACCCCAACACTCTTTGGTTTCAATGGCCCATGGAGGAGTACATACAATGTAATACAATGTAATACAATGTAATACAATGTAATACCATGTAATACCACATAATCGCCCAATCTCCGTTTGCGAGTTGGCCACGCCCCTTAGACAACCCTATGGATTTTTGTATGGTAAGTTTTGTTTGTCTCAGATGTTGCGCATTCCGCATCCATTTGTATATCATGTAATTGGACAATATTTCACAAGCTGAGTTGATGCAATTCCACCGCGATAGGTCAATACAAGTACGAAAAAGTGTTAAACAAAAAAAACAGCAATACTTAATACCACTTTAAAAAAAAATGGCTTTCAAAGACTGAATAAATTCTGAATAACTTTAGAAGTTTGAATTATACTGCTATTTAGTTACTGACAAAATGGAGAGAGTACAATCGTCAAAATGGTATTTAGGAAATGATTTTGTCATAATTTGATGGAAATTTAGAGCATGACCCACTCTCATCAAAAGTTCCATAAAATCAGTAGAGGTTTCTTTCCCTCAGAATAATAAATAATTTAAACAAATTAGGCCATTGGATTTAAAGTTTGTTCTTGAAATTCTGCTAATCTGCTTAAATTTGTACTGCCTCCCCAAGCAATCCTACATTTTCTATGTTTGTAATTAAATGGATTGGTACAAGGAAAGTACATAATTGTATAAGTGCTGTTTCTGTTGAAGCAATATTACAGACCGTTAAATTTTGTTTGAAATCAGTGAATGGCAAAACCCAATATTGCCTTTTCAGACTAGTTTTGGAATCTAGCTGATTTAGAGACTACTGGACAATGACTTTGCAATCTGCTTCCTCACTAGCGCGAGGGCCGGTGGTGGTGCGGCCACGTGGACAGGCCTGGCAGTATGTGCTGCCCTCTAGTGACTGGTACATGCCACGTGGACACGGGTAGCAATCCTCCAGGTAGTTATACCAGCCTGACTCGCAAGGAACTTAAGTAGAAAAACCACCAGAAAATAGCATTATCGAACAGTGATGATTATAAAAAGGTTCTTCTTTGACCCTACAATTTTGCAGTGGATCATGAGTAGGTGGATGTATTTTAATGGAATAATTTTGATGTGAAATTTGTGAACATGCACATTAGGCTTCAACGTTTAGACTGCAACAATGTAAAACAAACAATTTTCCATAAATTGTATACACTGCCTTTATGACATTCCTAACCACTATGTTTTATCAGCGAGGGTATTGTGAAAAAGTGTTTCATATGGATCATACTAAGGTTGTGTATAATTAATCCAGCCTTTGAAACTCTGTTACAACAAACTTTGTGTCATTTAACTTTTTCTACACTGAACAAAATACGTCTTTGTCATCATCGATGTCCCACACTTTTCTTAAGACTTATTAGCATCAGTGCCACTACCACTTTTGAAGAATACATAATTTGGGAGGCTAATCATCCTTACTTGCAGCTTGGAAGCTGAATTGCGAAGGACGCAGCTACAACGTGGTTGAGCCAAAGGCATGTAAAGGCACCTTTGGCAGCTGCCATATGACCCATGTATGACCATGGAGCACAGCCAGAGATGAAAAGTGTTTTTTGCAGAGGAGGAAAACCGTACAGCCCAGAGAAAAACCCTTGAGGCACAGGAGAGAATCACCGCACAACTCTACTCACATATGGTCCAAGGCAGGAATCGAACCCAGGCCACAGTGGTGAGAGACAAGTGCTTTACGCACTAGCCACCCATGCCATCCAATACATAGTTTCAGAATGTAAGCACATGAACCAACAGTCATCCTTAATTCTAAGCTGGAATGGACAAGCATGAAGAGCACATGCACAGTCACCTTTAGGTTTAAGATTCAGTTGAACAGAAGAAGACTGAAGTCTTGACTCTCCTAATGAAGCTACAAAACTAGACGGAGAAACAAGAAAGCCACTTACCGCATCGTACGTCCTCTGCCTCCATGCGCACAGTACCAGGAGGACAGACAGGCATGCCGTAGCTCTTGGTTTTCCCCAAGTCCACGTCGTAAACCTGACTGTCTACGTTGATGGCAAACTGGCCCAATCTAGACTGATTGATCAGGTGACCGGCAGAGTTACGTAACTCGTCAGTTGCCTCTATGAAGCTGTGTTGATTGACGACTAGGATGAGTTGTATGGAGAAAGGGGTACAATGTGCTTAGTCATTACATGTTGAGTACTTGATCAGTTTTTTAGCTCCCCGTGCATTATTTTCTACTCATCAGAAGATAAACTTACACCGGAAATTAGCAGGTCACAGAGCTAGCAATCAAAGAATGGATGCAGCTTGTAAACTTGTACCTGGCTATGGGATCCATGCAGGAACAGTACATGGGTTTTAGAACAAATGTCGGGCAGCTTGAACATTTGCCAACTCGACTCGGGACAACTTGACCGTTGAGACAACTCGACAGGTGGGACAACATCACTGCTTACCAAGTTAGCCATTTTGCGGTCAACTAAACTTTTTTTGCACAGCGCCCGCCACCAAAAATATTGCCCACTACTTTTTAAGCAATGCAAAGGGCGTAGCGAGCAAGCGAGTTTTACATTCCACTGCGCTTTGTTTAATGTTGAATAGCTGGCATTCCAGGCGTATTCATTTAGTTTTCCTGTAGGGTTAGCTGCAAAATTACATTGATTTCGTTCCAACTCTGCTTTGAGTTGACATCTTCCTGGTTCCGCTCCTGCTTTGGGACCAGCATTTTATAGCGAGCACTGTAAATATGTAATAATTTTGGGTGCGGCTCCCGGCTGTTAGCAGCGTTGCAAATTTATCCGGTGTTGCCGGCACTGCAGTTTTTCTATATTTTTCTGCTGCTGCTTCATCGATTTGGCATCGAGCACAACCTGGCATGAACGTAGATCATCATCATCCCAAGTGGTGAGTAAATCCCTTGTGTGTTATTTAACTTTTTATGCCTGAATCTTTTTATGCCATATACTTTTAATGCCACAGTCATTTTTATGCAACAATCTGGACTTTAAGTATGTTTCGTTATATTGCCAGAAATTAAGGCTGTCAAAACAAATTAACACGGCCGGAAACAGACATTTGCGATGACAACTTTTAGAAAATAATAATTGTTGAATTAAATCTGTTTGTCGTGACATTACATTATTTAGTGAGTCAACAATTCCCGTGTGATTCACTATTAAATTATCATGAGTAGCATGGCAATGAAGGATTTTCCGTTGACTGTATTTTATGTTTAGAGCATTTATTTAAACAAATTATTTCCTACTATTTTAATAATTTTTCGGCAATTCCGGAAAACAATGTTAGCATGTACTGTATTTTTATAAATCTCCATTTTTCCTTTTGAAACAAAACAAATTTGTAACTTTTGCAACACAAGCACACAAACTTTAACTTAAATCTTAGTGTTGCTATAATATTCATGTTCACATTCATTATTTGAAATAGACTTTCCCGGTTTACTTTAAAGTGCTATTGTCATTCAGAAATTTGTTATTAGGGCATGGTGGATATTCTTACTTCATTATGTTATAACATTATTTGGCAAATAATTCATTTCTATTTTCAGAATGAAAATTGCACCATTATATAAACAATATTCTTATTCTTGCATAGTTGCCATTTTGAATAATTCTGCTTTTTGGGCAACATGGTAAAAAACTCTCTCACTGACTGATGCATTTATAAAAAATATTCTTGGATTTGTAAATAGGGAAATCAGTGTGTTCTCCCAAATGACTCTGGATTTAATAATGTACATTGATTTTAAGACAGGACTTGTATTTCCATTTCACGCACAGACAGTCGAGTTGGCAAACGGTTGAGTTGTCCAAGCCCCTTTAGAACTCTGTGAGTGAGACACGCTATATGCATGCACTTTGGTCTGTGTGCATATGGCGTGAAGTATACATGACTCGGGAGAACGTGCACAAACAAATATCACCTCTGCAAGACTGTCAGGCATATGAGTCCCTCCAAACTCTCCCTTTGTGACCATTGAGGGAGTACTTGTGCACAAAGTGTATATCCTCATACCAGGGCAAACACAGCAGTTTTCTTAATGCAACAGTTATAATTCACTCAGGGAAACCATATCATTTCTAAAAACTATCCAGATTTTCATTGTGATACACCGATGAGACCATTATCATTTCTCTCTCACCTTCTTCATTGGTCAGGTTTTGTTGATCAGGGATGTCAACATCACGTTCCAGCCTGATGGTGATGTGGACCGCTTCGAGGGATCGACGTCGGCGTCTGCGGGCATGGTCCCCGGGAACGTGTGGACTGCAGCCACTGATCTGAAGTATTACAAGGAGTTGAAATGAAGTTACTTTTGTACAAACAAAAACATACATGCGGGACAACGCAAATCTGCAATACTGCGTGCACAATGTAAACACTACAACTGAATGTCCTCACACTCACAGAAAAAAACTAGTTGAGAAAAGAAGGGTGAAAAGTACATGCAGTACTAAGGATGGAACTTTTGCATTTACCTTTGTAAATAATTAGCAAACTGTTTAATGTTTAGCCTGAACTCGATAAGGACAATTATCTAGGTTTCACTACATCAGTTGATGAACATTGACATTGTGGACGATGCCGCGACTTAAACAGACAGCACCACCACCGTCACGTTTAGCGGACATCAACACGGACCATGGCCATGATGGAGTACAGCCAAGTAAGCGGCGTCGAGGGGCCAAATCGTCTACCAGATCAAGTGGTCAAGAATCGTCTCAAGGTATAGGGCAAGGTCCCAGTTTCGATACGGCCACTCCTATCATTTCTGATACCGCTAATATCGACAATACATTAATCCCATCCGTTGGCACACCTTTGGGTTACCATATTTCTTTGTCTATTAAAGAAAAGATTTGGAATGGTAGTTATGTGGATATGTCCACGCTGTATCAGGAGCCTGCAGCAACCGCTATTGCTCGGGCAGAGGATGAGGAGTTTGCCATCGCAGTTGAGGGCAACAAAGCTGGCTAAAACTCCGAAGTGTGTGATGCACTGTGCATGTGTGGCCCACGGCCAACAGACCTCGTTTTTACGGTCGAAAATTCCGGGAAACACGCTGCATTGTATCACGTCAAATACCAGTAGTGCGATCTCAAAATGAATTCTTGAACACGGAAAATACATACACAGACAAGCTAGATCAATTCTGTGAATTAACTTGCAAAAATTTCCTTTCTCCATCGGTGTTTTCTTGGCATTTTTACGATGTCGGATCCGACCAGTTGACAGTGCACGTTCCTAGCCATGCTAGCGCTATCGATCGCATAGCCGTGCACAGACTAGTTACCGCATTTTCTTCATGTCTTCTAAATTGGCCCCTGCGCGGCGCGGCGGGAACCAGTCGTGGCCGCATTGAGCTTACGCACGTGATTATAGTCACCGTGACATTGAATTGCTAAGTGGTTAAATCGTTTAGCGAATTTGTAAAAATAACGGATGTTTATTTTGAAAAAATAGCGAATGTAAGTAAGAAAACAAATAAATACAAGCATTTTTTTACGCAAAAGGGTTGTTGAGAGGTATTTTGTGAAGACAGAAAAGACAACAGGTTTTTGTTTTTATTTATTCAATCATAATTTTTTTTATTTTTTGTTTTGAATTGTCGATAAAATTTTGAGGGTTGCAGCCTAAAAATAGGGTCGGTCGGGTAACCGGAAGCAGAACTATTATTTTTTTGGCCTTATACATGTAGTGTTTTTGAAAGGTATTAACATCATCCATGGAGTATGACAGTCTTTTCCATCCCTTTTTTCCCCGTAGTAATCATTGAAGTAAGGTTAATTTACCTGGTGTTTCACAGCACAAGAGTTGTTCTGCACACAGCTAAGCATCTGTAGGTTCATCGTGATAGTATCATTGACTCGCTGATATGCCAGGCTGTCTTTAGTGACGTTGACCCCATCACAGGTCAGGTTATTGCTGTATACAAGGGTCATCTCCATGGCAACCTTAATTGGTGGCTTGCACTCTGCAAGAGACAACGGTACAAACTGTGACAGTGCACGCTGTATCATGGATTTATGAGGACACCAGAGATTGATGGTAGTTCATGTGCTAGTTCAACCGAAGAAATGGCAGCCGGGGATCGCACTTTAAATATTGTCGTCACCCCAGACTTCGATATTACATTACTTGTTCAGTACCCTGTATAACATTGGTAAAAATAAATTGCTCATTGTACTTACACTTGCACATGTTAAGAGCTCGTACATTTCACTGGTTTGAAAAGAATTTTGGCCTGTGTGCATGCATTCATTCCGTAACTTAAAGACTAATTTGTACTCACAGCACAAGCACAGAGTTTCTTAACTGGTGCCGTTAGCACAGATTGACGATTGTAAACAAACAATGCCATTGTGGGCAGAACCATGGAGACTTTCTTGCAATGAGAGTCACATTCAATGTCTAGCAAGTGATGATAATTTACTGACTTGTACACTTAGGCAAAGCCAATCCCTGGTTGTCGTCAGTCTCATGGGACCACTTGTAGTCAGTAGAGGGACCACATTGGTAGGAGGGTAGAATGGCCCGACTGAATGCATAGCCTTGCCAGCAGGAGATGGTGCAATTCTGCTCCTCACCAGCAACTTGGCAGTTCAGGTTTCCTCTGAAGGGATTGTTCACATGCCCACAGGCTGTAAGACAACAGCAGACGGAGAAAAGAACAGACTAATAATTTGTTCTGTTTTTTTAAGTAATCGTTCTGTGAATATGGGTAATTATATAAATTTATGTTTTTTCCCCTGTCCCTAAAGTTACATCGAACATCAGTGATTTCATAATTCTGAATTTCTGATGCACTCTTTCATGCATTTTGATGGATTTTAAAACAATCTTGCTTGCCATTAGCGGCAAACATACGTTTCCAATGATGGCAAACGTTAGCATTTGTTCGCATAAGTGGAACACATGACTGGGAAAAGTTGGTTTTACCTTCTGTTTTGAAATCGGCTATTCAACCACTGTAAATTAATTTGTTCTTATACCTGCGCAGCTCGGTGTAGTACCAGACCACATTCGATTGGATTGGCAAGTGCGTCGGGATGACCCACGGATAGAGTAGCCACTCATACAGCTGATGGAACATTCCGAGCCGAATATGTCGCCATGGGAACAGGAAACAGCGCCCCAGGTGACTGGTGGGTGGACTCCACATCTCCTTACTGAAGAGAAAGAGGAAGAATGTAGATAGAGCATGTATAACAAGAGAGTAATAGCAGAAGAAAGGAGTGCTGGCACAAAACACTCCAAAGATCATTTGCTAATTTTCTTGACTGTAATCTCAGTCTTTAAACACTTACCCTTCACAGCGACTGTGAATGTGCAAAGGTTGTCGTTTTTGTTGCCTTTGCTATCCCTTGCCGAGTATCTGATGGTGTATGGTGACCTAGAGGCACTGAAGTAGCCACCATTGGCTGGGCCACCATCTTTTCTCTGCACTCTGCAAAAAAAATTGGAAAATCTTGACATTCTCAGATGCAATTTGTTGGAGACAGGTCTCCTTAAAAAAACAACAAATTGAATCCAGCGCATGATCTAGCAGTTTTTTCGTTTCTCGATTTTTCGATTTTCAATTGGTCACCCTGAACGACTTACACATGTGCATGCGCACAGGATGCAACCACCAAAGCACAGCCACACAGCGGAACTGGACAGTTTTTCTTTAGAAGCCACCAAAATCATCAATATTTTCATATTTTAGTCCCTGTTTTTCGGCTTCAAGTCGATCATTAGCTTCGTGAATGACTGCTGCATGGATGAGATATCTTTAATCTCATCTGGGTTTGGATAATTTCAGGGAAAAGGACCATTATGATTTTTGTGAAGTCTGGTTTTTTTCTAGGGACTCCGCCAGTTTTCAACCGCTGGATAGAACGACATTGACCTCCAGTGCAGTTTTAAATGTCAAATCCGATGAGGATTGGAGCTGGAGTTACTCAAGGTAAAAAATCTTCACATGCCTGAAAAGCTTTGGCTATTACTACTTCTAGTTCTAGTTGGTAGTTTCCACAAATTCAAAATTAAACTTTCTCAAGTGAATCATGGCTTAATGAAAAGGTTTTTGCACAGTAAAAGTGTAGTTTAACTTAAGATAGTAGATACATGTACATCTTTTTTTACAAGTTCCGTTCGAAAATGAATTTTGCGGAGGACTGCCATGACTGCCAAAAAACTGCACACGGAATTCTAGATTCTTTCTAACGTTATAACTAGGCCTTTTGGAAGGAATTCCATACATGATAGGCCTATAAGGCCATCACTCATATTCCTTAATACATGTACGACCTGAAAAGTAACAAAAGTTGTAGTCCGAGTATCTTCTAGGATTCCACGAATCGCCTTTTTTAACATTTGGACATGGTTGGGCGATAAAGGCTAGGACTCTACAAATCGCCTTTTTAATAATAGCCTATTTGCATGATTTGAACATGGACGTCGGGCAATATCGCCTTTATTAACATTTGGACATGGTCGGGCGACCATGTCCAAATGTTTAAAAAGGTGATTCGTAGAGTCCTAGTTACTCGGACTACAAAAAATGTAAATCTGATGATGAAGAAACACTATTTGAGTTCAAAAATTCTTTGATAAAATACTTAAATTTTTTCTGTCATGGCCCATAGACTTTGTGCAGGAGGTCTGATAGCCCCATAAATGTGGCCTATTTACTGGACTTCCTCCGTAAACATAGGCCACACATCCACATGTACAAAAACGTGTCGCACTTTGCCAAATTTTGATTTTCACATTTAGGCTTAGTTTGAAGGTTTTTTTTGCTTTAGAAGCATACTCACCCTCTTTATAGGCTAATCAGAAAGTGCTGCCTTTTTCAGATGTCTAATTTTTGTGAAATCTCATGTTGAAATTTTGATACGCAAATGTGTAAAAATGAATCTGGAAATTTCACGAAAAATATACATCTGAAAAAGGCAGCACTTTCTGATTAGCCTATAAAGAGGGTGAGTATGCTTCTAAAGCAAAAAAAACCTACAAAGTAAGCCTAAATGTGAAAATCAAAATTTGGCAAAGTGCGACACGTTTTTGTACATGTGGATGTGTGGCCTATGTTTACGGATGTGTTGTGCCCATTCTTGAAAATCACGCATTCTCGAGAATGGGCGCGCATTCTTAAGAATGAGCGCCCATTCTTAAGAACGAGCACGCGTTCTTAAGAATGAGCGCTCATTCTTAAGATTGGGTGGGAATATCACGTGCACAATTTATGAATTTTGCCCAATCTTAACAAACATTGCACGACATAATTATGTTAAATGAATTGTATAGCGGTTAAAAGGGAAACAATTCATATAAAGAGGAAAGAAAATGTTCTATGCTTCTGTACTCGTATAACTAGAACTACGATAATTTGAATCATATTAAACCTGTTATTATTGCTTTTTCCTGCCTACTTATGGGAAGTTTTGTAATATTGGAGGACTGGGAACTAGTCTGGGAAGTGCTTTGTTTAGGCTAGACAAGTACAAGTCCCTGTATGTATCATATGCGTGCCACGAAAAAAAAACGATGTCCAGAAGCTGCCAAAATTGCTCTTTTGACTAGATAGAATCCAGCTCTGCGACATTATGGTGGGGTGTGAACAATAAATTGGTGGCAATTTAAATGGGAAATAGCATTAGCACTGTCACGCCCCAACTATCGCATCGGTCCCAACTATAGTTGGGACTGTCCCAACTATAGTGCGGCAGTTGGGTCGGCCCAACTATAGTTAGGACTGGAGTTGCGCCGGATGCTTCATGCTTGATAGATCTTGTTGGATTAAATGTTCCGCGGCGCTGACACCGTGTATGCGTCGTGCATGCATGCCGCAAGGCTGGCCGGTCACGTGGTACTGCCTAGTTGGACGAGTTGTCCAGCTGCTGGGTTTTATTATCCAGCAACATTTTGCAAAATTCAAAGATTGCCATGGCCGGCCAACTATAGATGGGCCCCACCCATAGCTAATGTCAAAGGTCCCAAGTAAAGTCGGACAGTATGTAACAGAGCTGTAGGGAATGTTTTATAGTCGTACATCAATGTAAACTATATAGTTGGGACCGCCAAATAAAAATATTGCGGTGGTCCAACTACAGATGGTCCCCACCCATAGATCATTTCATTGGTCCCCAGTAAAGTCAGATGTGTATTAGAGTTGTAGGGAATGTTTTATAATCGTACAACAATGTACACTATAGTTGGGACCGCAAAATAAAAAGATTGGGATGGCCCAACTATAGATTCGCCCCATCAATAGCTAATTTCAGTGGTCCCCAGTAAAGTCAGACGTGTATCAGAGCTGTAGGGAACGTTTTATGGTTGTACATCAATGTAAACTATAGTTGGGACACCGCAAAATAAAAAAATCGGAGTGGCCCAACTATAGATGGGCCAGCCCAACAATGGAACTTACAGTTGGGACCGTCCCAACTATAGTTGGGACAGGCCCAACTATAGTTGGGCCAGCCCAACTGTGGAACTACAGTTGGGCCTGTCCCAACTATAGTTGGGACAGGCCCAACTATAGTTGGGACCGATGCGATAGTTGGGGCGTGACAGCACTATGGGATGTCGCAGTATTCATTCTCATTCTTCACATTCTTCATTCTTACGTCCCCCCCCCCTCTTTTATTATCCCAAAAATCTGAATTCTTTCTTATTTATTCTTATTTTTCCCCCGCGTATACTTTTCATATCCACTCTACTTTTCAGCTAGACTTGCCAAGCGCAGCCGGTGCTCGGCATCGACAAGACCGTTATCTTGTCGCGCATTCTCAAGAATGTGCGCTCAACCTGGAAGAGTTATTTTTTGCCAAGATTGAGCAAGGATCCAGTTGCACATTCTCAAGAATGGGCACAACAGATGCAGTCCAGTAAATAGGCCACATTTATGGGGCTAGAGTAGTCCGAAAATTTGGGACTCTCAGGTCTGAGTCAGTAGTGGTGGCCTTGACATTGTATGGCATTCTTTCCTAATAAGTTTAAACGTTTACCATTTGAAAAACACTGCAATTACTAACTTGAGTAAGGCTAGGCCTATTAATTGCAACAATTATTCCATCCTGATCAGCCATGCAGAACCAGTATTGAAATGAGACTCCCAAATTTACTACTTACTGCACTTGACATGCTTGAAGTTGCACTGCACTTACTTGCTTACATTACAATTTGTAAAACAAAATCGGCGCGCAGACACCAAATATAAATAGCGCCATCTAGTGTCAGCTTGTGTCCAAACTTAAAATGGTGAAAATAATTTCTCCTTCGAAAATTTAAAACACATGAAACAGGGCTATATGTTTTTCTTTATCTCTTTCTTTTTATTTTGTTGAAGAATACTAAAGGGCTGTACGGTTTATCATAATTTCCCGACTTTTAGCATTTGATCTTAATTTGTACAAATCGTTTATATGACTTGCATCAACGCATATAATGGGGAATAGAGTACATAGCGAGTGGAACGGGTAGAATTAATGTTGAAGTATAGGCCTTTTATAATTTAACGCAAATGTACACAAACACGGTGCCAGTATGCTATTTACAATTATAAATAGCTTGAAATCAGGCAATTGAAGGAGATTGCAGTCCTATTTACTTCCTCACGTCTCAAAGATATAGAACAACGGAAATAGGTTTAAGCTGGAGACTGTTTCTTTGCACATTTTACACATAAATAACAAAATAAATTGTAATTCTTTGCAGGTATAGTGTTTTTGTTTGATTTTTGTTTATCTTTGTTGCTGGGTTGTTTGTTTGTTTGTTTGTTTGTTTTATATCTCACGTGATCGGCAGGCTTGCGTCTGATGCTCTTGGTTTAGTCCAGTGGACAGACGTACTAGTTGACAAATGGTCTGCGTACCGTACTATATCAGAGGGGCAGGTTCCTTGGACCAAAACTGGTGGTTGCCTGTCGGCCGAAGCTTTATTTACAAGAGAAAATAAAATATAACATAACGGCTGTTATCAACAAACACCCCCACTCCGACCCACCCCTCCCCCCCCAAAAAAAATGAAATAAAACAAAACTCAACACTCCGTGTGACAATATCCTCGGAAGTTGCATGGACGCAACAGGCGAAGTCTGCCCACGCCTCTCAGGTTTTTCGAGGGGCTGGTAGGGGGTCGGGCATTGGAGTTAAAAAGGGCTTATTCATTGGTTATTAGCATTTTTTTGGCTTCACCAGGGACCATGTGATGACGAAATGCAGCGGTTAAAAAAAGACAAATGATTGTCTACGGACGATTTGACTGTTTTTCCTCCGAACTTGACATCATATATTTTGTCTTTCCCACGTCATGTTTTCATTTTTTAAATACATTTCATACTATTAATCTTTTATAGGTGAAGGCATTATTCGTAAAACGTTTACAAAAAAAATGGCATATTTTTCTTAATTACCCGTCAAGTGACGGAAAAATACACAGGCCAACAACTGTTGCCTAATACTTCATTCTTTAGGTCGTAACTTTACAATAATTAAAGTCATGTCTTCAAGGCATCGTGCATGACAGGAAATTTGTAAAGCGGATCGTGAGCTAGGTCAGCGGTAATGTTACTTCCTTTATACTCACGTGACCCTCCACGACCACCACGACATGCATCTGAAAGAGATTTAAATAAAACAGCAAGAGTAAAAATTCCAGTGAAGCTACATTTTGTAATATTTTCTTGATAAAGGTGAGGCAAATTTATTCATTCATTATATTATTTCCAGTCACGCAGGCCTCCCTGTAGGTTAAATTTCCACTATAAGGTTTAATTTAAGTCTGCGCCCATCTGATTCAGGAAGGTCCAACTTTCCCGGCAACGACATTTTTAGTAATCCATCCGCCAAACACATACAGAATTACCATTCACAAACTACATCGAGTAGCCCAGTCCAGACATAGGTGTCGGTGATGAGGTGCGCCATCAGTTTTAAAATAATTTAAAAAAATAATGTGTGAACCTAAACCTACCCGTTGATTGAAGAGGAACGAGTAGCAGACACAGAACGAAAGCAGCAACAAGACTTGTCTTCGGTTCCATCCTGCCCTGGTAGTGATGTCGACTTGACTTGTGCGCTACTATACCCTCAGCTTAAGCTTTGCGAAATGCACGACCGTCTCAGTTCTGGCGGTAAAATAGTATAAAAGTCTGTCGAACAGTTGTATGTTGCCCACGAACAAAGTTAGTACAGCAAAGAACACCTAATACCTCTTATGTTCCGCCTATGTAAATTAGTTTCGCGTTAGGTTAATTAGTTACCTAAAATACACGACGTCATGGAAATGTCCATGGCAGACCGGGAAACTCCAGGGCATCGGGTTTTGGAACAATCTTGCTGGGCAAGATCAACAATGCAGGGTAAAACCCTTTCCTTTTTCGAGGGACGAGCAGGCAGCCACGCAGTTTGACGTTCATTGGACCCTGTCTTTATTGGTTTATTAGACCACAAATAACTAAGTAAAAAGTGAAAAGGGGGGAGATTGATTATAAATAAAAAACACGTATTAAGCAATGCATAAATACTCTTTTAAAAAACCCAAATAATAATTACACGATGGAGTGGTTAAAACAAACTACAAAACAAAACGCAAAACCACATTCTTGACTCCCAACGTTCTACGCAACCCTCACTCTCTCAAACAAATTATTATTCGTTTAAAAGCCTAATAAAAATGGCAGAGGATTTTCTATCTAATCGAAACGTTTAATAAGTTTATGGAATATCCCCTTACACAGCAAGGGTCTATTATGTGAGCAGATTCGGCGATTAATAATGCAACAAGACTGCGTCTTGACCTCGAGATTCTGACCATTCAGCGGGCGCCTTCTATATCTGGTCTTCGGTAACCTGTTTTGAAAGCCAATGTCGGGTTTTATTAGATCTCTACGTCCGTTGTAAAAACATGGCATCCGATTGACCAGTCGACAGCTTAGTCCAGATTTCGGAATGGGTCCCATTAATTTGCATGCTTAGATATATCAGACGTTGGACCGGAGACAGAGAGAGCTCCGTCGGACAAGAAGAGATATACTCAGACTACCGTTTTAGCAGGGAAAATAAAAAAAATTGTCGGCACTGCGTAATGACATGCCATGGCACTCGAGGCCAAGGAAACATTGACATTGTTCTTGTGTTTCTTCTATTGAGCAACACACAAACCTCAAGTGCATTGTTGTGCGGACTACTTATTATTTCCCATTATAACCATACATGTCCTTATGCATCATTTCTATGTCAATGACTTGTTAAATACGTGTGAAACTTGTCCCACTTCCAGTATCAGAATCGGTATTGGTCCATACTTTTTTCTTTTCTTTTTGCAGCTATAACTCTTGGCTGATAAATTACGATATTCACGTACTCGAGGTCGAGGTGATTAGAAGGAAACATTGACATTGTTCTCGTGTTTGCGAAAGTCCGACAGCAAATGTGCAACAATTGTTTTTCCTTTTGTCTTCTATACGAGTCAACACTTGAAAACCTCAACATGTATTGTTGTATAAGAGGTGTACCTTTTTCCCATTATTACCATACATGCCCTTATGCATCATTTCTATGTCAATGACTTGTTAAATACGAGTGAAACTTGTCCTAATTCGAGTATCGGAATCGGTATTGGTCAATACCTTTTTTTTTTTTTACAGCCATACCTCTTGGCTGCTAAATTGCGATAACAAGCATGCTATTGTAGAGACTGTTGCTTTATTTGCTTGATCATTAAAAGCACTTATCTGCACTATTATTTTGTTTAAGAGATCATTGTAGAAAGTTTTACAACACTCTCATAGTTATATATTGGTTACTGATTAAGTCTTTCTAATGTCTTTGCTTATAGGTCTATGAACAGATCCAGGGTACATTGTATTCAAATTTAAGCGCCATTTCGGGGAATTGTTTTTGAAGTCCCTTGCTATCCCAAACGTTGCGAAACGCACTCGGTTCACATGATCCTCATTGTACACGCACGGCGTAGCCTGTGCCCTTGACGATCAACCCGGTGACTCCCCGAGTTGCCAAATGATTTGTGATGAAAAAGAAATAAAGTAAGGTTTTAACAAGATATAATGAGACATTCATATAATCTTAAATTCCTTCAGAGTATTAAAACTTGAGTAATTATAAAGCAGTAGAAAATGATGTAGGCCTATTCATTTGAATGTGCAAAACAATACAAAGTAAACAACATTTTTGTTATAAAAATAAAATTAAAAACTAGCAAGAGTGCAGTTCAGAAACCAACCTAAGCATTTTCATAAAAGGCATAAGGGATCATAAATTTCCATTTATCCCGAAAGTAGCCTTCTTAATTAGGCATATCATCAAAAAGCTTAATACTTGGATTGAAGACCGTATATTGGTACCACACACCCCGTGCAGTGATTTCGTCTGGCTTGCTGTCATTGAGAAGAAATCAAGAAATGCAAGTGGTTTCCATTGATCTGTCAGTTGACTGCGTTTTTTTCATAGAGATTTTGTTTTAATACACAGTGCTTTGAACAAAATCGTGTTTCATGCCGAGTGCGTGGTTTCCAGTTTTCTCGAAAATCGTAATAATCACTGAGCTGAAACTTCAACGGGTCAGGATTTGAACATTCATCTTTTTTCTTCGGGTGATTTTATTATTAAAAAGGGAACAACATGCATGAAAAGCAAATGATCCTCATGTGTCCTTAAGTGCAAATTGTGTGTATAAGTTTGTTTCTGCCTTCAATAGGGGACGGTAGGACAGTAGCATGCCCAATAATTATTCAATCAAAGATATAACTCGTATCAATTACCCCGAATAGTAGGTATGGGAATAATAGACCATTTGCCAAAGAAAGTTCTTCATAATAATGGGCTGGGAGTGTAGATGGGAGTTTACCAAAATAAAAAAATTAAAAACAAGTCGAGATCGTACAATGATTTTGACTGACAAATTATTTAAGTTTTGGCCAACAAATCATTTTTTTTAATCATCAAATCTGCACAGTTGCTTTTTTTTTTTATAATTGTCAAAGAAATGTTGAAATTTCTGACAATAAACAACATATCCCGCAACGTGAAATGAAGTGTCTTTTATTGCAGAATAAGATTCACAAGAATCATGCGAAGAAGTTGATTAATGAACCAGTGTACAAATGAAAATTGCATAGACTACGCTATTAATAAACACATGGATGAATAACATTTGAACAAATCTCGACAAACATTTGGCCTGTTCCAAGTATCAGAACGATGAACATCCCATAACAAATTCTTTAAAAGCTTGGAAGCTATTCCGATATTGAGTTGGGGTTTCCTGTGTCACTTCAATCCACAATTCTATAAAGGAATTATCAAAAACAAAACAAGAATTCATTTGCTGAAGTGTCCAACTGAACCTTTTACCGTATGGACCAGGATTACGACAAAAAAAAACTAAAGATCATGGAATTCTTACCAGCCAATAACCATGTTACAGTTGAACAATTATTTAACATCAAATTGTATAAATTTCAGAAGCTTACCACAATACTAACATTCTACTTTACAGCATATCATTATGTTCCTGGCTTTTAATACATGTACATCCATATAAGAGCCACAGTTCCTCATATGCTGGGTAAACTACAGTAATTTCTACCACGTACACAATACTCACGATTGAACCTACAATCACCTGATCATAAAATAATCCAAAATCACACAAATCTGCACTTCGGTCAAATTAAAGTTGCCTTTCCCATGCTCTTCAAATTTCAAAATTTTTAAAATGTTCAACCAAAACCCTCCTTTCCCCCTTTTTTTGTTGGATGTCTGCAACCCTCTGGAGTTTTTTGGTTTGTTTTGGCCACAATCAGATCAGCTTTGCGAGCTGACAGGCTCCAGGTCCTTACATTATCTATACTGATTATGGGGCTGGAACCAACCTATCCCGCGAGAACAAACTGGAAACAAAATTACAATTTGTTTCTTTCTGAGTATCAATTTTTACACAACATGTCCCTGTCATATCACTGCTCAATATTTGTAAACTCGTGAAAATATTGACGCACAATACACGTTTTAACTTCTGAAATCTGCATTACCTAAAGCTGTATGTTCCCAATAGTACAATTAACAGACAACACATGTCACACCTCGAACAAATAAAAGTAAAAAAGTAAAAACCACTAATACCAAAATACTTGTACGGAAACGATCAAATTCAACATTAAAATCATGTATTGCTTTTCATGAAGAGTAAATTATGATAACCATGACACGACACCTAGTGCTATGAGCACTGCTTTTCACTTGCCAATGGCATGGAGTGAGAGCAACAAGTTTTAACTCACCGGAATTTTAATGCAATGCACTGTAATTTTAATGCAATGCGCCAGAGCATAAGCACAAGATGAATACTGGTGCTCAAGTATCATTCAGTCACAGGAAGTGTTTTGAAAAAAAAAAAAAATGAAATGAAAAGTAAGATTGCAACTCAAGACAATGGATTAGAGTTGCATTAATTTGCAAAGTGGCCTACACTTAAAACTAGCTTCTACATTTTAGGTGGTATCTAAATGTCCGAATGGCCACATTGGTACAGCACTGAAACCAAATGCAATGCTCTTAAGTTCACTTTGATATTAGATGAATGTCATTTCATCAACTACAACTACTTTGAATGATTCATAAATCGTTGTGAGGCATTCGATGAAGGGTTCAACAACCAATACTGATTAGAGTTCAAAAACTACTCAACACTATTATGCTAAGATTGAGAATATCTCACAAATCTGTGTCATTCGTGGAAATGAATCAATGTGATTGCAGTGTTCTGGGGTCACGGACCTAAATCCAGCAACCAAATATTTTAAATGACTTTCCACGTACTACTAAAACAAATGAATCGAACGACTGAAGTATGGTGATCCTTCACAATTTGCAATCAGAAAAAGACTTGTTATTCTGAAAACTATGCTCTTTCTGCTCTGACTGTCTCGGTCAACAAAAAAGAGCCAAGGAAAAAAGGGTTTTGTGTCAAGTCTTTAATAATTCAAATTTATGACTTCTTTACCACTTAACAACTCACCATTAGTCAGAATTTTAATATTTGTCTGCAATTTTGATCTTGATCTACTTTCACAGTGGAAAGTGATACCAACAGAAATCAAATTTGAAATGTATCTAATACAACTATCACCACGCTATTATTGACTGATCGGGTGTGGTGCATTGTTTTGGAACCCTTAACAAAACTGACTTGGCTATCAGGGTACAAACATCATGAACCAAATCCAAACAGTTGAAGAAAAAAAACATTTCATGTTTAATGCAGTCACTCACGCCTCTATCATCTGAAAGTGAATTCTCCAACCCAAGAAACACATCTTGTAGGTAGCAAAAACTGGAAGAATGGGTTATGCAGTTACTCTTTACGCGTCTTTCCTTTGCCTTTTCGGGGCGACTTTCTGCACGCAACAAGAGTGGGAAAACAAACGGATTTAAATGACGCAAGTCAAGCAAAACAAACTTGACTTTTACATAGCAGTGTTATGTTGGGAGTATTTAGAAAGTTTTGGGTGGAAGAGAGTACGTATCGAAGTGTTTTTAAAAAAGGTACAGCATCTTACCAAATTTTATCAGGCAATGTTATGTAAAAACTAAATACATTTTTCACAAAAAATTGGTACGAGTAGAGTATTTTTGTTTTCGCGAAGGATGCTTGAAGTGAAACGATCCAGGCAATTTATCAAAACTTGCAAACATGAACAGTGCCTTCCAATAACTTTTCTTTCAAAGTCCCACACCAAACACCTTTTTGTATTACAACTGCAGAATATATCACATAAAGCATTAAAGTGGCATACAATTGCAGGGTTCTCAGCACTTCATAAAAACAAAATTCCCTGCGTTTTCTCTGATATATTCCTGAGAAATTTCTAAAATTCCACGACAAATATTTTTATTAAAGAGATGGTTGCAGCAAAGCAGCTAAGATACTGATTATACACAGGCAACTTGTTGACAAGCGATGGCCTTCACTTCTTCCCTTGTAGTCATCTGTTCCTCACCGAAAAACCGTTCACTTCTTGGTCAATGTCAAATTCCCCGAGTTTTCCCCGACTGGAAAAATGTAAACTCATTTTCAGGGTTTTCCCTGATGTCAAGAGTGGATTGGAACCGTGATCTATCAGTTAGAGGAAGTTGGATCTTACCTGACTGTGTCCCCAGCAGCTTCAGTAGATTCAGCTGGAGTATCCTCCTATTAAGAAAAAACAAAGACACATTTCCACAGTCAGACAACAGGTCAATTTCAAACGGCAATATTTACAACCACTATAAATACAGAATTAGAAATACAAAATGATGGATTACAGGTTCTAATTTGTTTTGAAGAAGAAGAAGAAGCTTAGCCTTGGAATAAACAGAACCTTCAGCAAAATCACAGAAAGAAAAAAGTTTATTTTGTCGGTTCAAAAAGCACTCACAGATCATTAATTGCGAAAAATGCCATAACACAGCATCACCATACTGCATTGCAAATTTGTACATTAATAAATGAATACTTCACGCAAAAGTAGTCTGAATTAAAGAACAACACATCTTGTAATTGAGAATAAAATAAAACAGATGAAAATGATGTGCAAGGCTTAGCATAAACAACACAAGGTACAGCTTCGGACCTTGACGAAAGGCATCCTCCAAAATGAAACACACACTTTTGCAATACAGCATCAATCCTTCAAAATACTCCACTATGCAAAGACAATTTTGGAGGATTTGGAAAGGCCCGGGTTAATGACATCCCTCCTAGCGGACTCTGTAACTCCCAAGCGCCATACCTGATCAGCGGTTTGCTCCAAGTCAGCCTTGGTGGCTTTCTTGCGCTGCCTGACGCTGCTCTCCTCTTCACCCTCGGCTGCCTCTGCCTCCTCTTCACCTTCTTGCTCTTCCCCTTCCTCCTTTGTCTCGTCGTCGGGGCTGGCTTCGTCTGATTTCTTGGCATCCTCGGCATCAGATGGAGACTGTTGAAGACATAACACTGCATTTACTACAAAAGTTCTGAATAATTATTGAAGTACAGAGCATTGAGCACTAGTTCTTGCTTTCAGCGTACTACTGCAGAACATCGCTATCACAAATGCAAATAGGGTCAATAAAAGATTTTCTATATAGTGATAGATTGTTTTGGTGATTGTTTGACTGTTAATGCTCACCAAAATTGAAAATATAATTTCACAGTCAAAGCAAAAGTTCAGAAAAGCAGAATGTTCAGTATAACAGTGTTCATTAGGGCCAGTTCGGTCACTTTTACACTTTTGTCTTTTTTCCCCTAAATGCAATCATAACAGTTTTTTGTTGTTAAAGTCTTTAAGAGACAAGGATTTAAAGTTCTAATTGTTCTGAATGAAAAATGATATTTTCAGCCGAAGGATAAAAAAACTCAGTATTTGCTACAGATCTTGCTCTCACGACAGAAATGTTACTTTAAGTAAAAATGGAGGAGATTCCAAGCTTTAAAAGACTTTCTTCTGTGTTTTTCAATTTTAAAACTTAGATATTGTGTTATAAGTTTTGAGGGCGAGGCCTTTCCTCATATATGTAGGTCTGCCAAGTCTAATACACATCTGCCAGTCTAATATAAAACAATCACAAGATAAACTCCTTACCCCACGGAAGCAGACTCTGAAGCATACAAAGAGAGGTATGATAAGGACGAGGGCGTAGATGGCCCAGAGCCAGGGCCGATCCTCTGCAGCACTCATCAGGCCAGAGACGACACTGTCCTGAAACATGAAATACACAAGAACTACGTTGTTACATGACTCAAGGCAACAAATTCGTGTCCCAGTTGTTTGTGCAATGTGACCAAAAAAAAAAGTTTGACTAGCTGGTTTTTTTTTTGTAATACTTTCCAATTTTTTTCATAATTGACAAATAATTGATATCTGCCAGAGCAATAACATTTAAGCTAAATACCACCATAAAAATAAGTAGTTTCAACAATGTTTTAAGGGTTGGTTTGTACTTCACATTACTGCAATTGTGAATCAGAAATGATGCTCGCAAACATTGCCAAATTGTTCACCCTGGAGTGTATCAATTCCCATATTACATTTTCATTGTTGTAGCTGATATTGAAATAGAACAGGGTAGATCTTTTATTCTCTGATCAGGTTCCATCACGGATTTCAAGAGGAACAAACTCATGCCAAACTGTCCATCTCCTGGTTCACAATTCATGCAAATGTGAAACAAATTTGACAACATAGCACACTCGCAGGGAAACATGCCAGAGATTCTCGCTGTCTTGTCTGCCAAAGTCCTCCAAAGGGGGATGGATTTTGATAGAGTTGGGAAGGTTAGGGTTAATGCAGAGCCAGTACTAAATATAAAGCCTGCACCTCCAAACTGCCAACAATTGAAACTCAGGAAAGTGCACTCACCGCTGAGCTGGAGCTTCCTTCTTGCTTCTGCTTGATTGCCCACGTGTCAGCGGCCCACTCATCAGCCACGTCGCGACTGGACGTCACGATGAAGTTATCAAACAATATACTATCGGTCATTGACCAGAGTTCCAAGCCAACCGCAGCCTGAAAGGAAAAAGAAAATATGAAACCAGCGCTTGTAAAACATCAACATAAAGGAATAGCAGATTTGAAACCATTTTTACATCATCTCTCAAAAAGTAGTAACTTAAGGAAAGAATGCAAAAATCAAACAGGCGGTAACTCTAGGTTTCCTCCTGGTTTTGCAAGGTTTTACAGTGTACCTCAGGGTTCATCCTCTAGTTACCACTTGTTTAATTTTGCATTCACTCGTTACTTGTTCGGCTTGAACAAGTAACATTTGCAATGACAAACTTTGCAGAAACCCCTTTTCACATTTTCAAAATATGTACCAATGTTCAGTGTCAGAATTTTCGATACAGTCATAGTATATTTCAGAAAGTGGGGTTTACAAGCAAATAAGATCTTGAATTTCATTCGTCCTGGGCTCTGTAGTCACTGTCACGCTCCGGTGGTCACGGTGCAATACTTTTTCATTGTTGACCACATTGGAGTGCTGTGTGATTCGTCAAGACACACACACAGCACAGACCTAGGTTTCTCCTCTGTAGTCAAATTTGTGCCGATGTGCAAGTAGTTATTTTCTGATGTATAATTTGTTGGACCTCAAGGGCCAGCCTACTTTCTTCTGACTAAGTGATTGACTGATTGATTGACTGACTGACAAGAACGTCCTAACCTGTCTAACTTTTGGGTCCAGCTCAACTAGGAAAGCCAAGTCTTGTTCAAGAAATGAGGTTGCTTGTGATTATCCTCTGATTTGCTTTCTGCATAAAAGAACATGAAACAAAAGAAACCTCGGCCAGTACTCACGATTGCGGTCATACGGAAGGGTTCGGAATCTTCGAAGTAGTCTGGATTGGATATCCTCCTGGGTTTCCATTCCCCTTTGTAGGCCGGGTTATCAATCATGGGACGCTTCCACTTGCCCTTGTAGTCTGGGTTGGGAACGGTCGGTTTCTCCCACTTGCCGCAACCGACGTCTTCACACAATGGATTCTCTGTGAATAGCAAGCAGTTAATATCCATCGTCATCTATTACTTTAAAAGTATTCAGTGAGCACAATGAGAGAAGTAGACATCCGAACTCTAACAGTCCCACCTGACAATTAACAGAGAGTGAGTAGCAATGAAATGATGGCGTGCCAACACCCTCCTGCTTTCTCAGAACCACAAACATAGCCTACACCAGTCAACATCTCTTAACGTAAGCACAACACTACCTTCACCACAGACCTTTTTAACCTGTTTGGGGTAGACACCACAAAGTACATCATCAGTGACCTGATCGTGGCAGCCCTTTCATTTTAAACAGTTTATCCAGGGCTAGTCAATATCAGCATGCCAATCAATACATGTCTGTGTATGTCCCACGTATGTATGTGATTTACTTGCGTATGTGTTATGTCCCACACCTTCAGGTCACGTGAGTGGTCATACACCTCCATTTACTTTTCATGCATGCAATCACATGAAACTTCTCAGTACTCAGTGCGCACACCGTTATTTTTAAGAAGCAAAGTTACCCATTTCTTATAAGATACACATCAGTATTGATGGATACAGCAGCATGATCAGTATACTTATTACAACATATTTTAGCAATAGAGGGTCCACACTTACTTATTTTTGGTGGTTCCCATTCCCCATCCATCTCGTCATCCCTGGGAGAAACAAGTACACAAGAATGATACATTAAACGAATTCAAACTAATTTGTTTAATTCCCTGACTGAAAACATTGGGATATAAATGCTTAAGGGTCAAAACCTTCAAATAGAAAATCAGTTTTAAAAAAAAGCTGAAGGTGGAACAAGCTTGTTATCTTTAGGTCTGTTTCCTTCACTCGTAATTGGACTTGTGATGTACTTGTGACCTGAATTCGGATGGACACAACTGAAGCACTGGTCTTGAGGAATGAGCAAGTGAAAACAGTCGTGTCTAGGATGTGAGAAGGATCCTTACCAGTCATCTGGTTTCTCAGCATCCGGGTCATCCATGAGCTCCGACTCCTCCTCCAGCCAGCCCTCTGGCATGACTGCATCCTCATCAACAAGGGTAGCTGGCGCGTCTTCATCCCAGTCATCCGGCTTAGTGGCATCTGGGTCCGGGATCCTGCAAGGATTAAACACAGCACAAGGTTGAAGTTGAATTATAAGTTTTTATGGCCTCACGTTAGAACTCCCTGTTGGAATCTTGCTTTCCCCTTTCTCACGATTTATCTCAATTAAAGGGAATGTACCTCATTGGCTTTTGCTGTAATTTTCGGAAATGAACTATTTTGAGGGGTTAGTATAACAGATCAAATATTGTTAAACTGACATGTTTGAAGTTTTGTGTTCGAAAATGCTGGAAAAACCAAGAAAAGCAAAAATGTTCAAGTAGTCTGGTCCCCTGACTCCACTAAAGATGAAATGGATCAATTTATAAATGCTGGAAAATTGTAAGGTAATGGAATCAGTCTAACTGGCCAGCACCTGTTCATGAACATGTAACCAACAGCAAACAAAATTTGGACTGAAAAAAGGTAAATTTGGAGCAGTAGTTGAAAAATAGTTAGGTTTTTCCAACGGTGGTCGGCCGACCACCGTTGGAAATTTATACAAAATACTACTTTTCTTGCACATGACTTCACATCTGGTGCCATAATTTTACAGGATGCTTTAGACTGTTATTTACCAACATCCTAGTAAGGTTTTTCGTAAAAAAATCGGTAGTTTTGTTTTTCGATGTTTGCAAATGTTGTATATTCCCTTTAAAATGCAAAGTCAACAGATACTGCCTGCTTCTTTCTTTCTTTCTTCTTTCTAGTTTTCTCGTAACCATATACTTGAGTGGCCTATGGCCTTGTGGTTGGCGATCCCATTAAAAAAAGATCTGATTTGTGGTCATCTATCTTGCTACTTGACAGTTGGAGGTGAATCAAGTTGGCTCTTACTTTTTCCTGTCGTCCCACTCCTGTGGCTTCTCCTCATTTGGATCGTCGATTTCCTCAGGTGGGTTGACAGGTGGCCTAGGAGGGATTAGATACACACAAAGATTACAGTGAAAAGTCAGCAGGCAATCAAATTGTTTAAAAATATTCCATAAGCAACAAGACATACAAACAAATATATCTGTCACAGTAAAGATGGCCTGGAATGTTTTCCCTACATGCTGTAACACAACATGTTATGAGAACCAGACAAAATAGGCATGGCCGGCATTACATTATGGTCAGCTGAACTGATATAAAAAACATCTTTTCATTCGCACATGTATTTTCATTGGTTGCAACGGGTAACAATTCAGCACTCCAGACCTAAGAACCATTGAGTTTTAAGTAAATATACGTCTGGGAGCTAGATAAGCCAATGTTATAATTTCTGGAAGTCTGTTCCTGCCAACAGACCATTTTGAAATGGTTTCCAAATGAAAGCCGCAAAACAGTAACAGTCAGCCTCATAAACCAAAGTTTAACAACAAAGAAAACAAGAAATTTTATATTACATAATAATCCTGCATAATAGCAACGTAAAACTACAACTAACATGGAGTCATGGCTCTTTACAAACCCTAAGTATTTTTAAATCTTGCCTTTCCATTTTAGGACCTTGGTCTTATTTGCCTTAACTTGGTTACATTTCTTCTATACACATTTGCTTTACATTTCCTCAACCTGTACAACAAAACCTGTTACATTCTACATGTAATGCTTTCTAGGTAATTCTTTCAGTGCACTATCCTTTCCCCTTTATTTTGTTCTTATCTCTTTCACTTACGTCATGTCTTCAAGAAGGTTGCCTTGACTCACGCTGGTCTGATCCACGAAGATCTCAAAGTTGTTGTCAGTGTTCACCACTGTAAACCAAACACAAGAAACTCAAACAGTAACTTTTGTTGCAATTCCACACATGTAAAGCTTGTAAAAGTAAAGAAAAAGGTTGTAAAGTTTCTCTTAAACTGGACAAGCCCACCTTAAGGCCTTATTTTGAAAGACAGACTCTTAACAAATTTTTGACTCATTTCTCAGGTTTTGGCTGTAAGAAATTATACAATCATAAAAAAATGAAGATACCCTCTGCAACCTTAAAACAGAAACTGAGCCGTCTTATATTGACTTTTCCTTCCAATGGTTCTTACCTAGTGTGAAAAGATGAGTCTTTTTGTCAGTGAAGACGCGAGCGAAGTTGCCTGATGGTTTCTTAGCGTGCTTCTCCTGAAAGTGTTAAACAAACAATGGATTTTACAACCAAAGACCACACCAAACAACAATAATTCGAACACTGATTTACGTGCAGTAAAAGTTAGGTAACAATGCTGTAGAACAATTCAACATTACTTTACCTGAAAAAAACTTTGCGTATCAGATTGCAAACATAGTAAACAGTGATACAACCAATTTGGAACATCATTTTTATGGAGGATTTCTCAGAGTAGCTTAGCATGATTCTTGGAGTTTTAGTAACTGTGGACTTCACATTAATGACATAGACAAACGTGTAAAAATGATAAAAACTCATGGCTTATTTTACCTCATACGCTCCGGTGACTGGGTTCTTATGCCTGAAGATAAAATGCAACTGCAAAATAAAAAGGGTAAGCAAAGTGAATTTCCTCATCAATTTTATTTATCTGTAACGCTTAATTAAAAAATTGAATTAAAATGAACGATTCTAATATGACAACTGCATCTGAAGATATTAGTTGACTAGTTTTGTCTAGTTTTTCTTTTATAAAAAAAATTCATTACCTTTTGATCATTGCCACACTTGTCAGGTCCAAACATGATGGTGTAGGGCGTTTTGTCATTCATATTTTTCTGAAAACAAAACAAAAATCTCAGGAAACTGACATGGAGAGAACACAACATTGAAGTCAAACCAATTCTTGTTCTGTTTTTCCTTTCAAAAGAATGAAGAAAGGTTCACATTTCTTTCACAGTCACGTAAACACTACATCTACATTGCACATCGCTACATCATCTAAATAATAACTGACTTCTAGTGTGTATATCAAACAAGGCTTTGCCTCGCTGCTTCACCCACCCTGAGGCAAAGCAGGCCCAAGGTTAAGCCCCAGGGATGTTTAAGTCAGATTAGCTGCCAACTCACCAGCTGCAAGTCCGGGGTTTGGGATAGAAGCTTGATGTATGCACCGCCACATTCCATGCCATTCTGGAACTTCACTTCATATCTATTTGGAAATAACGCAACACCATTCAAGAAGGCTACCATCGATATAATAACCTGTGGTGTTCCTAGGCAGGATTATTACCACAATAACCCACCTTTTTTGGTTACTTGAGGTTGTATTAAGCTACCTGGGATTTTTTTTTGGAGAAATCATGGGAGTTTTCACAGGTTGCAACTTGGTCACAAAAAAGGACTATGGGCGACATACTACATTTCATCATTGTCGTCTTAACTGTTTACACATTATGAATGGGAAAAAATCAACACCCAGACGCATGAGCAGAAAAGCTTCACGCCAAGAATTTAGTAGTTTTATACCCGCCCACAATACTCAAAGTAAAATTGTAGGATAAATACTTACTGCACTATGAATGGCTCCTCTTCAAAAACAAATGGCTTGTCCAGCATGGCTCCTACAGCATGATGTTTGGCTTTTGACTGTGAATATCAAGATATTTTCAAAAAAATAAAACTTGATTCATGTGAATGCGAATGCGATGCGAATCGACGTCACTAAGCATCCGCTGAAAAGTTCGCTTCATTGATTTCAACAGGGGTACGTGAGATGATAGCTTAAAAAGGCCCCTATTGGATACTGACCTTGAGTACTAAGCCTAGATCACCCTGTAGGGGCTGGTCAACTGGTTCCTCAATGGACCACTTCCCATCAAACTTGGACAAGTCAGCTTCCACTCCGTCCTTCTTGGCAGTGGACTGGACCCATCTAGGCACACAGCAGAGAGGCACAGAGTTTGTACTCGTATATTTGACGTGTATATGTAGAGGGTGACATTAATTATAAAACTGCTGCAAAACTGGCAGAATATATTTAAGCCTACACAAAGCACTACCGTGACACATTTAATATTGTAAATGACTTGCTTCTGTGTTACGTACACAAAAGGTAACTCATACCCCACTGCAAAAAAGCAATTTGAGAGAATGAAAGTTATTACTATGAAATGCCAAGTTGATTGCTGAATACACTTCTTTTACAGTTTAAAGAGAGATAAAATAACTGATTTTGTCAAATATACAAGCAAAAGAGTAACTTTTTTTTCTTAAAAAAAATGCCCCAAATCATAGACCTCATCTCTCATACCTTTTTCACATGGTGATTCTGCACAACACCTCGTCTTTTCTTTTTCCACAAAACTTTATTGCCATTTTGTAAAACCACCCAAATAATAGGGGCCCAATTTCCTGGCTCTGCTAACCACAGACATTTGCGCCTATGATCGCCATTCTCTGTGGAAACAGAACAAAGCAATTCGGCACTAACGCAGCCTAACTCTCTCGTTCTACAGGTTACTTTATCAGCTCTAACATGCAAGAATTTCATAGTGTATGTATGTTATACCCCAACTAGAACATTGGTCCCAACTGAAGTTGGGCGCATCCCAACTTAAGTGGTCCAGTTGGAATACTTCAGTTGGGACAGTCTTTACCTAAGATGGGACAGTCCCAACTAAAGTCTGGTCAATGGTCTAGTTGGGTCATAGCTCTACACGTACCTCTTTCCCAGGGCAGATTCCTCAAGAAAGGCATCATGGAAGTTAGTGGGGCCTTTGGCATGAGGCGGGACGTATTGCACTATAACCTTCTCTTTGACAACTTCAGGTTCTGGTTCATCCTCGATTTCCACCTCATCCCCTAGATCAAATTCATCTTCATCTTCCTGGCAATGCACCACGGTACAGCTCAGCACCAGAGCCAGAGTGACTGCATACCACCAAAGCCTCATCTTTAATAATACCTGCAGAAAACATGGCCATGTTGGAATTAAGTCACAATCAAACATGTACAACAAAATTGGAGCCTCAGATAATTAAATGAAATGTAGATGTCTGAGGAACTGCCCATATGCGTTTTCATCGCTAGTATTTTCGAAGGCGAGTGTTCTTACAAAATATAAATAGACGGTTCCAAATAAACTAGCAGCAAAGTCTAAATGTGAAAATCGCAACAAAACGTTCTCCTCATCACTTACATGTAGGTAGGCAAAAAAAAAATAGTTCTGCTCTGATTACATGCCTTTCAAAAATACGGTCAGTAGGTCGAACAACATTTTTTTTTGGCCCGATTTTGTTTGTGCTGATTGAATTGCTGCGCTATGAAGCTATAAAATTGTCCCATGATCACATGATCCGAATGTCAATTGTTCTAAAACATTTGAGACATTTATGGATCAACCAGGGCAACTTTCTGCGTGGACAATGGTGGATTTGTGTTTCAGAAATTGGAATTCCAGACAAACATGACAAAGGTATTTCGTGAAATTCGTCGATCAAAGTGCATTTCGAAAAGCCATAGCTACTGACCCCCTGAAAAATCACAATGCTATTGCTAGAAACTAGAAGGCTAACGAGACGTGCCTTCTAATTCTAGAAGTAGGCCTAGAACCATTTGTATTCCTCCATCATGTCCATTTATATTTATAACAAATGTCTTACCTTTTGTTTTGGTTCAGTTCTTAAAAGATCCTGGTATTAAAACGATTGCCGGCGTTTAATCCAATGGCAATGCAAAAAAGGAGTAACCGTAAACCCACCTTCACGCTAAGCATGCAGTACAGTAAGCGTATGCAGAACGCGTGGAGCAACGTGAATGGTCGCCGAAGTTGTACGTATACATGTGCCGGGACAAAAAAATGAATTATTTATTTGTATAACGCACTTTATCTTCAATTTATTAGTTTTTATTTTCATATAGCAAACATTTTGTCCAAAAACATTTACTTCTTTTTTTTATTCCCTAATTCATCAAAATCTTATACTTATTTTTTTTTTAATGTAATTATTTTTAATAAAATTCTTTAAATTTATAAATAATTCCGTGCAATTTCGTAGTCTTGTTTCCAGACTGGCCCCTTCTCTTTTATACATTCGATTCTTTGCAATGGGTACATTGAGGGCGCACTTCCACCTTACCGGTGCTGCATACACTAACCAGAGGGGTGCATACCTGCAAATAAACTCCCATAGACACTAGTGCTAAATGCCCATACTTCAAAATTATTTTAAAAATACTCAAAACTCTCACAGGTATTCAAGCTGCACAGAAAAATGATGATCAATGTGTCATCTTTCATTTTCTTTTCGATTTTTGGTGGGTTGACCATTGACTTTTCGAGATATTTTCACGCAAAGAAGACGACCCCTATTTCCCCCAAAGCGGAAAAGTAGCCATCTTGAAAAACGATCCCTCCACAACATGGCAAAATAGCGCCACTTTCGAGCCCAATAGCATCCAAAATGCTCAGAATTGGAAGCCCCAAGTCCGGGCCAGAGGTTCATTACCATATCTCTTCAATTCCCCAATTTTACGGCGCTCAGAACTCTCTAATATAGAATATTTTGAGGGGTATAACTTTTATTCATGAGCTTGGCGGATCGATTTACCGGTGTGCACCCAGAGAGATTGTATTAAGTTGATATTTGATCCAGTGATCGGTCTTGGGCATTAGGATATTCAATTCCCTGGGAAACCGCCAAAGTTTGAAAGTTTCTGAATTTACTTCTCTTTCACTAGACGGCACGCCACATACATAGTTAATTTTATTGCATGCACAATAAAACACATTATACATTATTCTCCGACCTCACAGATTAAAACAAAAACAAAAAAACAAGCCCCCCAAAACGTTTAGTCTTATTTGCTATCTGCACTACTGAGAAGTAAACTTTTTTTCATTTATACTCCCAATTATCAAATCTTTCAAATCAATTTCAGTCCTGCCATGATAACCTCTGCGTCTCTTCTAATACTTAAACCTGGTACCCCCTCCTCCAACCCCAACCAAATTCCCCTCCCCATGAAAAACAAAACAAAAAAAACAAGACTGCTCTTGAAAATAAATAAAAGGAAACACAGAATAATACAGTAAAATCAATCTACATCTTTTTTTCTCAACTTTATTTTGTACTTGTCAAGAAACTCTTGTACATTAGTTGTGTAATTACAAAGATAAGCACAGTTCAATAATTTGAGACACTCTTATTGTGAAATTAAAATTTGAAAAAGAAAGCTCTCCGATTATGCCCCCAAAATGGCTATTTTACTAATTCCAAGTAGAGACTTGTGCCCCAAATAAGTTATATTTCTGTTTCAAATGTATAGCTTCCCTTTTCAATTATTCTTTTTGGCCAAAAATTAACCTGAGAAAGGCAAACAACAAATAAAAAATAAAAAACTTTCCGGGGAAAAAAACCCTGAAAAATCCTTTCCGACCCTCTTTGTTTTAGAGCGCTCAAGCAAAATGCTCCAGGTGTAATTAAAATGGCCCCTTCCCCTGAAGAAAAAAGTTTAGTACTTAAAGGTTGAGGTAGTCAAGATAACAACTAAAAACTTTTATCAGATGTTTACATCAATAATTTGGGTAAAATCAAAGGATTGGGTGCGAAAAGGAAGCAAAGGCTTGGGGTCTCCCCCCCCCCCCCCAGTCTACAAATTCAATATTTTCATATTTTTTAAAGTCGTAATTATGACACTGGGCAAACACTGTGCTTATCCTTTTGCTTCAAAGAACCATGCAATTTAATGAAACATGCAGAAAAAAAAAATCAAACTAAAAATGTCTCAAATTCGTGCAAACAAACGTTGCAAAAAGATAAGCCCAGTGTAATTTCAATGTCTGGATGCCTTTTGATTGAAAAGAACGCTCCAATGGTTATTATTGTATTTGTTAAAAGTACCCTTTTGTAAGTGCATGAGGTGGGCCATTTCATTTCCCCCCCTTTTTTTAGGGGGGGGGGGAGGTCCTCTAACCCTAATCATTTGTACAGCTCTGACATTTTAAACAGCATGTTTTATATAGTGACATTTATATAAACATTGCTCAGTAATTCCAATTTCCCATGAATTTTGAAGTCTCTATGCGACAAAAAAAAAAATTTATTGGAGAAATGCAAGGTACTTGTAAATTACTATATTTTTAAAATTGGGTTGGAAGTGGTACACTGCTATACCCTTCATGCATGGGGCTTGTATTTATCGTGAATAATTCAAATCATTTAAAAAATTAATCATTTGTGCTACATATTATTTCAATCATTTAGCATAGTTTTTGCAAAATAGTTAAATATGTTTAAGCATTTTCAGGTTTCTTGGTTTAATAAAAGGTCAATGATTTTGGTCCAAAAAAGTATTAAGGCTCAATTAAAAAAATTATCACCAAATTCCAAACTTTACAGATTACATTCTTCTTTCATTATTTGAGGGGACATTTAAATTATTTTTCATTCTGTGGTCAAAGGGAAGGGGGTAGACAGGTGGCAGCTGGCAATCCGTCTCTGTATCTGCTGTCGTTGGTGGCTACATCTTGGCGTATCTACAAAAAAATATAAAGACCAAAAACAATGCATTAAATAAATAATTCTGATTTGTCAGTCAACCAGTCACATTTGTGGAAGCATAATACTTGTGCAGCAGATGAAGGCCAAACCATGCGACTCAAAAAGCAGTAAACTATTACAAGTAATTTTGTTGTTTTCTGGAAATGGTTATTTATCCCCTAAGTGAAACATTATACAGGGTGGTGCAAAAAGAAGGAAACCCACTTTTGACAGCAATTTATACCTGCTTGTTGAGCATAGTTCAAAATTCAATAATGGTATTAAAATGTTTTTCTTTAAACAAAATTACAGTAAACTAAAAAAAAATGACTGCAAAGGCATATTTTGTCTCTGAGATATGGTAGTTTAAAATTTCATGTGCCAAACCCGTTTGTACACAGATGGTTTTATTCCATCCACTTGATTGAGCTCCGGAGCTTGATTTGAAGACAGAAAAACACTACACTAGACTTACACGTGGACAACAGTGATTTAGGTGACTTGTATTCAAATTATCATCATAACACTATTCTTGTGATTTGTTAAAAAAAAAAAAATTTCACCATGTATGGATGAAGAGCTATACTTCACTACATCATTAAAAAAAAATTCAATTAAGTTAAGTAGAAGTAAGTAAAATTTCCTGTCAAAAGTGGGTTTCCTTTTTGTTGCTCCACCCTGTAGCTGCTTGATGTGACTGAACCCAAAAAATCACTGTTTGGTTCATTTTTTATGAGTCAGTTTACCTCAGAAATCAGTGTTCTCCCTGTCTCCAGCTCTTTAGGTTCATCAGTGACGGGCGTTAAGGATTATCCTGATCCAGCTCCAGCCTCTTCCTCATCAACCGGATCAATGCATAGTCTTCATCTTCTGAAACATTTAAAAAAGAGAAATAAATACATTAGAAAATGTACAACAAAAGTGAAATCGATTACAATGTAGATGCATCCTGAAAAGCAATTTGTATACATGTATTTCTTTCTTAATTGAGACCCATTATTAAATTAGCAGAAAAAAGTCTCAATTGAATATAACTTTTGGGGGCTTCTATTTATCCAGCCATCTTTCTTATATCTCAGTCAAAAATTAAACTCAAGGGTAAGAAACTGCAATCTAAGCAAACAGAGTCATCAGCATGGGCGTCACGAGGGGGGTTGCAAGGGGGGCACTTGCCCCCCCCCCCCACGCCCCCGGAAAAAAAAAGGAAAAAGAGGTGCGAAGCCATATTGCTGTTAATTTGCTGGGGGGGGGGGGGGGTAGGGCAAATGCTCCCCTGCTCACGCTCGGAAAAATGATAAATTGAGAATATAATGAAAAAGTTAAGGAATTTTTGGGAAAAATTTGCCTTGCCCCATCCCCCTGGAAAAAATCCTGGCGACGCCCATGGTCATCAGTCATCTCCTGCATTATTATATTCCTTACTTCCAGATCTTCCGTTTCTTCAGTGATGGAGTGGTGTCCTTGACAGGATGGAACATCCTCTTGCTCATCTAGCCAGTCTCATCTAGGCTTGGTGGTCATCATCCTCTGAAAGAGTTCAAAAGTACCGGAGGAAAATTTAAGAAACCAGCAAAGAAAGATGTTCACTTTATTTTTGTTAGTAGGCGTTGTTGTCGTTGTTTTAATTTTGTTAGGGTTTTTTTCCTATTTATTTAATTTGTTGTTAAACTTACTTCATGTATCAGAAATGACATGGTCAGCAAGCAGGCTCATCAGTCATCTGTTGGTCTCTGCTTCCGATTCCCAGACATCGGTCATTCTCCTGAAGTAATGGCTTGAGATTTTCCCTGTGACAATCTCCATTCTGTAAAATAAAAAAAAACACTTCTCGGCCTAGGCAAGCTAGGTCACATCAGTAACAATTCCTGTTTGGTTGTCCAACACAGTAAAAAGACTGTCATTTTTTAAATATTTCCTTGTGTAAGTTGTGCTTCCTTGTCCATGAGTCTTTAAAAAAAAATGTGTACAGTGTTGTTTCAGGATTGTAGCTGTTAAGGCAATGCTCCAGGAATTACCCTCCTTTTTACATCAAATTGTTAAATCATTGGTTTTTTTTAGTAAATCCACCTCACAAATTCTCAAACGGCAAGTTCAATAAGCAGAGACAACACTCATCTGTTGGTCCTCCTCCCTGCTTCCATCTCCTTAGTTCCAGCCGAAGTGGGGTGGGGTGGGCAAAGTCATCCTCAACCAGAAACTTCTTCATCCAGCCACTGTCATCCACATATAAAAGGCCCTATTTTCTATTAATAAATCAAAAACAAGAGAAAGAAAATATTTCAGAATCAGGATTGATGAGATAAGTAAATCATTCCACGAGGGGTAACTTAACCAGAATGGTGAAAAATAGTCTGTTTATGACAGTTTACCATTGTGTATTCATTTTCCTTTTAGAAACTTACTTCAAAAATTAGAAATGGGAAGCCCGACAAGCAGGTCATCCGTTGGTCCTCCTCCCTGCTTCCGGCTCCTCAGTTCCAGCTGAAGTGGGGTGGGAAGGGCAGAGGTCATCCTCAACCAGAAGCTTCCTCATCCAGGCACTGCCATCCATGTATAACAGGCTCCATTTTCTGTTATCAGATCAAAAATGAAGAGAAAAAAAAAACATTTCAGAATCGGGATTAATGAGACATGCAATTCATCCTGCAAGGGGGAACTTAACCACATGAGTAAAAAATAGTCTTTTTATGACAGTTTACCATTGTTTATTTGTTTTCCCTTTTGAAACTCACTACAAAAATCAGAAATGGAGAGCCCGACAAGCAGGTCATCCGTTCATCTGTTGGTCCTCCTCCCTGCTTCCGGCTCCTTAGTTCCAGCTGAAGTGGGGTGGGGAGGGCAAGGTCATCCTCAACCTGAAGCTTCTTCATCCAGCCACTCTCATCCAGGCGTTCTAGTTTCCATCTTCTATTAAGAAAATTAAAACAAAGAAGAAAGAAGACCTCAGAAAAAGAATTGATGACAAATGCAGTCCTTATGTAAGAACACATTTTTTTTAAACTAACCTTATAAAGCAGTAATGGGTAGCCCTGCAAGCAGAGTCATCAGTTCATCCATCTGTCGTCCTCCCTGCTTCCGGTTCCTTGGAGGGATTCGTTTCCATCCTGACAAAGCAGCCTCTCCTCATCTGGTCAGTCTCACACTTGTAGATGTTCATATTCTCTTGGCTGAATGAGCTACAGGGAGAAAGAAAACTCAACCCAGCCTAGCTAGGTCACATTGTATCTCTACAGATGGTTAGAAAAGACTTACTTATTTTAATCCCAGGCAACAAAATAGATATTTTGAGGAGAAAAAAAGAAACGAGTGTGTTAAAGAAAGCTGCAAATCGATAGGGCTTACTTTGATAAATGCATTAATGCTATAATACAAATACGACTACTGAAGGCAATAATGTTGAACACGGTCTGCTACTTGTTGCAGACTGGACTCACTCTAAATCGAAGACAAGGCAACAATTTAACCAAAGGTGACATTATGCAACGAGTGCATCCCTGCCGATTGTTGAAGATCGGACTTACAATTTTTTTTTAAATTCAAGACAAGACTAAAAATTACTTTTGAAGATGGCATAGTGCCATGATGCTTATCAACAAAATTATAAATTCTGAAGGAGACAGATATCAGAAGTGTTACTGCCGATCATTGAATATCGGACTTACTGGTGAAAAATCAAAATGCGGCTGGAAAAAAAATTAGTAAGATACATAAAGCCACAGAAATCCCTGCCGATGCATTTAAAGATCGGACTTACTGTTTAATTAAAAGCTATAAGACATGGCTGGAATAAATCTAGTAAAGGCGACACCTGACATAATGTCTTGAGATGCAGTCAAGAATGGAGGCAGAAAGCTGATCATTTCAATAATGAAACCAATCACAAAGAGAGATGGTGTCACATGCACTTGATGATAAACCTGCAGCATGACATTGGTTTTTCTTGTCACTATCGCCTATACTTCCAATAAAATCCGCGATTGTGTTTTGTTTTGAAAACACCTTTTCAAATATACTTTGTCTCACCGCTGCTTTGTTGAAATTTACTGTAGTTTACTTGTGTTGTCGCATTTCTTTCATTTGTTGGTTGCATGATTTCTAGTATTTTTTTATCATAAATCATTTCGTGGCTAACTTTTTTTGAAACTGAAAAAAAATTGAAATTCGTATCACTTCGTAGCGTATCGTAAATCATTTTGTTTCTATTTCGTTTCCTTTAGTATCGTTTCGTTTTTTTTTGTGGCTGAGAAAAATAACACTTAAAAAAAATATATAATTGTTCTCACCACCGTTATCGTTTTGTATCGTATGGTAACGTAACGTATCATATCTTATCATGTCATGCCGTATCGCCACCTTCGTTTCATGTCGTATCACACCTTTGAGACCTAAATAACACTGATTTTCAAGTATTGTTTCTTTCTCTACAATTTTTTTGTGGATGAGCAAAATTATACTTTTTCAAATCACCGACGCTTTGATTTAACTGTTCATATAAATTTTGTTGTTTCTCTTTCGTCGATTATATAATTCCAAGTATTATTTATTTCACGCCTGTCATTAACGAAATTACCTTGATTTGTGTAATTTCGTATCGTATCGTATATCATTTCATTTCTTTTGTTTCCTTAGTGAGAAAAATAACACTTTTTTAAATTTAATTTCTCTCACTACCGATATCGTATCGTACCTTTGAGAAATAAATGACACTGATTTCAAGTATTATTTCTTTCTTTACGACTTTGATTTGGTTCTGTTTTTGACAGAGATCTGTGAATAGTCAGAGACTAGAAATTTCAAAAATCACTGGAAGAAAACACACAACCCAGTAATAATCACACCATACACAGGGGGAATAATCACACCGTACACAGGAAATAATCATAAAATACACAGGGGGCGGAATAATCACACCATACACAGGGGGGGGGGGGGGGAAATAATCACACTGTACACAGATGGCATGCAAATCATGGCTAAAATAATGATGTGATGATTGCAAATTTGTGTTTTCTTCTTACTTTCCAATCATCACTTTTTCAAAGAGTAATTTCACTTTCTTTGGTTATCAGACAGTTATAATAATCTGACTGTATAATTGGGGATTTGTTTTATTTGCCGGGGGGGGGGGGGGGGTTGATTATTGGACAGGATGGATTCCATTTCTGTCTCAATGGTCATACAAAGTATTTTATTTTTTTTGGCAAATTGTGTCTGCTTTAGAAAACTGTATGAAAACAAAAATCAATTGTCCAATGACAGTGCACCACGCAGTTACATCTCAGTTCTCAGTTCTTCCTCGTCTCCCTCCTGGAATTTTTAGTTTTATCAGCAGTCGTGTTTTAACTTTTCTGTAGACTTATGATAAACCTAATCTAAGGCTTCAGGATAATATTCCAAGTAGTGTGACTTTTGTTCATTGCAGTTTGTCTTCACTGATAATTGTATTTTCTTGGAACGTCATTGACGGTTCAATAGTAAACTATATAAGGCATAAAGCCTTGTCATTCTGGCAATGTTCCAGGCTTCTGACTTTGTTTCAGATGTTGCCATTGATGTTCATCTCATCTTTAAGAATGTCATTGACTGTTCATATATTTTTTTCAATTATGATGAAGTTTCCTGCCTGATTATCTGGTGGGGTTTTCTCTCCATGGAGCAGTGTGCCAGACACTGTCACATTTTTAAAGTTTGTAGGAATTCCTGGCAAGCTCAGCAAGTAGAGTCTATAGTCCTCTGTAGGTTCTCCTCCCTGTTTCCTCCTCCTTAGCATCAGCAGAAGTGGGGTGAGGAGGGACAAGTCAGCCTCAACCAGAAGCCTCTTCATCTGACAACTCTCATCCAGATCAGGTTCCCATTTCTATTAAAATGTCAAAAACAAAGAGAGTAGAAAACAATTCAGAATCAGGATTGACAAGTGATGCACTTCATTTTGCAAGAGGGAACTTGACCAGAAGAGTGAAAACTAGTCTTGATGTGACATTATTCTATTATCCATTTGTTGCCATTTTCAAACTTACCTAAAACATTGGAAATGGAGAGCCCAGCAAGCAGGGTCTTCCGTTCTTCTGTCGTTCTTCCTCCCTGCTTCCGGTTCCTCAGTCATATGTGATGATGGTTTCAGGTGTCAAGTCAACAGACAAACTTCCCAGGTCTTCATCATATGAGAACAAAAGGCCAAAATCAGTTTAATAAAATACAGGGTGAGTAAAAAAAAAATGAAACCCAAATGTCGGGACCATTGTTTTAGTGAAGTTCTAAATGTAGCACTTTTAAAATCTAAGATATGATAGCTCAATTCATAAGCTTTTTTTTAGTATAAGAATCATTCCAATCACTTATGCACTTTGCAAGTTACAGATTTTTAAACACAAGCATCGTTTTAAAGTTCTGTCCACTAATCACAAAAAGATAAGTGTATTTTTCAGCAAAACGAAAACAAATCACATAGGGATGTGTGTGAATTAGTTTCGCTTTGCTGAAAGAATGCACACCTTTTGTGTGATCCGTGGACAGAACTTTAAAATTGTCACCCTGTACACACAAAAGAACTCTGCACTCGGGACATTATCTTGCGAGGCAATGAAGCAGCAAAACACCACCAGATGTTACTGATGGTTCTATCAATTTATGGCACCGTCTTCCTTTTTTATTTCCTTTTGGAGGAAACTAACCTTGAAAATTAGAAATGGCTAGCTCAGTAAGTACGGTCTTCAGTTCATCTGTCGGTCCTCCTCCCTGCTTCCGGTTCCTAAGGTACATCTGTGATGGTGGGGGTGTGTCAAATCGACAAACAGCATATCCAAGTCTCCATCAATCCAAGACTCATCCATGCTTCTAAACATGATTAAAACAAATATGGAAACAAAGTTCAGTTTAATTTCCAGATAATCTGCACTTGTGGCATTATCTTGCCAGGCAATTAAGCTTCTCAGGAGATACAAACTAGCCATTCCATTTGTGGCATCATCTTCTTTTTCTTTTATTTTCTTTTGGAGGAAACTAACCTTGAAAATCAGAAATGGCTAGTTCACTGCAGAATCATCAGTTCTTCTGTTGGTCCTCCTCCCTGCTTCCGGCTCCTGGGACGGGGAGTGCAAGGTCATCCTCAACCAGTGGCTTCTTCCTCAGATGTATTCGTTGACATCGTTATTTGATTTACGACAGAACATAGTAAGTTAAGGAAAACGATAGAAGGAACCTTACTGCAGACAATTATTTAAATGCTTTAGTAAAAAGGTGTTTTTCATTGTTGAAAGGGGGGCTTTCCATCTAAAAAGCCAATTCCCTAAAAAAAATTCAATGTTTCAAGGATGAGGAGAGGGCCATTTCTTTTTTTGTCAGATTTTTTATGGTGATAAGGATAAGATGGAAAAGGGAGACAAAGGCTAGGGGATGAACCCCCCCCCCTTTGAAATTATGTTGCTGTCAATTTTAAATATTTTAAATTATTAGTTTCAAATTTAGCTCCAAATGTTAGAGTTTTTGAATGTAGTAATTGTCAGACCATGGCCATACACTGTGATTATCCTTTTGCTACTTAAAAACCAAAAGGTGCAATATGATAAAACGTGCAAGAACAATGCATGCCAAAAGGGAACAGTGAATTCATGCAACAAACAAACAAAAACATAAGCACAGTGTAATTTCCACATCTTGAGGTTTTTTAACTGAAAAGAATCGTCAAAGGTTTGAATTTATTTAGAAATGAGCACCATTTTGTTAGTGCATGAGGCAGGCTTATTCATTTAGGCAGGGTGGGGTGTCCCATAGCCTTTTAACATTTTGCTTAGTCCAAACCCAGAGATAACATTCTAATTTCATTTGAATTTTAATTGATTTTTTGTTCTGGTGGTGGGAGGGAGGTATTAACGGTAGCCAGCAAGCCATCTCCGTATGTATGCTGATGTTGACGGTCAACATCTTGGGGAATCTGTAAAAAGCATAAACACCAAAGGCACAGTATTAAATTTATGATTTTAACAGGTTTGACACACTGTTGAACTTTTTAAGATTCAAAATTCATTTTGTTTTGGTTGGGGGGGGGGGGGTTACACTTACCTCATGTATCACAGATGTCATGTTGAGCAAGAATTAAGGCGCATCAGTCATTCCCTGTTTCCGGTTGCCAGGCATCTTTCTCCCTGAAGTAATGGCTTGAGACGTTCCCTATGACAATCTCCATCCTGTAAAACAAAAAGAAAGCTTCTCGGCCTAGGCAAACTAGGTCACATTAGCAACAATTCCTGTTTGGCTGGCAAAAAAGTAATAGCGATTTTCATTTATTTTGATATTTTCTTAAGTAAGTCGTGCTCACAAATTCTCAACTGGCAAGTTCAATAAGCAGAGTCAACACTCATCCATTGGTCCTCCTCCGTGCTTCGGACTCCTTAGTTCCAGCTGAAGTGGGGCAGGAAGGGCAAGGTCATCCTTAACCAGATGAGTGAAAAAGTTGATGACAGTTTTCCATTGTTTATTTGTTTTTCCTTTTGAAACTTACTTCAAAAATAAAAAATGGGAAGCCCAACAAGCAGGTCATCCGTTCATCTGTTGGTCCTCCTTCCTGCTTCCGGCTCCTTAGTTCCAGCTGAAGTGGGGTGGGGGCAAGGTCAGGCATCCTCAACAGAAGCTTCTTCATCCAGCCACTCTCATCCATGTATGCCAGGCTCCATTTGCTATTAACAGATCAAAAACAAAGAGAAAAGAAAATATTTAAGAATCACGAATTCATTTTGTGAAGGGGAACCTAATCAGAAGGGCGAAAAATAGTCTTTTTATGACAGTTTTCCATTGTTTGTTTTTCTTTTTGAAACTTACTTCAAAAATAAAAAATGGGAAGCCCGACAAGCAGGTCATCCGTTCATCTGTTGGTCCTCCTCCCTGCTTCCGGCTCCTTAGTTCCAGCTGAAGTGGGGTGGGGGGCAAGGTCATCCTCAACCAGAAGCTTCTTCATCCAGCCACTCTCATCCATGTATGCCAGGCTCCATTTGCTATTAACTGATAAAAAACAAAGAGAAAAGAAGACATTTCAGAATCGGGATTGATGAGATGCATGTAATTCTTCCTCCACGGGGAACTTAACCAGATGAGTGAAAAATAGTCTTTTTATGACAATTAATCATTTTTTATTGTTTTCCTTTTTGAAACTCACTTCAAAAATCAGAAATGGGAAGCCCGACAAGCAGGTCATCCGTTCATCTGTTGGTCCTCCTTCCTGCTTCCGGCTCCTTAGTTCCAGCTGAAATGGGGTGGGGGCAAGGTCATCCTCAACCAGAAGCTTCTTCATCCAGCCACTTTTATCCATGTATACCAGGCTCCGCTTTCTATTAAAAGAGTAAAAACGAAGAGAAAAGAAGACATTTTAGCATCAGCATTGACAAGAAAATCAATTCATTCTGCGAGGGGCAACTTAATCAGACAAGTGAAAACTAAAAAGTAGAGAAGTTAAGCCTGGCAAGCAGGTCTCCTCCCTGCCTCCTCAGTTTCATCCTCAACAAAAAACTTATTTATCTTACCATTTCATCCAGGTATGTTTGTCTCCAAAACAAAGTGGGAAGAAATAAAACTACAGACTTGATGACAAATGCAGTCATTTTGTGAGGAGAACCTTTTTGAAATCTTACCTTAGGAATCAGAAATGGGTAGCCCTACAAGCAGAGTCATCAGTTCATCTGTCGGTCCTCCTCCCTGCTTCCGGTTCCTCGGAGGGATTCGTTTCCATTCCGACAAAGCAGCCTCTCCTCATCCAGTCAGTCTTAGGCTTGTAGATGTTCATTCTCTTGGCTGAATGAGCTACAGGGAGAAAGAAAACTCGACCCAGCCTAGCTAGGTCACACTGTATCTCCACAGATGGTTAGAAAAGACAAAATTTTATTAAAATCCCATTCAACAAAATAGTTGTTATGAGGAATGGAAAGAAGAAAACAAAAGTGTATAATGAGAAAAGTTTTTTAAAAAGGTCTTACTTTAAATCGAGGACAAGTTAAGAATTTAACTACAGGTGACATAATGCCACAAGTATCCCTGCCAATCGCTGAAGATCGGACTTACTTTTTTCTATTGCAAATCAAGACTAAGAATTACTTTGAGATGGCACAGTGCCATATATATAGAGTCACTGTCAGTGGTTTTAGATAAGACTTTTAAAAGCTCTTGAGGGAGACAAATATCAGAAGCGTAACTGCCGATCGTTGAGGATCGGACTTACTGTTTAAAATTCAAGACAGGGCTGGAAAAACAACTTTTGAAGGCGACATAAAGCCACAGGAATCCCTGCCGATGCATTTATAGATCGGACTTACTGATTAATTAAACATTATTAGACCTGGCTGAACTAAATCTTGTAAAGGTGACACATGACATGTCCTGAGATGCAGATCATAAATGGAGGAAGAAAGCTGAACATTTCGACGAAAAAAAAAACAATTTGCAAAGAGAGATGGCTTGTCATACACTTGACGATAAACCTGGGGCATTGCTTTTTGTTTTCTTGTCACTACCACTTACTTTTTCGATAAAATATATTCGTTGACAATATTCTTTGTCTTTTATTTTCTTTCTTATTTTGCATTAAATATATTACTAATTTAAAAAGATATGTTCTCTCTCTTGAGTTTCAAGTTGGAATAATAGTTATTTATGCGGCCAATTTCTTTTGCAAGAAGGTATCGCGATTTACTTTTTCATTTTGTGTTGTATTTTTGTTGTAAATTTAACAAATTTAACCAACATTATTTGTCTGAAGCAAAACCGGGTATTTTTTTTATTTTACCATAATTTAAATTTTTGTCCCATTTTTTCTTTTGTTGGCTGCCAGATTTCTGACATCATTTTTTTTCAAAGAATCATTTTGTGGCCTAGTTCGAGGAAAGAAACTTCGAAATTCTCTCATTTCGTATCAAGTCGTATTGTATCGTAAATCATTTAAAGTTGATTCTACATGTAGTTTCGTTTCATTTAGTATTATTTTGTTACTTTTTTGTATGTGAGAAAAGTAACACTTTTTTTCAAATATAATTTTCTCACCATCCTATTTTATCGTATCGGGTCTCGTCGTGTTGTATCGCACCTTTGAGAAATAAATAACATCGATTTTCAAGTATTATTTTTTTCCCTATGTTTTTTGTGGGTGAGAAAAATAACACTGTTTCAAATATTATTTTTCTTACCACCGCTATTGTATCGTATCGTATCGTATCGTATCGAGTCTCGTCGTGTTGTATCGCACCTTTGAGAAATAAATAACATCGATTTTCAAGTATTATTTTTTTCCCTATGTTTTTTGTGGGTGAGAAAAATAACACTTTTTCAAATATTTTTTTTCTTACCACCGCTATCGTATCGTATCATATCGTAACATATCGTATCATATCATATCGTATCGTATCGTGTGCTATCCTATCGTGGCGTGTCGTATCGCACCTTTGAGAAATAAATAACACTGATTATCAAGTATTATTTCTTTCTCTATGTTTTTTGTGGGTGAGAAAAATAACACTGTTTCAAATATTATTTTTCTTACCACCGCTATTGTATCGTATCGTATCGTATTGTATCGTATCGAGTCTCGTCGTGTTGTATCGCACCTTTGAGAAATAAATAACATCGATTTTCAAGTATTATTTTTTTCCCTATGTTTTTTGTGGGTGAGAAAAATAACACTTTTTCAAATATTTTTTTTCTTACCACCGCTATTGTATCGTATCGTATCGTATCGTATCGAGTCTCGTCGTGTTGTATCGCACCTTTGAGAAATAAATAACATCGATTTTCAAGTATTATTTTTTTCCCTATGTTTTTTGTGGGTGAGAAAAATAACACTTTTTCAAATATTTTTTTTCTTACCACCGCTATCGTATCGTATCATATCGTAACATATCGTATCATATCGTATCGTATCGTATCGTGTGCTATCCTATCGTGGCGTGTCGTATCGCACCTTTGAGAAATAAATAACACTGATTATCAAGTATTATTTCTTTCTCTATGTTTTTTGTGGGTGAGAAAAATAACACTGTTTCAAATATTATTTTTCTTACCACCGCTATTGTATCGTATCGTATCGTATCGTATCGAGTCTCGTCGTGTTGTATCGCACCTTTGAGAAATAAATAACATCGATTTTCAAGTATTATTTTTTTCCCTATGTTTTTTGTGGGTGAGAAAAATAACACTTTTTCAAATATTTTTTTTCTTACCACCGCTATTGTATCGTATCGTATCGAGTCTCGTCGTGTTGTATCGCACCTTTGAGAAATAAATAACATCGATTTTCAAGTATTATTTTTTTCCCTATGTTTTTTGTGGGTGAGAAAAATAACACTTTTTCAAATATTTTTTTTCTTACCACCGCTATCGTATCGTATCATATCGTAACATATCGTATCATATCATATCGTATCGTATCGTGTGCTATCCTATCGTGGCGTGTCGTATCGCACCTTTGAGAAATAAATAACACTGATTATCAAGTATTATTTCTTTCTCTATGTTTTTTGTGGGTGAGAAAAATAACACTGTTTCAAATATTATTTTTCTTACCACCGCTATTGTATCGTATCGTATCGTATTGTATCGTATCGAGTCTCGTCGTGTTGTATCGCACCTTTGAGAAATAAATAACATCGATTTTCAAGTATTATTTTTTTCCCTATGTTTTTTGTGGGTGAGAAAAATAACACTTTTTCAAATATTTTTTTTCTTACCACCGCTATTGTATCGTATCGTATCGTATCGTATCGAGTCTCGTCGTGTTGTATCGCACCTTTGAGAAATAAATAACATCGATTTTCAAGTATTATTTTTTTCCCTATGTTTTTTGTGGGTGAGAAAAATAACACTTTTTCAAATATTTTTTTTCTTACCACCGCTATCGTATCGTATCATATCGTAACATATCGTATCATATCGTATCGTATCGTATCGTGTGCTATCCTATCGTGGCGTGTCGTATCGCACCTTTGAGAAATAAATAACACTGATTATCAAGTATTATTTCTTTCTCTATGTTTTTTGTGGGTGAGAAAAATAACACTGTTTCAAATATTATTTTTCTTACCACCGCTATTGTATCGTATCGTATCGTATCGTATCGAGTCTCGTCGTGTTGTATCGCACCTTTGAGAAATAAATAACATCGATTTTCAAGTATTATTTTTTTCCCTATGTTTTTTGTGGGTGAGAAAAATAACACTTTTTCAAATATTTTTTTTCTTACCACCGCTATTGTATCGTATCGTATCGAGTCTCGTCGTGTTGTATCGCACCTTTGAGAAATAAATAACATCGATTTTCAAGTATTATTTTTTTCCCTATGTTTTTTGTGGGTGAGAAAAATAACACTTTTTCAAATATTTTTTTTCTTACCACTGCTATTGTATCGTATCATATCGTATCCTATCGTATCGTATCTAGTCTCGTCGTGTTGTATCGCACCTTTGAGAAATAAATAACACTGATTATCAAGTATTATTTTTTTCCCTATGTTTTTTGTGGGTGAGAAAAATAACACTTTTTCAAATATTTTTTTTCTTACCACCGCTATTGTATCGTATCATATCGTATCCTATCGTATCGTATCTAGTCTCGTCGTGTTGTATCGCACCTTTGAGAAATAAATAACATCGATTTTCAAGTATTATTTTTTTCCCTATGTTTTTTTGTGGGTGAGAAAAATATCACTATTTCAAATGTTTTTTTTCTTACCACCGCTATCGTATCGTATCATATCGTAACATATCGTATCATATCGTATCGTATCGTATCGTATCGTGTGCTATCCTATCGTGGCGTGTCGTATCGCACCTTTGAGAAATAAATAACACTGATTATCAAGTATTATTTTTTTCCCTATGTTTTTTGTGGGTGAGAAAAATAACACTGTTTCAAATATTATTTTTCTTACCACCGCTATTGTATCGTATCATATCGTATCCTATCGTATCGTATCTAGTCTCGTTGTGTTGTATCGCACCTTTGAGAAATAAATAACATCGATTTTCAAGTATTATTTTTTTCCCTATGTTTTTTTGTGGGTGAGAAAAATATCACTATTTCAAATGTTTTTTTTCTTACCACCGCTATCGTATCGTATCATATCGTAACATATCGTATCATATCGTATCGTATCGTATCGTATCGTGTGCTATCCTATCGTGGCGTGTCGTGTCGCACCTTTGAGAAATAAATAACACTGATTATCAAGTATTATTTTTTTCCCTATGTTTTTTGTGGGTGAGAAAAATAACACTGTTTCAAGTATTATTTTTCTTACCACCGCTATCGTATCGTATCGTATCGAGTCTCGTCGTGTCGTATCGCACCTTTGAGAAATAAATAACATCGATTATCAAGTATTATTTCTTTCTCTATGTTTTTTGTGGGTGAGAAAAATAACACTTTTTCAAATATTTTTTTTCTTACCACCGCTATTGTATCGTATCGTATCGTATCATATCGTATCGAGTCTCGTCGTGTTGTATCGCACCTTTGAGAAATAAATAACATCGATTTTCAAGTATTATTTTTTTCCCTATGTTTTTTGTGGGTGAGAAAAATAACACTTTTTCAAATATTTTTTTTCTTACCACCGCTATTGTATCGTATCGTATCGTATCGTATCGTATCGAGTCTCGTCGTGTCGTATCGCACCTTTGAGAAATAAATAACACTGATTTTCAAGTATTATTTTTTTCCCTATGTTTTTTGTGGGTGAGAAAAATAACACTTTTTCAAATATTTTTTTTCTTACCACCGCTATTGTATCGTATCGTATCGTATCGTATCGTATCGAGTCTCGTCGTGTTGTATCGCACCTTTGAGAAATAAATAACATCGATTTTCAAGTATTATTTTTTTCCCTATGTTTTTTGTGGGTGAGAAAAATAACACTTTTTCAAATATTTTTTTTCTTACCACCGCTATCGTATCGTATCATATCGTAACATATCGTATCATATCGTATCGTATCGTATCGTGTGCTATCCTATCGTGGCGTGTCGTATCGCACCTTTGAGAAATAAATAACACTGATTATCAAGTATTATTTCTTTCTCTATGTTTTTTGTGGGTGAGAAAAATAACACTGTTTCAAATATTATTTTTCTTACCACCGCTATCGTATCGTATCGTATCGTATCGTATCGTATCGTATCGTATCGTATCGTATCGAGTCTCATTGTGTTGTATCGCACCTTTGAGAAATAAATAACATCGATTTTTAAGTATTATTTTTTTCCCTATGTTTTTTGTGGGTGAGAAAAATAACACTTTTTCAAATATTTTTTTTCCTACCACCGCTATCGTATCGTATCATATCGTAACATATCGTATCATATCGTATCGTATCGTATCGTATCGTGTGCTATCCTATCGTGGCGTGTCGTATCGCACCTTTGAGAAATAAATAACACTGATTATCAAGTATTATTTCTTTCTCTATGTTTTTTGTGGGTGAGAAAAATAACAGTTTCAAATATTATTTTTCTTACCACCGCTATCGTATCGTATCGTATCGAGTCTCGTCGTGTCGTATCGCACCTTTGAGAAATAAATAACACTGATTATCAAGTATTATTTCTTTCTCTATTTTTTTTGTGGGTGAGAAAAATAACCCTTTTTCAAATATAATTTTTCTTACCACCGCTATTGTATCGTATCGTATCGTATCGTATCGTATCGTATCGTGTGGTATCGTGTCTTGTTTTGTCGTATCGCACCTTTGAGAAATAAATAACACTGATTTTCAAGTATTATTTCTTTCCCTACGTTTTTTGTGGGAGAGAAAAATAACACTTTTTCAAATATTATTTTTCTTACCACCGCTATCGTATCGTATCGTAACATATCGTATCATATCGTATCGTATCGTATCGTATCGTGTGCTATCCTATCGTGGCGTGTCGTATCGCACCTTTGAGAAATAAATAACACTGATTATCAAGTATTATTTCTTTCTCTATGTTTTTTGTGGGTGAGAAAAATAACACTTTTTCAAATATTTTTTTTCTTACCACCGCTATCGTATCGCATCGTATCGTATCGTATCGTATCGTATCGTATCGTATCGTATCTTGTTTTGTCGTATCACACCTTTGGAAATAAATAACACTGATTTTCAAGTATTATTTCTTTCCCTACGTTTTTTGTGGGAGAGAAAAATAACAGTTTCAAATATTATTTTTCTTACCACCGCTATCGTATCATATCGTAAGGTATTGTATCGTATCGTATCGTACGTTATCGTATCAAGGCGTGTCGTGTCATATCTCACCTTTGAGAAAAAAGTATTATTTCTTTCTTTACATTTTTTTTTAATACGATTTGTCTCACCGCTGCTTTGTTTTATTTCACCGTTATGTAATTTTCCTTGCATTTTTTTCTTTTGTAGGTTGCATGATTTCTAGTATTATTTCTTTCACACGTGTCATTTCATGGCTGATTTTAAAAATCGAAATTCACCGCTCTCGTATAATTGTTTCGTATCGTAAATAATTTTGATTCTATCTCGTTTTTTAATATCATTTCGTAACATTTTTTTGTGGGTGAGAAAAATAACACTTTTTCCATATTATATCTCTCACCACCGCTATCGTATCGTATCGTATCGTAAATCGCACCTTTGAGAAATAAATAACACTATCGTATTGTGTCATATTGTACCTTGGAGAAATAAATAACACTGATTTCAAGTATTATTTCTTTCTCTACAGTTGTGATTTTTTTGTTAGAGTATTGCAGATCTGTGAACAGTCAGAGACCAGAAATTTTAAAAATCATTAGAAGAAAACACACTGCACACAAGAAATAATCACACTGTACACAAGAAATAATCACACTGTACACAAGAAATAATCACACCGTACACAAGAAATAATCACACCGTACACAAGAAATAATCACACTGTACACAAGAAATAATCGCACCATACACAAGAAATAATCACACAATACACATGAAATAATCACAACGTACACAGTCATTACTATGGGCAAAGTGATGATCAACTTTTTTTCTTCTTACTTTCAATCATCATCATCACCTCTGTAAAGAGCAAACTGCTTTTTTTTTCAGTTCACAAATGATAATTTCACTCTCTAATGGTTTTTATGTTCAATATCGGGCAGGATGAAATCAGTTTCTTTCTTTATATTTATAGAAACAAAGTATCTACCAGTGCCCATATTGATGACTCAGAGTTTTTGAAAATTGTTTACTTTGGAAGGTAAATTTTGTTTAAAATGCGTATAAGGACAGCGCCCCAGACGCTGTGACATCTCAGTTTTTCTTTGTCTTCCTCGTCGAATAATGAGTCGCATAAGAAGTCGTTCTCTAATTATAAGGCTTTTGGATAATAGTCCAAGTAGTGCGACTAATGTTCGTTGCAGTTCGTCTTCACTGAATTAAGACACTGTGACATCTCAGTTCTTCTTTGTATTCCTCATGGAATAAGTTGTATAAGCAGTCCTTTTGTTAACTTTTGACTTATGATAAACCTTCTTATAAGGCTGTTGGATCATATTCCAAGTAGTGACTAATGTTCATTGCAGTTCGTCTTCACTGAATGGAGACACTGTGACATCTCAATTCTTCTTTGTATTCCTCATGGAATAAGTCGTATAAGCAGTCCTTTTCTACTATTGAATTATGATAAACCTTATAAGGCTGATGGATCATATTCCAAGTAGTGTGACTAATGTTCACTGCAGTTCGTCCTCACTGAATTGTATAACTTGGAATATCATGATGATTCAATAATAAGATAAATAAGGCATAAAGCCTTTTCATTCTGACAGTGTTCTTGGCGTCTGACCTTGTTCCAGACGTATGCCGCTGAAGTCCATTTTATCTGTTTTTAAATGGTTCTTCTCAGAACCACACAATTCACTAAGCTAAGAGATACCATTCACATGGTGCTATATACCACAATCCTCCCATTAATGTCCACTATGCAAACCCTCAAGTCTTAGTCATTTCATCTCTTGAAATCTTTTTATTTAGTAAAAATGAACTTTCTTGCCCGATTATCCGGTGGGGTTTTCTCTCCATAAAGAATCGTGTCCAAAGTTTGTAGAAATTCCTGGCAAGCTCAGCATGCAGAGTCCACAGTTCCTAGCTCCGTAGGTTCTCCTCCTTGTGTCCTCCTACTAGCAGCAATGGGGCCTCGACCCAGAAGCCTCAACCAGAAGCCTCTTCATCTGACCACTCTCATCCAGATATGACAGGCTCCCATTTCTATTGAAATGTCAAAAACAAAGAGAGAAGAAAACAGTTCAAAATCAGGATTGGCAAGAGATGCACTTCAGTCTGCGAGACTGAATTATACAATTCTTGGGTTCTTAGTTTGGGTTTTCTCTTCATGCATGCAGCAGTGTGCCAGACACTGTTGTATATTTTAAAGAAGATCCCTTCTGCAATGAATTATCTTTTCCTTTGAATAAAGTTTTATTCAAGCAACAAGCCAATGCAACTTAGGTTGTACCACCTATTTCAAGTATGGATACATGAACGGACAATAATACATTTTTTTTTCACTGATCGCACTTGAAACTTTCTCTTTGATCTACTCTGTCAACAGAGGGCAGTATTCCAGTGGTTTGTAATGTTTAACCCCCAAAAATAAGAAAAGTCGAGAACACCAGTTCTTACACAAGTACACTGATTTTGAATAAGAAGTGTTGTATGCTGATGGAATTGTAACAAATTTAGTCAAATGTTATAGAAATCAATTTTATGATGCATTATCATATGTTTTTGATAATTGAGGGGAGTACAAGACAATGCCTAAAGTTGTTAAAGGGAATATACAACATTTGCAAACATTAAAAAACAAAACTACCATTTTTATAACGAAATACCTTACTAGGATGTTGGTAAATGACAGTCTAAAGCATCCTGTAAAATTATGGCACCATGTGTGAAGTAATTTTCAAGAAAAGTGGTATTTTGTAAAAAAAATTCCAACGGTGGTCGGCCGACCACCGTTGGAAAAACCTAACTATTTTTCAACTACTGCTCCAAATTTATCAGTTTTTTTCAGTCCAAATTTTGTTTGCTATTGGTTACATGTTCATGAACGGGTGCAGGCCAGTTAGACTGGTTCCATTACCTTACAATTTTCCGGCATCTGTAAATTGATCCATTTCATCTTTAGTGGAGTCAGGGAACAAGACTACTTGAACATTTTTGTTTTTCTTGGTTTTTGCAGCATTTTCGAACACAAAACTTGAAACATGTCAGTCTAACAATATTTGATTTGTTATACTAACCCATCAAGATAGTTCATTTCTGAAAATTACAGCAAAAGCCAATGATGTACATTCCCTTTAAGAGGCTCCCTTAAATAGTCAATGGGATGAATTTTCCTTAGGAACAATCTTTTTTTATCTTTTTTGTAAAGTGTATTTCTGTAAACATTGTTTGAAATTCCATTATTTTCTGCATTATGTTGCTGTGACTTCATTGCAGGAAGACACTGTACGTCGGTTCAGGGGGTTCAAGTGTGAACCGAGCCATTTGCTCATTGAAAACATTTGTGACAAAAATGTGCTCATATCAGCAGGGGGGGGGGGGGAAGAGATATCTGCCATCGAGTGCCAACAAATTACAAAACTTGGTGCATGCATAGAACTTAATATCAACATACCCCCGAAATTTCATGACTAAGTTGAAGGGTTGAGAATTATGGCTAATTAATTATGGTAATTCTGCTTTGTGTACACTACATATGGGGAAATTCAATTTTCACCAAAACAAATGTTTTTGCTGCCCAGCAACACATGTCATAATTTTATGTTTTTGGTATCAAGAGATACGTAAGTCTCTAGCTCTAAGCTAAAAAGTCAGGAAAGCTTGGGTCGAAAAAAAAAATTTGTGCAAGGTTATTGCGGAAAAAGTTGAATGTTAACCCTTTTTAGGGGTAACAGTAATTGGAGTTATCAGAGTTTGACTTATCGCGATTTCACTGTATTATGATTTTTAAAATTATCACATCATTCTTGGTTGCTTTCTTGGGCAGCCAACAGGATAAATTAAAGCACAAAGAGAAATGATAATGCAGACACATAATCACTAAGTTTTGCTCATATCGGAACATAGCATGTTTCACACACTCAAATAATGCTATAACTAAGCACTCAATTTATGTTCAACACACGTACTCTCACATGCAGACACCGTACAACTACAATGTACATGCATGCAAAATAGAAACACAAACTTACAACAAAAAGCTGGCCTTTCCAAACACTGAACACAGAGTTTCATTTCACCAACACATTGATGAGTAAATACTCTGTAGAAAATATTTCTGTATTTGAACACTGCCCTCATAAAACAGTTGGCTCCTCCAAACTTGAAGTTGAACTGAGAGATGACCGTCCAACAACCAAGCTCAACTTTACAAACTTTGACCTCACTTTCTTTGACCTTAGCTTAAAGGTGTATATTGATCATAGAGCTAAATTAAATATAGCACTATGATCATTGATGCAAATGCATTTTTAATCAACAGAGAAAATGGTTACCATTGACCAATCATCATAACTATACATGAATGTAATGAGCAATTGTTAGACTCCAACAAGCCGTTTCCAGACAACAATGACAAACATGTTGATATTAAAGGGGAAGGACAATTTGTTGTAAGTTAAAAAAAAAAAACTCCGTTACCAATTGAAAGAAGGTGAGTTCTCCTTTCAATAAAAGCATGATTCATTAATATTCGTCGTTATGGCTTCAAGATATTTTTTATTGAAGTTTTTAAAATGGTCCTGTTGCTGCATATATGTACCACACTTGCAAAAGTAACGATGCAAATGAGTGCTACGTTCTGCATACTCAGTATTGTCCACTTCTTTTAAAACATGAAGTTGTTCAGTCTCCCTGGTTTCCCTGACTGTCCAAGCCTATGGGCCTTATTCACGTGTCGGCCATGTTGAAATAAAAGTGTGGTAAAAATCTTAATTTTTGGAACTTGCGAAGAGAAATGAAATCAAGTTAATTCCTAATTAATTCCAGTCTGCTTCAATGAATAATTTAAAATTTGTAATTAAACATTCCCTAGTGTTAAAAGCCAGATTAAAAAAAAGACAATAAAATAATGCTGCATTGTGCCTGCATAAATAGTCTGGTGCCATCCAATTCAACAGTTAACACTTAATGAAATACATTCTGGGAACTCGACAAAAATGGCCAACTCGTGAATAAGGCCCATAGTCCTACCACAAATTATCCATGTTTGAACTGAAGTTAACGCCATTTTCTGCACCTAGCACTGATTTCTTGCTCTGTATTTTGGTTAGTTATCTGAAGTAACTAGTGTAAAAAAAATAAAATGATTTTTATAAGCTATAATTTCAAGGCAACAGTCTGAAATCCTACAGATAATTTCAACTGGAATGCTATACCCTCTGATACTCTTTTACGTACCCGTGGCAACTATCGTTAAAAAGTTCAACTATTAAAGAGTAGAATACCCCAAAGTAACTGTTGATTTAATGTATTTTAGAAATTTAGAAAAAAAGACAATCGGTGCACACTGATTCATATTATTATCAAAATAAATGTTTCAGTAGTTAAGTGTATGTCAATTGTTTTCCACCCAGGAAAAGAAATTTGGTCAGCGATAAACATCACCTGGTCACAAAACAGTGGTCACATTCCAAATTCTTGGCACAACTTCAAAAACGTTCTGGTATATGGGAGCCTGTAGCCACGCCTACTATTTTGTTCACAAGTGCCAAAATGTAATACAATGTCATCACATGAGCCAGATTGATCGATATGCAAATTAACTTGAAGAGGGTGCCAGAGACGTCTTTTGATACTCCACACAATGGCCTAAACTTAGTTTACAGTTTAGAATGAACAGAGTGGAATTTAATTTCAATGCCTAGATGAAAGCTTATAGAAAATGTAGACCCATGACCTTTACTTCAATCTTAACACTATATGGCAGTCAACTACTAACACTTACGCAAATTAAGGGGAATTTTTACACTAAAATGAAAATCTTATACAATACATTATGTAAAGTTTTGTCTAAGTTTAAAGGTCATGCAATTGCAATGTTCCTTTTTGTAATGCTATCCCTGAAAATACACATTTGAGTCCCATTTAACCTTACTTTCAAGTTTCGTTTTTCCATTTTGAGGGGCATTTTGGTGCCTGTTTGGTTGTTATGCTGATGCAAATTTCCATATTCATTAGCAAAACTGTAATGTCATTCCGGGCAGCAGACACCGCAACGTTATGGCTACAGCACAAACAGTTGCTACATAATGTTGGATATGTAGTGAAAGGACATTACAGCAATAGCGCCAACAATTGACCGGAAAAGCAAGATTTTTCCCCAGTGTTTAAAGAAGTGCATTTTTTCCATACAATTAACCAAAAGGGATTTCAAAAAAATGTGTTCCTTACATTAAAATTCATCGCATGAAAATAGCTTTCACTCACCTCAGATATCTGTTTTCTTTGTTATTCTTGCATGAAGCTAGAGCATCCTCCAAGTCGATGTTCAGTTCGAGTTCAACACGTTCAGTAGGCCTACTTTGTTTCTTGTTCAGTTCCATTCAATTTCAATTTGACGCAATTTGTGACACTCGGTACTCAGGACTCCGCTCCGAGCTTGTTAATGTGCCGACTCACCAGGCCCAGGCGGGATTCTCCGCCGTGAGATGATGATGCGGCGGCTTGTACAGTGCCTCTTGAAGAGAAGATGGTTTGAAATTATGCGCTGAGCTGGCGGAGAAAGAGCAGCCAGTTCAGAAAAGACCAATGGAGGATGCCAGGATGAATTTACAACTTTGTGTGCACATTAATTGAGATGTTGTGAAAAAGTCGCGACCGTTACGAGGAGCAAACTTTCTGAGGTCCTCTCCCGTTGAAATTCATCTGCGGAGTGAGATAAGAGTGAAAAGACACGCATCTTTTTTTTACGCACATCTGGGGAAATTGGTCCAGAGTATATTACTCCGCTAATGCATTTTTTTACGATTATTTTGTCTGTAAATTACGTTTTTAAATAAAATATATAAACAAATTAAGTCATGAATGCGGTCGATAACAAAATAATAATAAGTGTAAAATTTATAATGGAAAACATCATTTCATAAAACTTTAGGCCCTATTTTTTATCGAAATCAGAGTCAGACAATAGAAGGCCGATGACGTAATGCTAACGGGCAATTACGATTGGTCAGAAGTGTGAAGAGTGACCGCGGTTTAGTAATCTTAGCATTTTGATTGGTTGAAACAGCCTAACACAGGTGAGAGTTAACTGCTTGGGCGGGAAGGAAAATTTTGACTCGAAAGCTAGTAGTTCCAACCGGTTTCAACCGGTTCCATAGACTTGCCAAGTCACACAGATATCCAGAAAAAGGTGCAAAATGTGATGGGATGAAGTAATGGGAATGGGATGAAAGCTACATATGATGTTTTTTCCATGTGTAAAATCAAATCAAATTAATCTTAGGTTTGTGAAAAATAAGCCGAGATTAGATGGTGTAATTAGGGTCCAATTTGCAGGGCTGGGGAGACAGGTCATGGTGCATCAGTTCCAGGACCAAAATAATATTGTGGATTTAGACTGGAATTTAGGGGGAGGGGGGCAATGTTAAAAAAATTAAAAAAAGGAGGGGGGGGGGACATCGGAAATTAAGAAAAACAAAATTGAAGCTGTAATGTGTTCAATGATATTTTTTTTTGGGGGGGGGATTTTCTTGGTTTTCCAAGGAATCCGGAACCCAATTTTTTGGCTCTCTTCAAATAGTAATAATGACCACTGCCCCCCCCCTCCCAAATAATGGGATTGTTTTTTATCGCAACCCCGTTTATTAGGTCTAAACTTTAATAATGTTATTTAAAGAAATGACACTTCAAGCACTTACAAAAGAAAAAAACCTAATGCAGTATGCGGTCGGACATGAATTTATTTCAACAGAATTCAGATTTACAGGATTATATGAGTTTATAATAAAACAAAATTTACAATCGTGCATTTCTGCAAAGTTTTGCCTGAATTAGCCAAAAATAAAATAAAGCACCAAAATTATCTAATCGTCAGCGTACACAAAACATCCAAATCAACATAACTTGGGCTGAAAAACCCTGATGAGCCCTGATGAGCTCCACCATGTATAAAGATTCAAATGACAGTATAACTTTAAAGTTCTTTAATTTTTCTTTTTCCCATCAAACACACATGTACAACAAGACACATGTACTGAAGGGATCATGTGATGGAGCTATGTACATAGCGCCCTCATGCGTTTTAATACGGGCGTTTTAATCAATTCACTAAATAAACCTTTCTAGTTGCGAAATAAGGTGGTGGAGATTAAAACATCTTAACATTAGATATAAATTAATTAAATAATGAATAAACAAATACAGAAGTACATGTATTCCTCAATGTCAGAAGTATTAAAGGGAATGTACAACATTTGCTTTTGCTGCAATTTTCAGAAATAAATGGATTTGCAAAAAATAAATGTTATAGCAAGTATTGTTAAACTGACTTGTTTCACGTTTTCGGCTTGTAGATGCTGGAAACACCAAAAAACCAATCATTTTCTTGTAGTCTGGTTCCCCGACCCCACTTAAGATGAAACGGAGCAATTTGTAGACTTTGGGGAATTGCAAGGTTAGAGAATCAGTCGGGCAGGCTTGTACCTCTTCACAGGTGTATAATCAATTGCAAAGAAAATGCGGAATAACTAAATATGTAAAATTAGGAGCAGTTTTGAAAATAAGCCAGTTTTCTCCAACGCTGGTCGGCCGACCAGCGTTGGGAAAATACAATTTTTCTTGCAAATGTCAGCACATCAGGAGCCCCAATTTAACAGGATGCTTTAGACTGTCATTCCTATAACAATCCAGTAAGGTATTTCGTGATAATTTGATCATTTCATTTTTTTTATGCTTGCAAATGTTGTATTTTCCCTTTAATGTCATCCGCAGGTGAAAGCCCTACATTCTGTGTATAGGTACCGTATCAAACCATGCACGCAGGCCACTTCGTAAAATTGTAGGTTTATACATTGTGTATGCCTACACAATACCAAAAAGTTTAGAACCAAATATAATGAAAATACAATTATTCAATACTATAAAGTTTCTGCAATTTTTTATTCGGAGTTTCAAGATGAAACAAAATTAAAAGCATGATTATTTGAGCCAATGTAAAACTTCTGATAATATTTTCAGACGCTACGTGATTTACATACACAACTTATCAGAGGTTATCTTTTAACTGGATTAATTCTTAAAATTCACAACATACATCTTTCACAGACTAGACCCCGTGCTGAGATCGTGAAAGGTTAGACTGTTTTATTTGTTGTAACAATGGTAACATTGCATATGGATTTGACAGACCCGCACAATGAGTTCTAGCCTTGGTCAAGGCGTTCGACGATAGAGTCCGATGATCAATGGTTGGCCGCGAACGTTGGACTCACACTAACTTAATATAGCGGCTGACCATTGATCATCGGACACCACCGCCGAACGCCTTGACCAAGGCTAACTGAGTTCCACATACATAATTAGCAACTTTTTATGGTAATTTCGATTTTGGCTCATAGAATGCACGAGTGCATTGTGCTGTCTGGGTTTGTGATGTAATCCCATCGGGGAATATTATGTACCGGATCGCGGACTTCCCCATCTAACTCCGGATTCTACAGTATTGTGTGGCTCCAGATCGAATAAATAGAGAAAACAAAATGTTACCCATGCTTCAGGTAATGCTTTGTATACTCATATTAAGGTTTAGAAATTGCATTATGTCCCACCCACACACCAAGCACTCTCAGAGGTAATTTTCGTAATTTTGGGGAGTGCTTGGGACTTCCCATGACCAATTCTGAAAAGCAGTCCAGTGATCAAAAGAAACATCTGACAAAAAGCCTCGGGAATACGAAATGAATGAAGCATAAAATAGTGAACGAGTGAGTGACGATTCTGAGAAAAATCTTACCTTTTTGGGGTCATCTGAAATGCTTTCTCATACAAAGATTGAAAGAGTAGCAGGAGTATATAGCAAGTAACAATTAATAAGGTTTTCAAGAGAAATTCAAAATTCATTAATTTGCATATCCCGTTGGTTGAAGTTTTTTTCTCGGAACAAATTTTCTATACTAAAGCTATACTAACTTTACTTTATCGTGAGACTTGTTGGGCGTTTGCAACCCTCTAATAATGGCTTTTTTGCACACAAATGAACCTGCCCAGCAGAGTGGAACTATTATCTGGCAGCTAATAATCTGAATTATTAAAAGTGAATAATTGTTTAACTAAGAACATAGCAATTATAAAACAAATCATTTGGGGAACGTGTCTGTAATATATTACAATTCCTGTTTAGACATTGAAGTCTGATCACGGGTTCCTCTGAACTTGCTGCTGTGGTCACGTGGCGGTGTGTTAGCATCTTCTGGGATGTCTCTCTCAAGCTTTCTCAAAATCTCCTGCAAAATACAATACCGGAGATGTACAAAACCACTCACTTCACGAGATAATATCGATTATGTATAATATATCTCAAAATGTATTATTAATTCACTTCCAATGTATTATTTATTTATTTATTCACTTTCGAGGATCCAGACGAATGTCATACCTGTTTTTGTTTTGAAATCTGGCCGTCAAAGATGTCGCCTAAGATCATCATCTTCTGCCCAAGTTTAATGGAAAAGGAGTCGAACTGTGGGATTGAAGAAAAGATGGAGAGTAGTAAATTTGGTTGGCAGATTTTCTCATCAAAGTTCTGTGTTAAGAAAGAACGAGATTCACTTCCATTTGGGGTACAAATTAAATGTAGACTGAACGAGTGGTTTAAGACTACCCACATCATTCCCACAAACACTGCGCCTGGCAATCAAATGTCAAAGCAGAAAATATGGCTTAAGAACATTGGCAGACAAGCTGGAAACTTATCGCAATTAACATAACATTAGACTGGTGACTGGTGAGCATTTTTTTTCGCAACGCAACTTTCTGTTCATAAGTTCAACAACACCCCGAAATTCTGAGCGTCTGTTTCTCGTATAGGAAGAAATGGATTACCTTGTTGATTTCTACAGGAAACTTGTCGGTGTCACGTGACGTTATCTTGCCATCACCATCACCATCAAGTATCAGAAATATCTGCCACAAACAGGGTGAATGTACAAGAAAATTTACAACAAACCACTGTGTGTATATCTGTTCTTGTTTTATAGCAACCACTAACAGACGAACTATCGGTATTTGTAGTGATTCTAAAGGGTTCTTGGCAAAATCAAATGTCTCGAAAACCGCCAATCAGTGGCCATTATCCTTCCTTATTCTGTCCACAGATAGTGACGGCTTATTTTCACGAGTTGCCCTTTTTATACGGAGAAAATAATTCTGAGATGCTGTCAGCACTGCCTAAAACAAAGAACCCAACTTACCTGTTGAGCGGCATCTAAAGCTTCCTCGGTCCAGATGTCGTCTAGTTCCAGTCTTGGAAGTATCTAAAAGTGGGAAAACAAAAGAGAAAAACTCAAAGTGCCAAAAGGGTACTTTGACTATTGACTCCACTTTGTCGGAGTCTCAAACTCTTAAATTAAATGTGATTGGATGTAATTTGCTAAAATATACAGTTTCAAACCACTAGTACTGACAAAGATGGGACCGGAATATGAGAGCTATACGTATTCTGATGGATTGAACATCGATTGAGACGTCTGAAATCACAATAGAAAGTTCATAAATGTTTCCAGTTACCGTGTCCATATATTCGAGAAACTGCCCCTCTGTCAAAGAATCTGTCTCCTTTTCATCCATGAATATCGTCAAAGTTGCCCTAAAACATTGATAGAAAAAGGAATCTTGAAATGAGCAAATCAGCCTTTTTATGGTTAATACAGTTTGATTTAGTGGTAGTATTCAATACCAATTTGGGGAAATATAAAGCTTTGAAACTCACGACGGGTCTCTGACGAAATCTAGTTCTGGATGGATATCCATTTGTATGTCACCGTTCGTCTGGTCGTGGTACGGGAAGCTGACATCCGCCAGTGAGAGCCCCGGGTCCGGCTTGCCGCAGGACTCCGGGGAGGGCACGACGTATGCCTGGTGATTCCACCAAATGTTGACTGCAACGTTACTGCCGAAGGAATTCACCTGATGAATCCTGAATCAGTGAATGAAGACAATTATGCCTTGACATCTTCATGATCTCAAATGCCATGGTGACATGTATGCTTCGCCTTATATATAATTTGCAAGTGAATCTTGAGCCATTGAGCAGATGACTTACTTAGGGGTACATAGGATCATTGGCTTTTTGTGCATTGTTTTTGTTTGAGGCCCAAAATCTTACAGATTGCATAACTAACTTGAAGGTTTCAACTCAGTGGATAATGTACATATTGAGGAAACCGAGGAAACGCACATGTACAATATTTGAGGTCTCGTAACTGGATTCCATTGAGCATGTAAAAACTCTCAAAGCACCACCAGTGATTGTTTTCTTACAAGTGATACCATATCAGGAGGAATAACTTCACGGGGTATTTGGTACCAGTCCTATCTTCACTTTGAGCGAGAATTTTCTCATTGAAATTTGTTTGTATTATATGTTCTACGTTTCCGGGTAATTAGAAACGTTCCTATAACGCGTCTGTACACGCTCATGTCGGTTTCTGAACTTCACTGTTGCTTGGTTTTACTTTGATTTTAATTAATAACGAAGTGTTGTTTACTTTGCAATGTTTTGTGCATTCACATATGAATTTAGGTATAATTTTCTACTGCTATATTTTACTCAGATCGTGGTAACCTGGAGGACTCTTAAGGGTGTACGAACATTTTGTTAATTAAAGACTTATCATGATTTGAGACCTTTACTTGTTTTTTTATCGCAATTCATTGGCAAATGTGGGGTTGGCTAAAGAATTGCTGCAGTGCTACTGAGCAAACAGCGTTTATTGTCCGAGGCGCACGCGATGCGTGCACTGCACAATAGGCATCGTGTGAACCAAGTTCATGTCGCAACGATCGGGAGGGCAAGGGAACTTCCCAAAAATCTTTTCTCGAAATGGCCCTAAAATCTGAATACAATAATGATTCACTATTCTTTGAGTATTCGAGCCTCGTTGAATGTTTTCATAGTGCTCTTTTGAAACATTCTCCCACTCGTTAATTTTTTGTCCAGGTGCCTTTCATGATTTTGTGAGAGTCTTTTGTGTTCACAGACTCCGTTGTGCGAACCGAACTTGTGTCGCAATTACTGTAAAACGAGGGAATTTCCAACCGTTTTTCACTGGATCTGTTATATACACTCTATACAAAATATACTCTCTTGAAATTTGACTAACAAATCAGTCAAAGTTGCACCCAGCTGAGACCCTTGCTGTAGTCAGCTGTGTACATGTTTGATTTCCTATAGTCAAATCTAACTCTTTTAGGGCCAAAACAGACGCTATCATTAACTAATACCGGTATTATACTTTTGAAGTTGTAAATCTTGCATCAGCACTATTCTACAACAGCAGGTTTGTTATTGCAATTGAGCATGACCATAGGCATATCTATATATCAAACGGTTATAAACAGTAATGCTCAATGATACATTATTCTCAGTAATCGTACATTTTCCACATGCCTATACATGTAAATTGCTTTTCCTTGATCGTTTTCTGTGGTTTCATAGTAAGCCTATATATTGGACCACTCTGTGGTAAGTTGGTATTATAACATTCTTTCTTCGTTATACCAAAAAAAATGTAAAAGTGCGAATTGGATTGTTTCATGCAATTCATGAAACCAGGAAATCAGTGGTCTCTGCTTTTTTTTAAACTGGCATACTTATGTCATTACACTCGCTGCTATTTACTAGTTTCATAAACAGCATGGAATTAAAGATAAACTTTTGTTGATTCCATTAACATGAGTGTAGGCTTATTCACAACACAATGCAGAAATATCAAGAAAAATATTTACAGTGAACACAAATGCGAAATAAGTAACATGCTCATACAAAATATGAATGTTTTTGTACTGTATCTTCTGACCATTTGAACGGTAGGTAGATGCAATCGCCAGCTTGCATTTTCGCTTCATGGAACTCCAGGTTTCTCATTCCAGGGAACTTGTTCAAGTCGACTCGTTCCACGTCTACACTCGAGTAGAAGCCTTCTGGATGGTCGAACACAATCTTCAAAATGAAGGGAGACCATGGAGCTATTAATTTTATTATTAAGTGATAACGCTTTGACTTGTTTCCAACAGCATAAATCTTTGTGGTGATCGCATTCCTTTCAGAAAACAGCATTGAAAAATCTAAATGCACACCTGACCTATTCAAAATTGATGCATTTTTTTTGGGGGGGGGGCAAAGAATACCATTTATAATTGTTAACATTTGAAACATTTTGATGGCAGTAACATTATTTAACGTATTTAAGTACATATGCTCCGGACAAACCAAGCAAGCCTGCATAGAAAAACTCAAAGCAACTGTCCAAACACAATTTTTCTCCGAACAAAACTACACATCAGGGGGCTTTATATTCCTTATATCCAGGGTAGCACTCCACTCCTGGACTAGACCCATCCCAAGCCAGTTTTCACCTTAAAGGGAAAATACAACATTTGCAAACATCAAAGAATAAAACTACCAAATAATTTTGAAATACCTTGCTGGACTGTTAGTGAATGACAGTGTAAAGCATCCTGTAAAATCATGGCACCTGGTATACTGTCATTTCAAGAAAAGTTGTATTTTTGTATCAATATCCAACGCTGGTCGGCCGACCAGCATTGGAAGAAACTGGCTTTTTTTTCAAATACTGGCCCCAATTGACCATCACATTAATTTGTTTGCAATCGATTACACACCTATGAACGGGTACAAGCCAGCTAGACAGGTTCCCGTTCCCTGACCTTACGATTCCCCAATGTACATAAACTGCTCTGTTTCATCTTAAATGGAGTCAGGGAACCAGACTACAGGAAAACGATTGTTTTTCTTGGTTTTTATAGCATTTTCGAACCCAAAAACTTTTAAAAAAAAAGTCAGTGTAACAATATTTGCTATATATTATTCCATCCATTTCTGAAAATTACAGCAAAAGCAGATGATGTATATTCCCTTTCAAGGGAATATACATCATTTGCTTTTGCTGTAATTTTCAGAAATGGATGGAATTGGGGGGTTGGAAATATATAGCAAATATAATTACACTGACCTTTTTGAGGTTTTGGGTTCGAAAATGCTATAAAAACCAAGAAAAACAATCATTTTCCTGTAGTCTGGTTCCCTGACTCCATATAAGAAAAAAAAGAGCAGTTTACATACATTGGGGAATTGTAAGGTCAGGGAACCAGTCTAGCTGGCTTGTACCCGTTCATAGGTGTGTAATCGATTGCAAACAAGTGCGATGGTCAATTGGGGCCAGTATTTGAAAAAAAAGCCAGTTTTATCCAACGCTGGTCGGCCGACCAGCGTTGGAAATTGATACAAAAATTCAAGTTTTCTTGAAAATGACAGTATACCAGGTGCCATGATTCTACAGGATGCTTTACACTGTCATTCACTTTAACAGTCCAGCAAGGTATTTCAAAATGATTTGGTAGTTTTATTTTTTGATGTTTGCAAATGTTGTATTTTCCCTTTAAAACCACATCATAGGTCATTCACCGGTCAGGTATGTGTCTGAACTGTTGTTTACCTGTTCTCTGTAGCGCGTGTAGTTGACGAGGAGGAAATCTTTCTGGCCCCTGAACAGACAGTTGATAATGTCAACGTAGTCGATGTGTACGTGGGACTTGGTACCTCCGCTACTAACCCACAGCATCTGTCCACAAGAAAAAAATCATTGTTGTTCTTAAAACCTGCATCATTTCGGGGCGAAGGGTCCCGTTTTCGGACGCAAAGACAACACATTTTCAATAAAGGCATATTATGATCATTTGCTTTTCGTGCTTTGTTTTCGTACTAAGTATAACACCACTGTTTAGTACCAGTATACGATTAAGTTTTTTTTAAATAATAATTGGGTTGGTTACTTTTTGGAAAATTGCCTTGTCTGTTGGTTTGTTTATTGGTTGGTCGATTTGCTTGTTTGTCGGTCGATCGCCTGGGTGGGCTTGGTCTGTCTGTCCGTCACTTTGCCAATTATTAATCATTAGGTTAGTCGGTTACTATTTCTGTTCTGAACCTCTGCAATACGTCATCTTCTTCTGTCAGGATGGATTTTTGTTTTCTCTTAACTAACTACTAAGTCCCCCACACTTACTGTTTCCAGCAAATTAGCAGTGACGTTAGTACAATGCAAAGATGGCGGGATCAGCACATCTTTCCTGGAAGTAGATCAAAAACATCTCTGTCACAGTTTTCTCAAAATGTTCTCCGGGAAAACTCCACAATTTCAGTGATAAACACCAACTGACTAATTAGTGTGATCACAAATGATCGACAAACGGTTATGAAGAATGAGATGAATAAAAAAAATCGGGAAAATAAAGGGATGGTAATATTTACAATTCACAATGATGGCCCTTAAACACATCTGACGACTACTGACATGCCAACCACACTTGTGGTACGACAATCATAGCAGTTTGAAATTTACATTATATCTGAACTAGAGAATGGAGATATTCCAAAGTTATGGAAGAAACCAGTCTTTTTGTGTACATTAAAGTCACTGCACTTACTTTAAGAAATCTGGGACTCTTGCAACAAGGTACTCATCGGTGGTTTGATATCTGTCCAGGAATTCAGCGAAGGGCATGTTCATCCTCGGTAACTGTCTTTCCTCGACCTTCCGCATCTCCACTCTGATCAGCTGCTGGGACTCGGGCAAGTTCTTCAGGTACTCGTCGGTCCACTTCTGGAAGGCTGGCGAACGCCGAGCTCCTTGCTTGATGATGACGGGGACGGAAGGGTAGACATAGCTGCGGAAGAACTCGTAAGGGGAAGGGAAGTCCTGGATGACTGAGACGGGGAGACGGGTAGCCTCGGAAGCCAAGGGCTTGAGATGACCTGGTAATGAGGTGGGTGGGGAGGAGGATTGAGCATCTTCGGCACCTGACTGATGTAAGGATGCCATGAGCCAGAAGATGACGGAGATGATCTTATTAGTAGACTTCATTGTGAAAGTCTTGGAGTTAGCCCCAATCGATGTCCCAAAGTTCTTGGGACTTTAAATCTGATTTTTTTAAAACGATATTTGCATAGAACAGGTCGTGAACGGTCGGTAACGGTGTCCCTTGGATGGAGCTACCCTCCGCAAAGAGCCGTTATACAAGCGGGTAGGACAATAGATCCCTGCAGGGCCGTGAGTTACGGCAGGGTTTAGGCCCAAGCACGTTGAACCCGTGACAGCCTGCTAGTCCCGGGAAAGGGAAGGGTTTTACCCTTCATTGTTGAACTTGCGTAACAAAATTACTCATGAGGACCCGATGCCCTGGAGTTTCCCTCCTCTACTATGATTGGCTGACACTGCCATGACGTCCTGCATTTGTTTAATTATGCCAACAAGGCGGTGTTAATGTTACATGGGCGGAGAATTGCAGGTGTAGGGTGCAGTTTCTATACTAACTTTTGCAACTGCCCACGAGTCGAGCATGACTGCGCATGGCTGATCCCGTGGGTGGCATTGAATAACAGTAGCGCACAAGTCAAGTCCACTTCATAACCAGGTTTCAGGATGGAACCGAAGACAAGTCTAGTCGCTCCGTTCGTTCTGTGTCTGCTACTCGTTTCTCTTCAATCAACGGGTAGGTTTAATTTCACATTATTATTTTTTTATTATGAAACTGATGGAGCACCTCATCTTTTTACTAGATTGTTTTTTATTTCTTCGTAAGGGTGTTAATGTTGTTTATTGGGTTGTTTTGGGGCTGTTGGGGTGTTTGTTTGTTGTTGGGCTGTTGGTTGTTGGGCTGTTTGTTTGTTTGTCTATTTTGGCCAGCTGTAAAACACTAGGACATCGTTTTCCACTAAAACAACATCGACAACCATACAGAAATTGCACAAGAATTGCAACAACCAATATATGGTGCTCGGAGGACATTCCTGCCGATTACATCACATTGGCGCAATTTCAAGCATAATGCATAACGGCATGAGGTGTTGCTTGTTAGTACTCGGGTCAAGGGCAGATGCAGAACTACCAAATTTTAGACAGGGGCGCGGCGGCAAGAGGGCTCGACCGCTCGAGTATTTTTTTCTTCATTTTGTTCAAAAAGGGGAAAGTGATTATTAGTACCGGGTATAGTATCGTGCGCTATTTCAAACTTATATAAGTATGTGTAGCTGATGAGATACGCAACGTTTTTTATTTATTTCCTGAAAATGTCTGCCAAAAAGGTGTTTTCGGTCCTCGGATTAATAAAAATAATCGCCGGCAATGACTCGAGTTGTTTCTGAATGGGTATCTGTCCGCGTTTGGAGTGATTACAAAAAATATCGATGGGAAAGATGGTGCTTCTTAAATCCGATCGGTGCGGCCTCAAATTAAATCTAATAGCTGAAGTTTCACATCAGGAAGTCCTTTCCAGCTGGGAAATTTAAAAAAAGATAGGCTGACATTTTTTTCTCCTAGAAAGATTTTCGAAGAACAGTACTTGAATGTTTACGCCTCCCAATTTTCAACTCTTTCAGAGGCATGCCGTGGAGGTCGAGGTGGCGGAGGAGGTCCACGTGAGTACTTTACAGACGTTCTTGAAAATGTGCTAGGTGTTACAAAGCTAAATAATTGTGTTTATTTTAAATGCCTCAAAGGCGTGGCTATAATAATTATTTATTTAAGACTATTATGTTTCGTATTCAGTAACCTATACGGATTCATCGGGAAACTAATGTCAATGTTTGGATGCGCTTCAACATATCACTACCCGGATGTCCTCGGGAGGGTTACCAAATAGGCCTTATATTATGTTTCGTATCCAGTAGTATCAAAGACAAAAGACTTCAGCAAAACAAGAAGAAAAGAGCCAGAAGGCACACGAAGAAATAATCTGTGTTGAAACCCGTTTCGGGCAGATAGGCGGTATATATCCAGTTACCTATGCGGATTCATCGGAATTGCTCGGATCGATGCGCTTCAACATGACATTTATTAACACTGCGCAGTTCAAGTAGGCCTATCACTACCAGGATGTCCTTGTGGGTTATACAAAATATAGGCTTAATTATCGAAATAATACTATGTTTTTTTTTATTGGTTGATTCTAGATGTTATTTCCTTTGCTCTTCGGAGTGTGAAACTTAACCACCCGGTTTTCCGTTCTTGTTTAGGCGACCTCCTTCCGTAAGGCTCAGTTAACAACCGTTTTCCTTTCCTTGTTTATTTCAGGGTAGGCCTACAAATAATAGGGGTGTTTTATTGCTGGAAATATTTCATGATTTTCCACAATTGTTATTCAGTGTTTGATCTGGCATCAATAGCTGATCATTCAGCGAAACTTAGCAATGTTACAAAAACACGAGGTGCAGGAAGTTTCTCCGGCGAACTCAATTTCCAGAACTTTACGCAAGTGTACATGCAGCACTTAAATATTTTGATGGTCGATGCTTGTGATAAACGTGACTGCCAAATTTACAAACTCCACTTTTGTTTTAAAATAAAAAGTGAAACGGTAGACATTTAACACTGAACTTGAAGACTGACACAAAGTGGACAGTGATACAAATTTCTTGGAGTTCAACTCAAATCACTTAAAGTCTATATATTTGTCAGCGACACCACGAAGTAACACTCATGTAGGCTACAGTACATACCAGTAAAAACTAGCAATCATCTAAAGTTGAACGCCTTCTGAACAACACTTTGCGTCGAAACTGCATAGTCATTTTCAGTTGGGTTTCTCGTTGTGGACACTTGATGTATTGAATTGATTAAATCTGCTGTTTTTCACCCGTTCGTATATTAAATCAACAAGAAATAAGAGAAATAAGATGAGTGTTAGTTCGTGAAACCGGAAAAGTTGCGAATCACGAAGTAGTACGTTTCAATGTATTACAACACTAGGTGAGTGCTTCAGGTCAGCGCGCGATGTGGGAAAGTCGAACTTTTATGTCTAGTTTTGGGTAAACAATCACGTCCATTCTTCCGTAAACAAACACGTCTATTTTTTTAACAGCTGCATTTCCTCATCACGTGGTCCACACAGTACTCGTGAAGCCAATAATGCAAGTAAATGAACACAATGAATAAGCCCCCCTCCCCCCCTTGCACGGTTAACAATGTTTGGGTAAACGAGCATTTTCGTTATTTCAGCATGACAAAACTTGGGGAAAAAAGAACTTTTCATTTTCGTTGTTCAATTCAACAAATTTTTTTCTTTAATAATTGGTTTCCCATACATTGAAAATATGGATCCTCATCTTCAGCACGACTAAGCATCATCATATCATTTGATTTATTAAGTTCAAAATGAAAACGGTTCATTTGAGTAGTTTTATTGTAAATTGTTATAGCATGGAACTTATATGAATGGTATACATTTTGATATGCATGATTGACTGGAGATGTGAAATCATGGCCCAAAAATAAAAGGGACATTTTCCAAACATTGCAAACTCGAAAAGCTGGTGAGACTGAGAAACTGTTGTTTTTTCTTGATTATTATTATTATTTTAACTAAAATTACACTGTATTATTATGTTTTTAATAACTAACTGTTGTTTGTATTTTCTCCGTTTACATACGAAGCTCCGGACAAGCAACCACCAACTTTAGTTCCTGGGACCTGCCCCTCTGCCAAAATGGTGTATGCAGACCCTTTATCATACAGTACGGTTGTCCGCTGGGATGAACCAAGAGCTAGTGACAAAAGCCCACCAATAAGGCGAGTACATAAAAAAAAAAAAAATGATAGCAACTCTTTAACTTCAAATCATCGGAGTAATAACGGGTCGAATATGGGCGCAACCTCGTACCCAGGGTGTCGAGCAGTACGCGCCTATCACTACCTGCTGGAAACCGTGTTGGAAATAAAGTAAGCACTGGGGACGAGGTTGATATGGGCGCGTACTTTGCGTAAGTTTAAAAGTAAACGCAGTCTTTTTTGCTGTCAGGTGACGTTTTTAAGAATCAGGTGACCTCTTTCTTTCGTCAGCTGACGGCATCTGGCCAATCAGATCCCTTCAGTACAGTCGGGCCGGACAATCCGACCATTCAATAAACAAACATGGCGGCGCCCAGAGCAAAATAATGCAAGTGCGTTTTTTGACACGTTTTCCAGCTGCAAAACAGATTTGAAGACGAACAGAGTCAATTGTGTTGGACTTTTAAGCATTATTTTGAAGGAGTGGATGAGATTTGAGGGAGGAAAAATGGCGTTTGCAAGCACAGAAGCTGATATGGCGTAACGCGTTGATACTTACAACAAGTGTATCGTCAGTTTTTACGCGATCTAGTACAATACATTTTCTCCTCGATATATCACTTGTACCGTGTGATTTCGAATATTTTGTTCATACACTACAGTCGTATAAACTCTTCCATCGAATGCTTGTTGAATCAAAATAAGTTGTAAAGTCTCTATTTGAAAATTCGCCAACGAATGACCGTATGCTTTTGCCTAGTTCCGGATAGCCCCACTACACTAGTGTGGCCGGAATGTCAGACAAGTCGACCGTTGAGACAACTCGACTCGGGACAAGTCGACCGTTGAGACAACTCGACCGTTGAGACAGGTCGACCGTTGAGACAACTCGACTCGGGACAACTCGACCGTTGAGACTGCTCGACTTAATGAAAATGAATACACGTGGAGCAGAAAAAGTTGCACAAATCTGTGGCAAGACCAATCACGGGTGCGGCGTGGGCATACTCGATGTACAGAGGGCGTCGCGTCGGGCCGGTGCGCCCCGCCCGCCCGCGAGGACCGGCCCGGGCACGGCACGCGGGCACGTCGACCGGCGCGGCAAATGGGCGCACAGGGCTGGCAAAAACGATGTCACCGTGCACGGTACGGACAAGTTGTCCGGCAAATGGGCGCACAGGCCCGGCAAAAACGATGCCACCGTGCACGGTACGGCCACGTTGACCGGGGATGCGCGCACGTGGCCTTGAAAAAAAACGAACGATGTGCACGGACAATCACGCTGCGCTATATCGGCTCTGTTATATGCAAAAATAAAAACTCATGTGTCATCACTCCCAAATGGCGATCAGCCGCCGTCAAAATCCCCGGTACTATCCCCGAAACTAGGCCCAAAACATGCGAGGCGACTTGTCTCAACGGTCGACTTGTCTTTCCATTTATCGCACATACGGTCGAGTTGTCTCAACGGTCGAGTTGTCTCAACGGTCGACTTGTCCCGAGTCGAGTTGTCTCAACGGTCGACTTGTCTGACCCCCTGTGGCCGTCGGTATGCTGCGCACACTAGTGGGGCTAAGTTCCGGATAGCGCGTGCACTTATGACCCAACTACACGCGCGTTAATCGATTTTGTATGACTTTTTCTGTGCTGGGTGAGTTCGAGCCGTTGCGCTGCAAACAAAAGTTTCAAAATCATTTACGTTTTTTTCTCTTTTTAAAATTTGCTGGAATTCTCTTGAATGAACTATTTTTGGAAAATGAAATAATACTTTTACAGAAAATATGCTTGATTCGGTTGGTTCTGGCTAAAAGAAAGATTTTCTCGCGTGATTTTTTTTTTTTCGCTTGAAGCAGTTTTGATCGATTCGGAACTGATTGAACCGATCCGGAACTAGGAAAAGTGACATCGGTACTTTTGACGTCGTAAAATCAAAACAAAAAGAGCTTAAATTTTGGTCTCTCCATCACTTAAGTTAAACTTTTTAATCAATGTCACTTGAATTCGTGGAGTAGTTGAGCCAAAAGCAGCCGGAATGATGTTTGCTATCCGGAACTAGGAAAACGACTGTACTACAGTCGTTTTCCTAGTACTAGTTCCGGATAGCAAACATCATTCAGGTAGGGAGTCCCAGTGAATTTCATTTTTTAGCGAAAAAAATATTATGCAGTTGGGTAGTCTGAAAATTTAGAACTCTCAATACTTTGTCGTAACTGCACGTGTGATCCGGAACAAGGCATAACAAACGGTCATTCGTTGGCGAATTTTCAATTGTTAAAGACCCTACAACTTATTTTGATTCAGCAAACATTCAATGGAAGAGTTTATACAACTATACTGTATGAACAAATACTTGAAATCACATGGTATGAGTGATGTACTGAGGAGAAAATTTATCGTGATTTTCTACAAACGGTCCAAACATGTCAAAGTGCGAGTCAGAAATCTCGCCGCAATTCCTTTTCTAAAGATTTTATCCACAAGATCTTTGTGTATCAAGAAGATAACATTTTCCTTTTCAAAGTGCATTTCGTCAGAAAAAAAATTATTGGAGACTAATCCAAAAGAGGTAGGTATTTATTTGAAGCGATTCAGAACTAGGAAAAATCCGGAACTAGGATTAAAAATGACTGTATTTCTACGCACTTCTCACCTTTAATTTGTTTGTGACAATGCGCGCGCGTTGCAAGGGTAACCTGCGCAGATTGTGGAGGGTCAACGATACCTCATAAGCCCCTCATCAAGGGACCATACTGCCAAATGATAAAAACATGTATGTCAGAAACTATCGAAAGATGCAAATATCCCAAATACCCCCAATTATTCAAGGAATCAACCATTTGTAATCATTCAGTCTTATAAGTAAGCTCTGAGTTAGCACCAATTGTTGAACTTGTTTGAAATAAATGCAAAAAGTTGACAGCAAGTTGAGATTCCTTTTTTGTTTGGAAAAGATTCCCATATCTGGCCATCACTTGTCACCCTGTGCACAAACCCTATATGAGACAGGTCAGAAGATTTCTAAGTGTTTTCTCAGTAAATACTTCAATATTTTCCCTGCTAAATTAAATTTGACTTTTTAGGACAAATTATCACTTTCTGATGGATAAGGCGATAGGTCACTGAAGGGAAAAATTAGTGATGGCCAGATATGGGAATCTTTCCTTTTTTTGTTTTTTTTTGGCAGTGTGGTGAGAAAAGATGGTGGCCCAGCAAATGGTGGCTACTTCAGTGCCTCTAGGTCACCATACACCATTAGATACTTGGCAAAGGATGATAAGGGCAACAAAAACGACAACCTTTGCACATTCACCATCAGAGTGATAGGTAAGTGTTTTATGACTTAAAGACTGAGATTGCAGTCAGGAAAATTAGCAAAAGATCTTTGGAGTGTTTTGTACCAACTCTCTTCAACTATTACTCTCTTGTTATATGTGCTTTTCTACATTCTCTCTCTTTCTCTTTAGTAAAGAGATGCGGAGTCCACCCACCGGTTGCCTCGGGCGCTGTTTCCTGTTCCCATGGCAACATGTACGGCTCGGAATGTTCCATCAGCTGTTTGAGTGGCTACTCTATCCATGGGGCATCCCGACGCACTTGCCAAGTCAATCGAATGTGGTCCGGTTCTAAACCGAGATGCACACGTAAGAACAAATTAGACAAATTAATTTGTAACGATACATTGTACATTGTTCGATTTCGAAGGAGAAGATAACAATACATGTATTTGCATGATCACTGTGGACTTTGTGTGGAGGAAAGGGGATCCACAGGTATTCAAGGTAGCTTATGTGCCATAACTAAATCAGACCAACTGCACAGGAGGATGTTATGTTTACTTTTATTTTAAGCAATTTTGTCAAAGAAATTAGGATCATTTGCTTTTCAGTTCATGCATTTTGCTTGTTTCCAATGAAAACATCACTCAAAATCCAACGAAGAGTGTTCAAAACCAAACCTGTTGAGGTTTCAGCTTGGTGGACATAACACTTTTCAAGAAAACACAGAAAAAAATATTCACAACCAATTGATCACAAAACATGATTTTGTCCGTAGCACTCTGTATTTATAAAAATCAGTCAGTTGACTGATCGTTGGAAATCACCTACATTTCTAGATTTCTTCTGATATGAATGGCAGCAAGCCAGACAGAATAATTTCACAGGGCGTTTCAACAATCTTTAATCCAAGTAAGCCTTTTGATAATAATTTGGTAAGTTGAATACAAATGAAAATGGAAAATCCAAATGATCCTGTATCGTGCCATTAACATACTGATCTATTATTTTAAGATTAGCTTTTTATACACCCTGTGCACTTGGTCAGGAGCCTTAGCACCAATCTGTGAGTTGTATGTTTCCAAAATAGATTTGATTTTGCTTTGCATGGTGACGGGGAGACTTGGGAGAAAAATCACGCAAAACAAGTGACTCTAAAGATGCATAGTACTTGTCTGTAAATGTGGTTTTTGTTTATATTCCAGCAATTCAGTGTCCATCTCTACCTGGGACTTCCTGCACAAACGGCAACAACTACAACAGCATCTGCACCCACTTATGCCCTCGTCCTGGCTACAGCTTTGCCCCAGGACAGAGTGGCACCAGGGTCTGCCGAGCTGATCGCTCATGGACTGGTTCACCCCCAACATGTGTAGGTCAGTGATCAGTCTCATGCTCACTTAATCTGAATAAAGTTCCAAATATGACTGCTTCTTTTTTGTCAAAGTGTGGGGAAAAAATATGTAAGTTTCCAATAAGAATTTAAGGAGAGGGCATCTGAAGACTTGGATTAATTAGGCTATTGAGAGATGTTGCTTTTTCAAGACACCCGTAGGACTAATAATGAGTCAAGCATTGATATGAAGCATGCTGTGCGTATCAAGGCTTTATCGTTGTACTTTGCAGATGTGCAAGATCCAACACTGACCTGCCCAGACACCATCAGAACTTTCGCGGCTGCGTCTCAGACATCTGCAAATGTCCCCTGGGACCTGCCCCAAGTGAGTGACAACTCTGGAGTCGACATCATCCCTGAGCTGACAACAGGTCTGCCGCCTGGCTCGTTGTTCAGTCGAGGGTCTCACGCCATCAGTTACCGGGCTCAAGATGAAGCAGGAAACACTGCAACATGCTCGTTCTCTATCATTGTCCAAGGTAAGAGAGTGACCTGAATATCATTGGATGTTATATAATCATACACACTATACAAGCCCAAAATAGAAAATGGAAAAGAAAAATTGGTTGTCTGCGTAAGCAATTCAGTGTCATATTCCAGTCCAGCATGTAAACCAGGAGTGAGATTTTTCAGGATTTGTCCTGATTTCAGAATTTTTTGTCAGGATTTTTTGGCAGGGTTTTTCTGGATTTCAGGATTTTTAACAAATACCTTTTAAAGTTGTTTTTACCTTTGAATGTTTAATATAGAACAAATGAAATGAGTATGGTAAGGGGTGCCTTTAGGCAAATATAAACATATATCATAGACCTTACATTGCTCTGGGGCCTTCAGCTGCCCCCAAACTCTCTGCCGAATGCCAATTATTTTGTGTTTTTTTAATTTCACCCCAATCACACCCCTGGTAAACTTGGTAAATGTTTTATATTGTATAAGGTAATGCGCACCCCCTTGCCCTTGCTGACACCTGTAGATGTCTGTGCGTACAGCTTAATTTGAGTGTGGCACATTCCAAACTAATGTGACTTAAACATGATATCTAACTATCTGACTTGCACATGGTTTCACACCGTGTCTAACTTACCCTTGAACCTTTGTCATTGCAGTGATCCAGTGTGCAGATCTCTCCTACCTCACTGGTCAGAGGAGGACGTGTTCATCACAGTTCAACTACGGCTCTGTCTGTCAGTTTGAATGTCGGTCAGGCTTTGTGTTGACCGGTGGTCAGGCGAGTATTGAATGTCAGAGACAAGGAGATACAGGAGTGTGGAGTGCACAGCAGCCAACCTGCCAAGGTCAGTACAAGAATACAGCACTGTAGAATTGTAACATACGATAATAAATTGACTGCATGTGGTAAGCCAGCCGTGTGTATGTGTGAGTATGGCTGTATTGTAAAAGTATCAAAAGATTTTGAATGAAGACATTGACAAGATGGTGAACTGCAAACATAAGGCTCAGTTGGTAGAGCATTGGAACAGCGATCCAGTGTTAGCAGGTTCACTTCCCACTGCAGTCAATTTCTTTGTCTAACTTTAAAATATTAGAAGATCTTATGCCTTAACTTGAGTGAAAAATGAAGTACGTGAACAGGCCTAGATTTTTTTTTTTTACTCTGTTGACATTCAAAAAATGTTAATATATCACTGTTTTTATGTTTAAAAGTAAGTTGTAGAAACATCGTAGATTACATTTTCAACTTTTGTGAAGTCACAGGTTGAATCTAGTCAATTAGTCAACACGCCAAATTTTTAATCTGTCAATCATACTTTTGAGGTGACTTTGCTGACCACAGTTCATATTGGGATCTCCATAAAGAGTGTATATTATGCCTATAACTATCATAATGATGTACATTATGGTTTCACTGTTCAAATGTATTACTCGTGATGAAAAACACTTGTGTTTTAATGTAAACACCAATGTGAATGCTTTGGGAGCCTTTTGCTGTTAAGATGTTTACACTGTTGTATATTGCAATTGTCCATATTTGTAGCTGTAACCTGCACTGCGTTGACCGCACCAGTCAACGGTGGATTTTTCAACAATATCACCTGCTCGACAGCCTATGGCTCTTGGTGTCGGTTCACTTGCGACGACGGGTACCAGCTGACTGGCAGTGGAGTGCGTCGCTGTCTGGCACAGCCTGGAGCGGCTGAGGGATACTGGGATGGCTATGAGGCTCGCTGCGAAGGTACGTACGTGCTTCACATCTAATCATGGCACGGTAATGACCAATTACTGTGCACATTGTTTTATCATTCGTTCCGGTAAATATTACAGTCACAAGTTCAGTCTGCTACAAAATGCGATAATAAGGATTTCAAAACCTTTGAAAAAAGAAATCACCAGTTTTGAGGCCATTTCATGAAGACTTCAATCTTAGTTTACATATTTCATGCCTCTATAGTACACACATTTTGGGCAAAAGTGCATTTCCATGAAACGCTACGGTAACTTTATCAACTTTGTATATAAGTTGTCTTGTAATTGAGTCATTTTATATATTAACGGTCCAAAGTTTGACATTTTCATGTCCTGTTGACCTTGGTACTTTGGAATTTGCCATTCAGATATCTTTAAGAATGACTTCAAACAATTTTTTTTTTGGGGGGGGGGTTCATTTTTCCATTCAATTACACAAGGAGGACGCATAAGGAGTGCATCCACAATTATTGAAAACATTGATGTCGGGACAATTAGAAATAAAGTGGACCCAAATTTATAGCATGACCGATATACACACAAGCTTTGACACTATAATTTCTTATGTGTCATTAAATATCTAAAGTATTTTATTGCCCGGTGCAATCAAACACGATGTGAGCCAATCTTGGCATGTGATGGAAGCAGTCTTGTCAGTCTTTTGCATTTTCCTCTCTGAGGCCGTATTTTCTAAGCACTAGTGTTGACTAAATTTCAACTTTCTTTCTCTCTATTCAGTGCAAACCTGTCCACGAGCCTACATCCCTGTTAATGGTTACATCAGCAACTCCCAGGATTGCCCAGCTACTGATCAGATCCCAGCAGGGACTACATGCCGCTACGCCTGCCAACCAGGCCATGTACTGACTGGGTCTACTGAGGTGACGTGTGGCAACGATGGAAACTGGAACTCGGCCTTCCCATACTGTCAAGGTAAAGGAAATTATAACTATTGATCAATGTTTGTAACTTGGATAGCACTATTAAGCATTTACTTGGAATTCCAAAGTTTTTCCAACAAACAGAATGGAAGAAATTTTTCCATCAGACTTTTATGAAAAATTAACTTGAGTTTTCAAACAAATTTGAAGAATTTTTTTCAACAGAATTGAAGAATTGTTTCCATCAGACTATTATGAAAAATTAACTTCAGTTTTCAAACAAAATATTCAGGAATCTGAAGACATGTTTATCTTTAGACTGTATCTTTGTGGTAGTGTGACCTGTTTGCCGGTTTAGCTGGAGTGATGTTTTGAAGCTTAACGCCTAGTATTCCAACTCAAATATTATTTTGCTTAGAGCAAATTTGTTGATAAAAAGAGCAAATTGTAATTCTTTTTTTTTAAGTTTAGTTTTTGTTTCTTGAGCGTCCGTAACTTGTTGTTCGTGATTGAGTAGTTATGTTAAAAGCTTTGCTCTGATAAATGTTAGACAATGCAAAATGTTTTGATATATAATATTTAACTAAGTATGTAAAACCATCAACTTTTCACCAGTTTTAATATTTATATCTTGTCAATATTTTCTTTGCTTGCAGTTATCACCTGTGACAGCAGTGAACTGCCCTCACCACAAAACGGCTTCAAGAATGGCTGCCCCCACGCAGAGGAAACCTACAGCACGACGTGCACGCTGGGTTGCAATCTGGGCTACATGCCCACCCAGCCTACTTACGTCATGTGTACTGACGACGGGAATGGCACGGCAACGTGGGATGCCAACACGATCATGTGCGAAGGTATGTAAGGATATGTGACTCATCCAGTATACAGTTCTTATTGACTTCATGCGCAAGTACCCCCTCAACGATTACAAAGAGAGAGTTGGGGAAGACCACTGTGTGGGACTCACAGACGCATTGCCGTCGTACCCCTGATGCTCACGCAAGGATGCTACGGGTGTGTGCAGAATTGGATTAAAATTAGCTGCGCATACTTTGGGCAATACGCGACCAACCAGTAGGCGTACGTGGTGTATCCCTGCATTGGGTCTATTGGAAATGGTCACAATGCGCGAACTACTGTTCGTACTCGGAGTCCATCATCAAGAAGTTCAGGATGACATTTTGGCCATCATTTGACAAGAGATGTTGGCATGTAACTTTCACAGTGCAAGCAAGTTAATCACAAATCGACCACTAGTGGACTAATTGGTCCTTGCCTGATGTTTAATATGCTTTGCTTTTGCTTGAAATAAACTGCCCCTTGGCCTAGTAACCAGACTTCACTGCATGCCTCAATCATCCAATTTTGCCTGGTTTACACACAGCCGTCCAGTGTGATCCACTGGAGATGCCTGGTACACCAGGCTACCAACCTTTGTCCTGCACACTCAATGGAGTGGCAGTGACGGATACAGACCAGAGGCAGAGTTACATCACCGTCTGTGTGGCGTCATGTGACCTGGGATTCACCAGTAGCGGCTCAGCGAGTCGTACATGTCAGCTGAACGGCCAATGGGATGGTGTCCCTCTACAGTGCACAGGTACGTTCTTTTCGACATTTCTGTTTTACATGATTGATACCCCACATTTTTTGTTTGTTTTTAAATATCAACAGATATATTTCCACCCACTTTGTTTCTATATCAACAGATGTAACTCCGCCCAATTTGTATGTTTCCATTATCAACAGATATAACCCACCCACTTTATATGTTTCCAATATCAACAGCCCCACCCACTTTGCATGTTTTCAGTATGAACAGATATACCCCACCCACTTTGTATGTTTCCAATATCAACAGCCCCACCCACCTTGTATGTTTTCAATATCAACATAGACAACCCCATCCACTTTATATGTTTCCTATATCAACAGATATAACCCCACCCACTTTGTATGTTTTCTATATCTACAGATATAACCCCACCCACTTTGACATGCCCACCTGACATCACGCTGTTTGCAGGACGGGGGACCAGCTTTGCAGTTGTGGGCTACGGGTGGGAACCACTCACAGTAAGGAGGAGTTGTTTCCCAAACAAGATCAATGCCATTTTGTTCCCTTTTAGAATCCCACCCTCTCTTGGTTGCCCAAAGTCAGTTTCAATGGCTGTTACATATTTAAACACAATTTAAACAGCAAAAAAAAAAAACCCCAAAATAAATGTACTTTAGCAACAGCTGTTATACTGTGTATGTTCTATAACTGTGCATCGTTGTCACTTTTTTTCAAATACATGTAGACATATTGATCAAAATTGCATAATAAGTTATTTGTAATTGAGACTTTGGTGTAGTACCAACTTGATTTGCAGTAGCTATTGTTGCAAAGTGAGTAGTCTGAGAGCTAAACTTCAGGTAGTACTTCCATAGTATTACCGAATAGTTGGGTGATAGTACAATAGTTGCGTGTACTTCCTTTACGTGTATGAACATTGACCAATGAAGAAGCATATGCATGTTCGGCTCATATATGTATAAGGTGTAATAATGATGTATACATTTCTGAATCATTTAGGCCATGGACGCCAGTGGTAACATCATTGCGACACTGGTTAGCATCAATGGCCAGCCAGTACCAGCAAATAGGAGTTCTATATTCCACGAAGGGACATATAGCCTGGTCTATAGTGCAGAAGATGGCAGCAATAACGAAGCTGTGTGCAGTGTCGTAGTGAATGTCTTGGGTAACAACAATATCTTTGAAGAATATTTGGTCATGTAAATTTCTAGTAGTTTGACTTACCACTAGCCCAGTAACTGATTGTGTGCAGTTTTGCAGTCGATTCCCTAAAAAGTCCATCACAAGTCAGTCACAATGAAGTCGCATTGGATGAAGATTGAAAAGGAATGTGTTTGTGACTAGTTCTCTGCAATAGCTTGTGATTGTGACTTGGTGCCCACTTTTACCTCGTTTTGCCTCATTTGAGCCCATATCACCTCATTCTACCCCATTTTACCCAAAAGTACCCCATTCGTACCCCAACAATCACCAGATATTAATGCTGCCATGTATGGCACAGTGCTCACCCCATTTATCTTAGTTTACCCCATTTTACCCCATTTTATCCCGTTCATGCAACAGTCGCCAGGTGCCCGCCGTTGTACGGTCCCCAGAACAGTGAGACCAGTCTGGTGTCGGGCCAAGGGGAATGTGATAATGCTGCTGTGTTTGGCTCAGTATGCATCCCATTAACCCCGTTTATCCCATTTTACCCCAGTTTATATCATTTTTTCCCGTTCATGCAACAGTCGCCAGGTGCCCGCCGTTGTACGGTCCCCAGAACAGTGAGACCATTCTGGTGTCGGGCCAAGGGGGATGTGATAATGCTGCTGTGTTTGGCTCAGTGTGCAACATCAGCTGTGAGGAAGGTTACACACTGTCAGATGGCAGCCAACAAGTTACAGCTGAGTGCGTCAAGAACATAGCGTCGTCCACAGTGGGTTATTGGCAGAGCCCATCGGTACAGTGTGTCCGTAAGTATATGCTCAAGCATCTGAAGTTTGCATTTTTGTGCATTTAAAGACATATGGGCTCCGTGCGCAAACAAAAGAGAGCGCCCTTTTACCTAGCAACGACGTCCCATGGGCAGGGCACATACATTTCGCTTGTTGACGAACGCGCACCGTTCTTTGTTTGTGACACATGTACACCAGGGGATTTGTACTATGTACACGCAGTGGCCGTGCTTCGCGGCAAGATATTGCAGTCAGGCAAGATGGCGTCGTTCGGTCACTCCCCACTGTACTTTCTTTGCCGGTAAGGGGGTACTTGTGAACGGAGCGGATAGCATCGTTTACATTTATCCCAAAAGTAACCTACCAAATTATTACAAAAAAGCTTAATTGGATTAAAGATCGCACTGGTACTTAACACACTGTGGAAGTATTCCGTCTGGCTTGCTGTCATCTAGAAGATTTTTTTATAAGGAACAATAAGCCATCAAAACATGTGAAACTTCTGGAGACTAGTTATTGGTTACGTTTATTTATATCAGAATAGTAGTGTCCATTGGAAGATTGTGAACCAGCCTTATATCTTGAATTCAAATCAATCTTCTTCTTCATTGTTTTTCTTTACCAGCCAACACATGCCAAGTACCAGCCATTCCTAATGGCTACATATCAGGCTGCAGTGGCCAGGAGGTGGATTACCAGTCATCCTGCGCCTTTGTGTGTAATCCTGGTTACCGTAGCAACCATACATCCCAGAGTAGGACCATGAGGACTTGTCTGGCCGATGGGACGTGGACCGGAGTGCAACCAGTTTGTGAAGGTAAGGCAAGACTAAACGAGCTTTGTTAAAGTTGTTTAAGAAGTTTAAGCAATGTAAAAGATTTGTTGGTTATTTAGAAGTGTGGATGGTGCTTCGATGCACAAGATATCATTTTGTATCACATCAAAGTACAAGTGATCCAATGTTATTCTTCATTGCAGCTGTTGTATGTAATGGCTTACTGAATCTGACCCACGGCACAGTGCAACCAAGTGACTGCTCTTCCCAGGCTGAACTTCCTTACAACACTCTGTGTACATTCACATGTGATGATGGATTCTCTCTCAGTGGTCCATACAGTAAGGTGTGTACTGACCGAGGAGTGTGGAGCGATGCACGCCCAGTCTCTTGCTCAGGTAAACTCAATGTGTAGCAATCTTGGGTTTTTTATGTTGAGGTTGCCTTAGCAAGGCTAGCCCATGAAGCATTCTCAGATTTTGGTGGTAATTTATGATAAGAAAAATATTTACTTCCAATGGTGATACTTCAGCAAAGCTGTGACTGATTTCGCGAAACCTTATGCAATGGTGTATCTCCATTTGCGTCCAAATTTATTGCGTAAGTTGCGCATTATTTCATTCCATGCAACATTTTAGTTATGACACATTTCACTAAAGTTTCATAGGGCGTAAGTCTGCGGCCTAAGCAACAAATTATGGCGTAATTTACGCAATCATTTTGGGTGGCATACGTTGTGGTGTTAAGGGACTGAAAATTTGACTGGCTAATCCTGATTGTCGAGTCTGTCATTGTTCAACTTAATTATCAAGGTTGATAGAAGCCATTCACCACTTTATGTTTGAAGTAAATGAAGTGCTCTTTTACCCATGATGACATAATTCCAAAGAAAGTCGGACAAAACTATTGTCAATATAGCATGCGGAGGTGATTAACACCCGCTTTGTGTCCAAACAGGAAATATACCCAGACGTCCCCCGTAAATGCTGTGATTATCCGTGTTTAAATAATTTAAAACATTACGCAGCTACACCAAGTTTTGTGAAACTGTTAGTTTATTGCGCAACTGCGGAACAAATTTGTTGCTAAATCTCACTCATGGTGTAAAGTTCCGTAATGTTTTGTGGAATTGGCTGCAGGCTCTGTGCAGATATAAAGATCTTAGCTTTTTATGTTTGTAGGTCAAATGTTGAATAGACTGAGCCATTAAGCCCCGCCCCATGATGCTGTAACCAATCATAACTATGTATGTACGTACGACAGGCGCAGTTACAGAACATGCAGTGTGGCATGTGAGAATCGCATGTGCATATGTTGTTGCTGTGCGTTGTCTTATGTACAAATTGCCAGCGTTTACATTAGTAGTCTCATGTTGTCACACAAGAAGCCACGTAATATTTTCTTTGTTTTTCTTTCTAGACTATCAGCCACCAGTCTTCACGGACAACTGCCCCGTGTATGTCAATCAAATTGCACCGGCCAACATGAGACAAGCTATTGTCACTTTCCAAACGCCACAGGCCACAGATAACTCTGGGGATGTTACAGTGACAAGGTCTGTATTCAAAAAGTATGATGGTAAAGCTTACTGAGAGGATGGGTACTTTTACCATTTTAGGTTGAGTGCAAACAGCCAAGAAAAGTTACCTCTTGGTTATCTTTCTTAAGTCCAGTGGTTACTTTTACCAACCAACTTTTGACAAAATAGAGAGCGCCTGATTGCGGGGATACATGTTTATTGCCCAGATTGGTTCCTTTAGCCAAGGTCTTGGTAAAAAATTGTACATGTCAAAAGTCTAAGTGCAGACACTGGTAAGATTTTGCGCATTCAGTCTCAGTTAAATCTTTAAAAAAAAAACGAACATGGCTTTAGTGTAGCTTGAAGAACTTAAATGCAAGATCCTATGCTGTATTTGACATTGAGAAAATCTTCCTTTATTTTTATATGCAGTCAAGACCCAAGCCTCGGTTCAGGTTCTTCATTCCTTGAGGGTACAACTCGTCTGATATACACTGCTACAGATGCTGCCATGAACAGCAGACGCTGTGATGTGTACGTCACTGTACAAGGTAAGAGGCTCATTCAAAAGTGAACGCGAACGTACATTTTTGATGTCACAAGTTTTAACACTGCAAGGTGGCAAAAGTTGAACACATATCAACTCTGTGCACTTGGTCCAAACATATCATTCAGTGCATGGGGAATGCATTGCTCATTTTGCTTGTGACAGGTTTCAATGAATTTGAAAGAGTACAGGCTGGTTCATGATCGGCGGAAAAGTGAATGCAAAGGCAAATTTTTGTCTTCACGACAGGTTTCCACACTGTAAGTTCACAAAAGCTGAACACATATCAACTCTGGCAAAATTCGCAGTGAATTTTCCGATATAAAATTCACTTCTCATTCGCTATCGCGTATGTATATGAACCATCCTTACTAAATATGTGAACAATTGTACAATGTACAAGGCGCCGCCCCATTGGAAAATCACGCTGAGCATCCTTACAAATACAAACATTGAAACAGTTTTTTAAAGGACTAAGAACCAGAACATACACAGAAGAGAAGCAATGAAGTTTTGTAAATTAACTTGTGGAATGTCATATCCAAGCAGTTTTCTAAAGGTTTTCACGTTAGTTGATGTAATGTTATTCAGCATGTAAATTCCTCCCAGAATTCCACCTGTATCCCTTTATATTTCCATTCCTTCTTTAACCCTTGCCCTTCACAGTTCTGCGCTGTCGCCCTCTACAAGCCCCTGCCAGTGGTTCCTTGGTCCAGTGCCCCAGTAACATCTACGGAGCCAGTTGCAGCTTTGCCTGCAATGCAGGCTATGACCTGGATGGTCCTAGTAGTAGGACCTGTGAGAGGGTGAACAGTGGACAGATGCAAGTGGAGTGGTCTGGGACAAGCCCAAGATGTCTACGTAAGCAGCTCATCATAAGTCATTATTATAAAATGCTCTCCAGTGCACAGACTGAAGAGAGAAATTTATGCGTGAAGCATTATTATGTACTTATCATGCATCCAAAAGTGTGTGGTTACATAGTAGAGATTGTGGTTAACATGTGATCATCTCATCTTGAGAGGAACAAGGCATCTTTATAACATTGTCTTTATGTTGTGGTATATGTTGGAATGAAATATATTAATCGCAGTTTTAATGTCCTCATCGATTTCGTTTCATTGTTTTTTTCAGCGATCACTTGCCTGGCCCTGGCTGACCGGCTCCCTGCTATACGCTCGGGTTGCTTTCAGTACCCACCAGCAACTGAAGTACTGGGCACCACTTGCAGCTGGTACTGTCCTTATGGCTACGGTGGAGTTGGTTCCCAGCAGTCTATGTGTCTAGCAAATAGCACGTGGGATGTAGTTGACTTCTCCTGTGAAGGTATGTGAGGTGATAATGTCACAAGTTTGTTACAGTAAGACTCAATTGCCATTGTGACTGTCTGTCTGCTATGCATGTAGACGGCACGGATATAACCTGTGCTCACGCATCAGTTTGATTACATAGTACATTGCCAATTTTTACCCTCTTTCAGAGTTAAGTAATCGTGCGTGATTTGATTGGAAGAGTATTGCTGAACACGGATGTGCCATTTGTCTGCGTTTCAAAACAGGATTAGCCACCGATATGAGGTTTTTTATCTTTTGGATTACTGTTTTTTATTGGTAACAGTGCCAATAATTAAGCATATGCGTATGTGTACACGATGCAGTACAACTGAAATCGCGATAATGGTTCAGATGTGAAACCTCTCTACTGTTGGTACACATTCAGGTGCTCCATAGCTCAGTTAAAGTGACCCAAGGGGCACATTGCATGGTGCTGTTTAATGGTTGGTTTACAGAAAAAAACTGTTTTCAACTTTTAGCAGAAAGCTTGTGCTATTCAGTGTCTTAGCTTAGGCCTGCAACTGCTTTTGTGTGCATGGAGAATTGTATTGTTGCATCAATATTTAAAGCAAATTCAGCCTCTGAAGTTCAGCATAAAAGTTGCTGTGATTACTGCTTACAGTTTCTTGAGAAATGGATGATGGTTGTGTGAGCAAGAGACATGTGTTTGTAAGGGCTGTGATATTGGCCCAAGGTAATGAATATTGCATCTTTCATATCATATCTGCTACTATTTCCACACATAGTGTAGTTGTCCAGCTCTAGTGCCCTCTGCTGGTATGGAGATATCTCCAGCTATTTGCCTGACTTCCCCAACCTTCAATGACAACTGTCTATAATATATCTGTTTCTATTTCCACACAGAACGTAGTTGTCCAGCTCTAGTGCCCTCTGCTGGTATGGAGATATCTCCAGCTATTTGCCTGACTTCTCCAACCTTCAACGATAACTGTTTCCTGCGTTGCTCACAGTCAGGCTACAGGGTGGATCCTCCGTCCTATGACTTCATCCGTTGCCTGGGTAACGGGGATTGGTCACGTGACAGCACTGCATTCACTTGTGTTGGTAAGATTCTGTTAAAGGGTTAACCCTAAACCAGTCTACAACACTTGATGGCGATGAATTCACTGTAAAATGAAGATTTCAGTGAGTGGGCTGTTCACGCATGTTGAAACCGCATGGTGCTGCCCCTGTTGGATATTTTCGGTACATGCCTATACATTTACATGGCTGGAATTTTTCAGTCAATTAGCGAAGGTTAAATTGAATAGCTTGTGACTTGACTTTAGACTGGAGGACTTGTGATAGATCAGTGAACTTGTGTGGACTTAACTATCACTCAGGAAGTCTTTCATCGTCCATCATTTCAGATTACGAGGTTCCCCAGTTCACTTCATGCCCGTTGGATTTCATCGAATACACACCACAAGGCGCAACCGAAGCCACTGTGACGTGGACTGTGACAGCAACAGACAACTCAGGAGTAACACCCTCCATAGCCTGCAATATCCAACAACCAGCGACGCTGCCAGTAGGGGAACACTCACTCAGGTGTACGGCTACCGACGGCGCAGGGAACCAGGCAAACTGTGACTTTGAAGTCCAAGTTACAGGTGTGTCATCACATTTTTTGAAACACAAATTTCAAGGACTGTGTTATTAGTTCCCCTGTACATGGTTTGGTCTGATGGGGTATGGAAGGCTTGGGGCATTAATCCTGAAATTGTTTATTTGTCAACCAGTTGCAATAAGTTGTGACTCGAGTATTACTCCTAAAGTTAGCATCTTGTTTATCTACATCTTCTGTTCATTTCAGTTCGCCAATGTCGACAGCTCAATCCGCCATTTTACGGCAACTTTGTCGCGGCATGTGATAACAGCCACGGATCTACTTGCCAAGTCCGCTGCCAGAATGGCTACACGCTACAGGGCTCTGACACTGCTACCTGCTCCAGGAATGCCAGCACTGGGCTGATGTACTGGGCCTGGAATGGTCAACGACCATCCTGCCGAAGTAAGTGTAGCATAACAAATATTGTATCCTGCATTTACCACAATCTCCCTGATTGTCCAACATCAGTCAAAAACAAGGATGGTGCATGCTCACATCATGTCTGGGGTTAGGTTGTGTCATAAATAAATGTGCACTGTGTCGTTCATTCAAGATCAAACTAGTCTTTGCAATAATACAAGTCTGCCAACAACACTGGCAAAATTCCAATAGCTTTTTCCCACGTGCTGCATCTCTTTGGAATTCCTTGCCTGGTGCTCGTGTCCCTCCAACCTATGATCTGTCATGTTTCAAAAGGAATGTCGAGTTCTGCTATCAGTTTTCCTGAGTACTTAATAATCTTTTTATTTCTCTTGTAGCCAGGTACCTTGAGTGGCTTTTAGCCTTGTTCGGGGAAAATGTGCATAAAAAAACCTGAAATATTAATATTGACCTTCCTTGAGGACCTCAACTTCTGGATGTTTTTCTTATTTGAAAACGTGGTGCTCATTTTCTTCTCACAAGAAACCTTTCACAAAACACCGTAAATAATGATTGGTGAAACTCCGGACTGCAAGAAAATATGAATTAAATCAACATATTCCTTCTCTTTGTTTAACGTACCTGTAACAATAACGAGGGCTGCCTTTTTTCTCTTCTAGTTGCAAGCTGTCCACCCTTATCTGATCAGCTGATTCCCCTGGGTGGGGGTGTCTATCCATCCTTCTGTCGTGGTCCCATCCATCCATATTACGGCACCGTCTGTCAATTCTACTGCCGCAATGGATTTGACTTGGTAGGCCCTGCAGACCACCAGAGGCTGACATGCCTGTCTAACGGAACGTGGGACCAGAACTTGTACACACTCAACGTGCAATGTCGAGGTAAGTCCAGAAAAGGAAAAGTAGAACTCAATGCACAAATACCCTGTCAATGGTTACAGGATACAGTTACTGTGAGAGTTTGGAAAGACCACTTGGGAGGGACTCTTGAACACATTGCTGATGACGACTGCCACTCATGTGAAAACTCCCTGGGGTTGTTCACATTCAGAATAACATAAGTCATGTATTCTGTTCTTCATTTGAGAAACATTACCTCATTGCAAACTGAATCTGCCAAAAACAGATGTATTCACTGTCTGCTATATCTCACTTTCCCAGCAATGACGAAGATGCATAACACTGAAATAACCACACAGAACAATGATCGAAAAAATAATTCCTGTTTCAAGGGCATCCATGATAAATAATTTACCTGATTTATTTGGTGTTTGCACACAAGACTGAATGCAACCTATCAGTAGCCCCTTCCTTTTTGCTAAACAATGCTCTTGGAGGAAATTCTTAATGTGTAGGTTTTTCCCCAACTTTTCTTTGTAGTAAATGGAAGTTATAGACAATATGGGCATGTAAAGTGTCATATGACTCGTTCCATATAACCTGTGGCAAAAGGCAGCTTGGCGCAAATGCAAATGAGAATATGAATGGTGTAATGTCACCTGAATAGTGAGTTAGTATTTGTATCAATTGAGAACCAGCTTTAAGACATTGGGTTTTTTGTAGTAATTTCTGTGAAGATAATTCTCATGGATTTTTTTAATCTATGACAGACAATGTGCCACCAACCCTCCGTGTCTGCCCAGGCTCTCTATCAGGCTCCATGTCTGGCCAAACGCTGGGCGTTGTGCTATCCTTCGATATCCCCATGGCTGCTGACAATTCAGGTGCCCAACTGACCGTGATTAAGACTCCATCGGACATCACCTCACCGTACAATTTCACTCGGGACACCGACGTGTCGTACATCTTCACTGATGCTGGAGGGAACAGTGTGGCTTGCAATTTCAGTGTTAACATTCAAGGTACAGGCTCACGTGTCATTTTCCATTTCAGTTCCTGAACTATTGTGACGTCAAAGTACACGTAACCATCCTGGTTCACCGTGATCGGCCAACATTGCAGTAGGCAAGCGTTTGGTTAGCAACCAACTCATGCATTGTAAACCAGACAGGAGTGTTTATTTCACATAAAAATAACCTCGTGTCCATTATTAAATGGCACAACGGTCACTAACTGTGTCGTGTACGGTTGTCATAACCGTGCTGTCCCAGCACCAGGTGTTGGCTCTGCATTTTTCTCACAGTTTGAGCCATTCATCACAGCTTAAAAGCTTGCTGCGCGGTGTGCTATATGATCTTCGCCTACTACAATGGCGACGCTGAATATCCAGTATCTGGATGTAGGCCGGGTCATGAGAGAGCACCATGAAAGCATCATCAGTGGCACAAATATGACAATGTACAATGTCATGGAGCATCTCAGCACAAAAATATTGATTCAGCACATTTTCACAGAAGGCATGAATAAAATCAGTGATCTGCGCATACTGAATTGATAGTGTATGTAATGAAGTAACACAGGGAGCAGGTCAATTGGAAGCATTCTAGTGGCTTTCCATTCAGTTCATACAGTGCAGTAAGGTTTCTTGGGGGGGGGGGGTTAATGTAATTAAGAGTTGAACCAATATTGATGCATTCAGCTCAGGGATGTAGTCGAGTCCATCACAAGTCCAGTCGCAAGTCCAGTCACAAGTCATAAGTAACAGTGGATGAACTATAACAAAGGAATGCCTTTGTCAAAGCTCATTGGAATAGCTTGTGAGTTGAATTGGGACTGGAGGACTTGTGATGGACTTGCAGGGACTTGTGATGGACTCCACTGCATCCCTAATTCAGCTGCATGTAATTTGAAGCCTGGAATTTGAAGACTTTATTGTCTTCAGTCATTGTTACCAGAAAGTTTCGACTGACTTGTTGAATCAAAGTGATTGGAAATTACTCCACTTCTGTAGAGACACAAAATTTCTAATGATGTTGGTTTTTATTTCCTCTCCCCCCCCCCCCCCCCATTTTATAGACAACCTGTCGCCTGTCCTGGTGTCTTGTCCAGACAGTCGGAATGTAACACCCACGGAAGTTAACACTGCAATTTTTTGGCCACAGGTAAGATTTGTATCAAAGATATAACATGGTGGGTGTGAAAAAAACTTGGCTTTTGTATTGGATGAGTGCACACTTCAAACTTGTTCTTTTTATTTGTTGGGTTTTAGTGAAATTTCAATTTTTAAAAGTTGAACAAAGAAGTTGATTGGAGCAGGGTTTGAACCTGCTCTGGATTGACTTACCAGTGCTCTACCAGCTGAGCTATCCAGCCCTATGTTGGCGGTTCCCCAGCTTGTCAATTGCTTCTGACTAGTGGCCTTGAACAAAGACATTGAGAAACTGGTGAACTGCCAACAAAGGGCTGGATAGCTCAGTTGGTAGAGCACCGGTACGGTAATCCAAAGGTCGCAGGTTCAAACCCCACCCCAGTCAATTTCTTAAGTTTCAAAATTTAAGAAGTTATTGTTATTCACCTCGTAAAGTTCCCGTTTAGTATATATGATTATTAATAATTTAAATTAATTTAGAATCAAAATTAAAAGTTGCATGCTCATGTTTTTTTGGTATATTGGCAGCCGGTGTTCCTTGAGTTGACCGGCGATACATTGGACATTAGTTGCAGTCATCAGAATGGCTCGTCCTTTGGATGGGGCTCTCACATCATCCAATGCAGCGCAACTAATCTGGACAACGGCAAGACCACCATGTGCCAATTCACTGTCACCATCACACGTGAGTTCAACTTTTTTCTTGATATTATACTGTAATGAATAATCCGAAGAAAGAAGAGAACTGGGAAATGTGTTAGCAGTGACCGTGTTTTACCGAAAAAGTGTGTGAAATCTTAGCTCTGCTTCTGTTTATGGTACATGTATACTGTAAGTGTAACAATATTCTCTGAACCATATTTCACATGAGCCATTTTTTAAAAGTCGTATGTCGTTTTCGGGTGCAATCCGGTCTGACAAAAACATAGTATCTTGTTTATTGATTATTATAGAGTTTATTTTGTTTATTGATGCATTTTAGAGTATTTCTCTCTCGTTAAAATAGTAAAAACAGAAATGTGGCAAATGCCATGATGCAACTCCAGCTTCTATTTTTTTAGTTCATAACGTGCTTTGATGACTCTCCTAGCAAATCTTCTTCTTTTTTACAGCCAGGGCATGTCAAAATCTTGCAGCACCTCGACATGGAGCCAAGGCATGTGACAGTTGGGCCTTCGGACGCTACTGTTCTATGTTTTGCAATGTGCAATATGATGTGTCTACTGCGGATATGTTCCGCACTTTTCTAGTGTGTGGCTATACTACAGGAACTTGGGCTCCATCCAGTAGGTTCCCGACGTGTCGCCGTAAGTGGTTGCCTTGTGCATTCTTGTTGATTGGCTTCCTATAGACCTTATGCATTGCAGGTACCTCACAGGCTGTTCTTTGTTATTTTAATTGAGTAACAATGAATCCACTAAATCTTTAATCCATGCCCATCCAGGCAATGTAGAACTTTTACCTTTAACTCTGCCCTTAAGTAAAAAAAAAAAAGGCTCCGGTTTCTGGTATGGATCTTGCCCCCAAAGTGTTTTTTATCCCCCCACTTTTTTTCTTCTTCAAATATCGGCTGATGTTGCAGATGACGCTTCGATCCCTTTAAAACTCTCAAAAATATCCTTCAGGGTGGAGCTTGAGGTGACCTCAGTAAGGCCATAAGGCTTGAGAATTCTGCACCCACTTACGATCTCGACAGACCCGAACATTCTTTTGGAAACTCGGATAGTCAAGATACTGCAAGTTTATAGGTTTCAGATACACCACCGTCGCTCCCTTAGTCTGGCATCCAGACGCACAATTACAAAATTACAATACTGTCTGCAAAATCATGCCCGACTAAATTTAGTGCAAAAGAAACAGAAGCCTAGAGAAGCCACATAAAACTTGTACTTGATCGTAACCCCATCTAAAAGCATGTTACAGTTGTGCAGCAGCAGGATTCCAGTCAAACCAGTGAGTTTGGTGGTTGAGACATTATCTTTTATTGAAAAAACTTTTTAATTTTGCTGATGCACATGGCTACGGCGACGCGTGCACAGACCAGAAACCGGAGACCTTTTTTTTTTGCTTATAATGTTTAATATTTTGAGCCATCCATTTCTTGTAATTCTCTAGTTCTGCAAGTTCAGAGGACAAATGCAAAAATGTTCAGTGGAGTATTCAATCTTTGGTATTTTGGGGCTGAAATTTTGCCACAAAAGCTTTCGAAATTGACCCTCAAAAGTGATAAAACCTTGCTGTATATATCACGCAGCATCAGCGTGCTTGTCTGCACTGTGTAGTGGGCAATGATCATGTGCCGCAGTAGCAAATTTTGCAGAAACATGCTACACTGTATCGCTATGAGCGTTACAACCTCAAAATAAATACATTAAGAAATTGAAAATACATACTTACGAAAAAGAGAGATCATCTTCAGTGAATAAACTTGCAGAAAATTGCCTTTCTCCAGTTTTTTGTTTGGAATTTTTATGATGTCAAATTTGACCTGTTTACTCTATGTCGGCTAATGACTGGTTCTGGTCCTCAACTTTGACCATTGTAGCATCGCAGCGTGTGGCAGGAACCAGTCTAACATTGCTGCATGCGTGCATAAACGCATGCATGTGCTGTCACCTGAGCTCATGGTAGTATTGGGCATGGTAATTCGTAGCGGAATAAACGTGAGTTTGTACACTATTCCAAACGTATCGTACAGTCCTTTTTGGCACTTTTATTGTTTCTTATTGTTAATTTGTCATGTTTGAAAAGTCCTCTCTTTGATGTTTAAGGAGCGCTATTTTTTTACCCGCCTTGGGTAAAATGAGGAGCGCGGTAGGAGCGCCTGCGTGATCACACTGTAACGACTGTAAATGATAGTTTTGGCTGTAGAAAAATCCAAAGTGCATGTTGCTTTTTTTATTTATTTATTATTTTCTCCCCTATAAACTAATGCGACACTCTACTCAAGAGGTCTCCACACACAAGTATCATTGTAACTGATGAAATGTTTTTTCTTCCTTGTAGCAAGACAGACTGTTAACCACATGGCTGTACTGTCTGAGCTACATTACTTCAGTGGTGACTGTTCTTCCCCTGACACACAAGCCCAGATCAAAGAGCAGTTTATCCAAATTCTCAATGGTTCTAACTTTGCTTCCATATGCACCCAATATGCTTCTGAGTGCAACGTGGACAATGTTGAAGTGACTTGTGGTTCCTCCAAACGCAAGCGCCGTGACGTGAGCATCTGGCCAGAATCGTCGCTGGACTTTGGAATCGAGCTTGACCAACTGAAGTCCATCTCTCCAGAACTTGGTGCAGAGGAATTCACTGAGCATGCCCAGAAGCGGTTTGCCGACATGCGCGCAAAAGGGAAGCTGCCACCGAATGGCCGGGTTGACCGACGGCGCCGGTTGCCTACCCCGAGACGAAAACCAAACACGGACCATGAACGCAGTCGACGGTCTACAATGTCGCACACCTTTACGGTATCATTCAGCATGAATTACTTGCTGCCCTCAGACCCAACCATGTCGGATTACGATTATGAAGATGAGTGTTGGAATGGCTACGATGCACTGTATGACATAGTGGACAGCGTAGAAGACATGGCTGACAGTGGTGGCTTGGCGATTTCAGTGCCTGGCATGGAGATTGGTACCCAACCTGAGCTTGATTATACTGAACCTGGTCCAGACTGTCCCCATGGGTACCTGCCTACTCTTAGCATGACCTGTGGTATGTCAGTCTTAATTTAATGCCTCAGCTTTATTATGCCCTCACATCCCATACCTTGCCTAAAGGCAATAATTGGAAGCCATTTCTGAAACGACGCCACACTCATGCACAGGTGTTTTGTGCACGCTCAGTGCTCCATCGACCATAGGGTTTTCAAAATACATGTGCACCTGAAATGAAGAACAATGTGTGACATGCGCAGGCATGTGGCATCAACTCAATAATGGCAATGACCAGATTAGTCTATGTGCAGTGTGTTATATGCGCATTCACGTTGCAGTCAAAGCTGAGCTGCGTGTAGTGTTATACAACGTTGTAAAGATGAACAGGTTTAACGTGAAACAAGTTTTTGGAGTTGGTTTAGCATTGTCAGCAAAAAAATATTGATTATTGAGCCATGAAATCCTGTCACGATTTAACAACATAATAAATACCGCTGTGGAACATATAGAGAGCAATAACTGTCTGAAATAGTTGGTTTGTATTATTATACAGTTCAAGGTGATTTGAGCTCCATTTCATTGGGCTGCTATAAAGTAGGAAATATTGCTTAGCCAAGTTATCATGTCCTGAGAAAAACTTATGGGTTGAAAAGAATCTTTCATTTTTTCCCCCCACCTAATTTCTGTCCTTGCAGTGAGTTGCCCAGTGGGTGAATTCTTTGACAATGCCACCCTGGACTGTGTGGATTGTCCTATCGGTCAGTATCAAGATGAAGATGAGGAGCCACATTACACCTGCAAGATGTGTCCCACAGGAACCTCCACCATCCTAGCTGGCTCCACCAATCTTACTGACTGCCTACGTGAGTACAATCAAGTCCATTTAATAGCTCTTCCATTAATAAAAGAAACTTATCCTAAATGTCGTCAAGTTGTGACTGACTGACTCCCCGACTCCCCGACTGTCACTTGTCACTTATTGGCTAGAGAAGAAAACTGGGCATTGCTATCGTATAGAATTACCCCATATATAGGCTCATTGTGTACACCAGACGCACAAAAGAAATCCAGTGAATAGCTATTTTGAACCAAAAGTTTGTGCATTTTGGACCAGATGGACTAGGTTGGCACTGTTTTGTTTCAGTAGTTTTTGTGTCTTATTCCATCCTCTTGATTGAAGAAAATGATCAATAACCGTTATGAGTTGAAGGAGTGTGAAGGTCTGAATTTGGTTACAATCTGAAAGACAAATTATGCTTTTGTTTTCTCATCTTCTCCTAGAGCAGTGTGTACTAAGTATCTGTTATTTCAAAGGGGTAATTATTGGTTCAATGAATTGTCCTATTGACACCATTCACAAATGCCATCTTAACGATTAGAAAGGGAGAGATTGGTAGACCACTGGAACAGACATGTGAACGCATTACTGACGATGCCTGACCCTCATGCTAAGACACTGTGGGAGTATCTACATTCAGTTACATGCACGCAGTGTGTCGATCTCCCCCTGAGTCAGTAAAACAATTCTGTCAAAAGTTACATTGTGGCTTCTTCCTCCTGATTCAGGCTTCTGTCCAAGCGGTCAGTATTCCAACACCGGACTTGAGCCGTGCTTCCAATGTGAGAAAGGATCCTACCAGTCTGAGGCTGGGTCAGTCTCCTGTCAGCAATGTCCAGTTGGTCAGTCTACGGCCAGGATTGGATCCACAAGCTTACAGGACTGTGCAGGTATGGGTTGCATGATGTATGCAAAGTCATTCATTGTATAACAAGATGCGAGCACTAAGGGGAACCTTGAGGTTTACAGGAAAGTGACCTTGATGGTCAGTATTAGCTAGAAAGCATGCAAGTTGACTCCATAAACCTGCCATATTTTACAGAATACAGCAAATCTAGGCATCTGCAACGTGTGTGATGTCCTATCATTTACATTTATTTTTTGTCCTGACTGGGCCATCCAAACCAGGGCAATGAATGGGTACTCCGAAGCAAAACAAAGCATTGCAGTTTACAACATATTGAAAATATTGCGAAGAGATGACTACTATAAAAAAAACCAACATGTTGACCTCAACTTCTGTTGAATTGATCAAGGTGATAACAATTACCTAGTACCTAGACGTTCACATGGGTACCTAGACGTTCACATAAAAAGTGAAAGTGGACTATTAAGACTTGCACACTCTATGCAGGGACAAGAAATGGTGCTTTATTTACAGGAATATCTGACTTCAATTTATGACAAGTCATTATAGGCCAATCAAAAGTCAGTCACGTCATTATAGGCCAATCACAAGTCAGTCACAAGTCACCATAGGCCAATCACAAGTCAGTCACGTCATTATAGGCCAATCTCAACTCAGTCACAACTCACAGGTTATTCAAATGAAACTTTACAAAATATGTCTTTGGCCATCCCATTTCTTGTGGCCTGACTTGTGATTTTAAATTAAGAGTTATGAATTAAAAAAGATGAGAAACCACTTGTCTGGTCATTGAGTCAACTAAATTGACTGTTTTAAAGGCATATAGGATAATTTGTTTTTCATGCATTTTGCTTATTTTCAATAATAACAGCACTCAAAATACAAAGAAGACTGTTCAAAACCTAACCTGTTGAAGTTTCAGCTCAGTGGATATTACACTTTTCGAGAGAAACTGTGAAAAAAAAACAAGCCAAACCTTTCGATCACAACATATGATTTTGTTCGTAACACTCTTTATTTCTCAAAATCATTCAAAAGACTGATTGTTGAAGCCACCTGTTTTTCTTGATTTCTTCGAACTGACAGCAAGCAAGATGGAATAATTGCACGGGGCGTTTAATACCAGTATGATTTTTAATCCAAGCAAGTTTTTTTATACTTATTTGGAAGGACACTTTTGGGACACATGCAAATGATCCTGAATGCCTGTAATCAAAAGTCAGTCAAATCTTCCTTTTACATAAATAACAAATTTGTTACAAATGAGACGTGTCTACTATATTTCCCAGCCACATGTCCTGCTGGATCGTTCTCCATTTCTGGGATCCAGCCGTGTGTCCTGTGCCAGCTTCATAGTTACCAGCCCCAGCGAGGTCAAAGTTCATGTCTCTCGTGCCCCGCCGGGCATATAACCCAGGTCATCGGGGCCACAGATTTGACCATGTGTAGCAGTAAGTGATGTTGGTTATTGTGATTTGTTTAACTTTTTTTGTAGGGATTGAATTTTAGGAGTTGATTGCAAACAGTTCTTGGAGTTGAGTATTTCATTTAAAAGAATATGAAAGAAGCTTTCAAACTAACTAAATGACAATGCAAAAGTGTTTATACAATGTCTGAATAAATCTGTGTTGTCTGATTGGTGGATTGTTGAACACGTGCCATTGAATCTATGACCCAGACAAACTGCCAAACTAAAAATTCCATTCCACGGTAAATAGAAGTTCCATTGCATGGTCACACTATTACCAATCAGAGAGTATCAACCTCCAGAGAGTCCAGTTTCAACTATTGTTCACCTTGTCTCATCCACAGTACAAACCTTCTGCACTGCTACATCGTGTCTGAACGGTGGAACCTGCGTGGAGCAACTGGAGTCCTTCCGCTGTGAATGCCCAGCGGGTCTGACTGGCACACACTGTGAGACTGATGTGATTGACTGCCAGCAAGATTCTTGCTTCAATGGAGCTACCTGTGTGGATGAACTCAATGGGTTCAACTGCACCTGTGCTGCTGGATATCAAGGTAATGGGATGAGGGGCGGTTCTTAAGGAGAAAAAGGGCGGGTCATGTCTTACATTGTGAGATTCCACTATGATGGCAAATAGAAACTCTAGTCATTTGTCTTTTTGTTGTTGCAGGTGATGATTGCTCTCTCCTGATAGATTTCTGCATGAATGATCCTTGTGAGAATGATGGTACATGTAGCAGTCAGACCAGTGGATTCACATGCGCATGTGGTGTTGGTTTCACTGGTGTCAGGTGTGAGGAAGACATTGATGAATGTCTGATGCAACCCTGCCAACACGATGGATCTTGTGTTAATGTAGACGGAGACTATCTATGCCTGTGTGTTGCCGGCTTCATAGGGGATAACTGTGAGACTAATGTAGATGAGTGTAAATCCAACCCATGCCAGCGTAATGGTACATGTGTGGATGCTGATAACGGATATCACTGTCAGTGCATCACAGGTTACTCCGGTAATCATTGTGAGATTGACATAGACATGTGTGCCAACAACCCTTGCAGCAACGGTGCAACCTGCCAAGATTTAGATGATCGATATCAGTGTGCATGTCCCCACGGCTATGGTGGCAGCCACTGTGAACTGGTCTTGACTCCATGTGATTATCATCCATGTGAAAATGATGGTACCTGCACTGAGACATTGACAGAGGAGACTGGATACAAGTGTGAATGCTTGCCAGGATTTACCGGACCGGAGTGTAAGATCAATGTGAATGAGTGTGCTAGTGGACCATGCTCTAACGGTGGCACCTGCATCGATGGTGTCAACAGATATGACTGTATCTGTACTGATGGCTTTGAAGGTCAGTATCATTTCTTCTTTTCAGTACATAGTCTGTGATTGACAAAGTTAAAATAGTGTCTTGAACTCAGATTCCATTTCATGGATCCTCAGTCTGATTGCCATTGTAGATATTATTGTACAATCTGTGTAAATGTAAGCTTTTGAGACGACGTTACACAAGTGCACATCAACTGCTTTAGCAAAGACTTGTGATGGACTTGTGATGGACTTGTGATGGACTTGTGATGGACTTGTGATGGACTTGTGATGGACTTGTGATGGACTTGTGATGGACTTGTGATGGACTTGTGATAGACTTGAAATCCATCGCAAGTACCTCAACTACAACACCAAATATACATCATGTCAACAGATTCCTAACGATTGAATTGGAGAAGAGAAGACTTTAGGGTGCAGATTAAATCTCCTGCATGAGGATGGGACCAAGAAGGTGCCAAGAATCATCTCATCAGTGTTCATTGTATAACTGTAAGGTAGACTTGCCAGTGCAACATTCCTGTTACGTTGTTGACCCATTTCAGTAAGTCCCCCAAAAAGTATCTCACCAGTTTGCCCTGAGCCAACTACCATTCAATATTGAATGACTGACTGTTTTTCTCCACCCCCTTCCCTCCCTGGGGTTTTCAGGACCGCGCTGTGAGGGACGTCCAGACCTCTGCAACCCCAACCCTTGTCAACACAACGCAGCATGTGAGGATGAAGGAGAGGATTATTACTGCACCTGCCCTGCCGGTCTGTCAGGCAGAGATTGTGAGATCCAGGTGGATGCCTGCCATGACGGAGAGACGTGCTTGAATGGTGGAGCCTGTGCACCGCCCTCTATGGTCCAACTCTGTCTATGTCCTGCTGGATTTGCAGGTAAGGTGCCATGGCCTTGCGATCTGTCCAGATCTGTCACTGGGGACAATTCCAGTTGAAACCAGTTCAACTGGTTCAACTAGTTTTAGCTGGTACTAGTTGAACTGGAAACAAGTGACTGGTTTTGAACTTGTGTAATTGGTTTGAACCAGTTCAAAAACAAGTTAATCCAGTTAAACCAGCTCAAATCCAGTCACCAGTTTCCACTTTGACTGGTTTTAACTGGAAATTTTACCTTTGGTTGGGTTGAAATCTGCATTTCGTAAGTGGAATCAAGCCTGTACTGTTACAACGTTTTTTTTCTTGGTTAGAACTGACTTTGTCGCAAATGAGGTTCCACTTTTTCCTGCAGTTTGACAGATAGAGCTATTCAGATAGATTGTGACTGTCTTGTTTTTGGTTTATTATTTACTTTAATGAAGCAAGGAAGTGTCAATGCCTCGTAAGTTGAAAAAAGAAGGTTCCAAGCATATCTAGAATAAAGTCTCTTGAAGTATTATATATGTGCCAAAACTTGAAGTAATATTTGCTCATAATTTGATAACATCTGTTTATATTGGCTTCTTTTCTTACAAATTACAATTAACCCACAGGAGAGCATTGTGAGATTAACATCAATGACTGTGCCAATTCTCCATGTGCCAACGAAGCTCCCTGCGTAGATGGTATCCAGTCGTTCACCTGTCACTGCTTGGAAGGTTTCACTGGTACTCTGTGTGAGATCGATATTGATGAATGCGCATCCAATCCCTGCCATAATGGAGGGGCATGCGTCGATAAGATCAGTGGGTACCGGTGTGACTGTACCGATGGTTTCAATGGAATTGACTGTGAAAACAACAAGGATGATTGCGTGGCCGGAGCTTGTGGCAACGGTCGATGTGTGGATGGCATCAACTCATTCAAATGTGTGTGTAACATCGGTTTCACTGGCCGTAGGTGTGATATTGATATCAATGAATGCCAATCTCATCCATGCGCTAACGGCGGCACGTGTCGTGACATGGTGAATGGTTTCATCTGTGATTGCGTAGATGGATGGATCGGTGAGCAGTGTGAGATTAATGAAGACGATTGCGCCAATACCCCATGCCTGAACTCTGGTCATTGCATCGACGGCCTACAGTCCTACACCTGTCAATGCTTACCAGGCTTCACGGGTCAGAACTGTGAGACCAACATCAATGAATGTCTGAGTAATCCTTGTCTCAACCAAGCAACCTGCATCGATGGAATCAACATGTTCACCTGCGATTGCAAGAAGGGAAAGAAAGGTACACTGTGCCAAATTGACTTGGGTAACTGCCAGCCAAATCCTTGCAAGCACGGTGGGTCTTGTACCCCAACTACTACTGGGTTTGTGTGTCAGTGTCAGGCTGGGTTTGAAGGAGCAGAGTGCCAGACTAATATTGATGACTGCACCAACCATCAGTGTCTGAATGGAGCAAGCTGTATTGATCAGGTGAGAGTTTCATCCGGTTTAATCATTCCAACTTGCATTACTCAGTGAGCTTAAATCACACTCCTATGTTGTATCTGGCTTCTACACTTCCCCACAATTCAGATGCAAAATTCAAATCAGTGCCATTACTGCTGACAAAAGAATGTATTGTATCGCACACATTCTCTCTCAAAACCTCTCTCAAAAGTCCCACCCGAGCCTCAGATTTTATTCCTTGCCTTCAAAATTTCAAACACCACAAATGCCTTTGTGTTCATCTCACCTCATAAAAGAACTTTGGTTTCAACTTCAGCAGTAAAATATTTCACAGCACTGACATGTTTTCCATCGATGTTTGTATGCAGGCCAACCGTTATTCCTGTCGCTGTACTCCAGACTACACAGGACAGTTTTGTCAGACAGTTTTAGACATCTGCTCAGCTGAGCCGTGTCTGAACAACGCAGTCTGTCTGCCGAGTGTAGACAGCACAAGCCACTGCATATGCCAAGCAGGTAAAAACCAGCATACTACAGTTGGTGTAGGTGACTTGCTCCATCAAAATGAGACTTAAGATGGTGTCTTGAGTACTTGATTGATTAAAAGTGCGTTGGAAGAGCGTGTGGAATTTATTGAGTAACTTTGATGTATCAGTGAGATCAAATCTTAAGATAGGCAGTAGTTGATGTTCATAATGTTTGCCATTGGTTAACTTGATGCTGTTGACTGGAGATGCATTTGTAAGAAAGGGTTAGTGCGATATATTTTTGTATTCATATGTTTCATGTATTTGTAAGGTTGTCGAACATCGTTTAGCTTGTATATATCTGTTTGCAAAATGTGGCAACTTCTCTGCTACGCATGCCTTGCCAAAGTTGGTGGATGTTCGTACCAATGTTCAAGATGCATATGTGTCTGTTTGAATTTCCTTCACAGGTTTCACAGGGATGCGATGCGAGGTGGCCATTGATAACTGCACACCCAACCCTTGCCTGCATGATGGTACATGTTTCAATGGGATCAACTCATACTTATGTGTCTGTCCACCAGGCTATAGGTTAGTTGAAGATGACTTAAAGTTTCTTCTTACCAGTCAGAAAGATTGCATGCGTATGGATACTTAGATAGATTGAAATCTATCCAAGTCAATCACAAGTTAAACATACGAGTCGGGCCACATGTAACATTGACAGCAAAAAAACTTTGTGACGAGACTTAAGACTGGATTGACTTATGATTACTTGTTGTAAATTGTGACTGACTCTGTTAAAACTTTGAAGCTCAAATTTATTCTGTTCTGCAGAGATTTGATTTTAGTTGCTAAATTTGCTTAATATTTTGCATTGTTGTTCTCCACGTAACTTTCAGTGCGATTTAAAGCACAGAATGGATGATTTGTGTTGTTTTTCCTACTTGCAGCGGGACTGAATGTGAGCAGGATATCGATGAGTGCGTGAGTAATCCTTGTCAGAATGGAGCTGAGTGCATTGACGGCATCAACCAATACGACTGCAAATGCAGACCAGGATTTCAGGGCGAATACTGCAGCCATCGTAAGATCTCCTATTGGATTTGTGATCAAATATGTATTGCTCGTACAAAATGTGGGTTAAATCTCCACGTACCTTTAACAACGAAATCCATTCAAAGGGAAAACGCTGTAAACGATTGCTCCAACTTCTTGGACTGTTTTTGCTTATTTTGTTTTAGTTCTTTTAATAGGTTTTCCATTCACTGACATCATATAGCTATTATTTTTAACACTGAGAATGCAGTCAAATATTATACCCATCTTTCTAACTTTCCTCTTCAGGCGTACCGTCCAATTTTGACATGGTGTTCCGACGTGATCATCCTCACCAGTATAACACTGTACATCAAGTCATTAATGAACCACTGGGAGCTTTCACCATCACGATGTGGATTCGATCAGTCACATCTGATGGGGTTATACTGACCTATACAACCCAGAGCACTGGACAGACACTGCAGAATGCACAGATTGCCCTGAGTCATCCTGGGGCATTGGTTGTCTACATTCAAGGGTGAGCTGTATTTATTATTGGCTACCCCCCCCCCCTTCCCCACATACAAAGGGAGTGTTTTAAAAGTCAAAACTTAATGTTCATTTGGATCATACCTTTTCTGCTAGAGAGTTTCATTGTATCATCAAGAAAATGCTCTGGCCTCATATGTTTGTCATTGTGTATTAGTATGTGAGCATGTAAGCTATCAGAAATTTAGAAGCGTAGCAGCAAGTGTTCACACTGCGAGTTTTCAAAGGCAACACATTTCAACTCTGACCAAGTTGGATCCGAATATGAAGAGTTTATTTCCAAAAAACGATATTATACGATATATCCATTTGAAAAAAGTGAAAATTTTGCACAGTTTTTGAAACTTTAAAGACTAAAAGCAGTATAACAGTTGTTTCTAAAGTTCATTTTTTGCATCTGATTGTATTCTGAAACTTACTGTGTAACAGCTGTTGATGTATCTTAATGCATTGTTTTTAAATCTTTGTGGTATAGTTTTCAGTTTTCCTCCTCTGTCTCTGTGAATGACAATCGTTGGCATCATCTAGCAGTGTCTTGGGACGAGCACGGAGGTATTCTCAAGATGTATCGAGATGGGCATCTGGTGCTGAACCAGTATCACATCAGATCCGGTGCCCGTATCAACAGTGGAGGGACATTCAATCTAGGACAGCTACCAAATGGTGGTGGGTACCAGTCAGGGTTGTGGGTGGGGGTGAGGGATGGGGGTGGTCTACTCTTTTTTTTGTTGGCAAAATCCTGTCTTTTTGGCTAAATCTTGTGTGTCATTATATATGCTGAATGTAGAAGTGTGACCTATTGTCCGATACTATCCAGTCTTGTTTGTTTGAACCACACCTCCAAGCCCTTCCGAACCTCCCCACCCCTTTTGTGATTTTTGTGGCGGCCAGTTCACCGAGAAAGGAAGTCCTAGCAAATTTAACCACAGAATGGTCTGTTGGTAATTGTGTGATTATGCCCTGCCCCTCCCTTTAATGATGTCTGGTGATGCCCATGGTACTGGTAGACATTTAGAAGTACTTGTTTTGGGTACAGTAGCTCTCTATCTGTGCTTTTTACAGTGTGGCTGCATTTTTCAGTCCTTATGTGACATGTTTATGGGTTTCCTCAAATTTTACCAAAAGATTTTGGTTTCAAGTAAGTATGGCTGGTTCGTTCTCGGCAGGACAGCAAATACAAATGCGATTTTGTGACGTGATGCAAATTTAGAAAAGTTGAACGTATTTCATCTGAAGCAAACATCACAGCGAATTGTTTGCGATATCAAATTCACTGGAAGTATTTTTGGCTGTCTGCCAAGCGATATTTTCTGCTCAATAGCAGATACATAGAGAGTAGCAACTGCATCAGAGAGGAAACAATTTTTTGTGATTTTATTTTATCCTCAGACGGTACCCAGACGGACACTTTCACTGGTTTTCTGAGTAACGTCAACATGTGGGATACAGCACTGCCGGTGTCCGCCATTCTGCCACACGCTCAGACCTGTGACTCTCTTGCCCTCGGCAACCTCATTGCAAGCCCTTACTTCATCGACAGGGGCTTCCTGGGAGAAATTCAGACACCATCACTGTGCGACAGTAAGAGTTTCATCCGTTCTAAGCACATTTTCTTTTTTAAATTGTTGAAAAGATCCATTTAGTTGGCACATTAGTTTCACATAGTTTCAGGTTTCAGAGTAATTTACTTTTCATGTGTATTGTTTCTTTCCAAGAATAACACCATTCAAAATCCAAAGACAATTGTTCAGTACCTAAACTATGCATGCACAACCTTTTGACAACAATGTTGTTTGAGTTTCCTTCTTCTAAGGAATAGACACAGTCCATATCATGTGTACAACAAGCCACCTTTCAATTTCATTGCACCAATCTTTGCTCACAGAAGCTGTGAAATTATTCCTCAAAAATGTGCTGTAAATTGCTTGATTAAGCATTGGTACCAAAAACCTTTCATTCTTTGAGGATATTAAATGAGAAAAAGGGCTTCAAATATCTATTTCACTGACTGACAGCAGTCCCAAATTGTTCAGCCAGCAGCCAATTTCACAAAAATGTTGCTCCATAGTTTACTCCACTTGAGAATTATTATATTGCGTGAGTTGTTCATCATTTTATGTTTCATAGTGCATGAGTCTTTGACTTATGTAACAAACTATGGCTTAACTTACGCAGTAATTTTAGGTGGATAGGGTTGGGTCTGCAATTCTTGAAGACTTATTCAGAATGATGTAAACATTATCCACTAAAGCTTTTCAATGTGAAGTTTCTTTCTTTGTCTTCCTGCAGTGGTAGACGAGTGTGCCTCCAACCCCTGTGCAGCAGGCAGTACCTGCATTGATGAAATCAATCGTTATATCTGCCGATGCCCACCGGGCTTCACTGGCCAACGCTGCCAGACAAACATCGATGATTGTGGAACGGGCCCAAGCCCTTGTGACAACGGGGGAACCTGTGTGGATGGAGTAGGCAGTTTCAGCTGCCAGTGCCTGCCTGGGTTTTCGGGAGAAGCTTGTGAGCTGAGAATGGGTAAAGAAACAATTTAATGATATTGTTTAATCCATTAGTAGACGAGTGTGGCCAAGTGGTTTGGGTTTGTGACTCATGATCACCGAGTGGGTCAGAGGCTTGAATCCTGCTGCTGGCCATACCTTGTGTCCTTGGGCAAGCCACTTCATCTTTATTTGCCTCTCTCCACCCAGGAGTATAAATGGGTACGGGCATTAGCTGGGGTACTAAAGTAACCTGCGATGGACTGGAATCCCATCCATGGGGAATAGCAATATTTTTCAGTTGTTTAATGCCATAAAATCCAGAGATAAACGCTGGCCTGAAGATGCATATTAGATCAGAACAGACATTAGCTTCTGTAACGCCACATATACCCTCCTGTAGGTCCAATCATTAAACTGTATTTTGTCCATTGATAGTTGATGGAGGCTGGAGTGAGTGGAGTGAATGGGAGGAGTGTAGCCGGTCCTGTGAAGGTGGCACTCAGTCCCGTCGTCGTTCCTGCACCAACCCACGCCCAGCCTACAGTGGCAGCACCTATGAAGGTCCAAATGTTAAACTGTGGTTGTTTTTCTTCCATTGGCAGTTGATGGAGGCTGGAGTGAGTGGAGTGAATGGGAGGAGTGTAGCCAGTCCTGTGAAGGTGGCACTCAGTCCCGTCGTCGTTCCTGCACCAACCCACGCCCAGCCTACGGTGGCAGCACCTGTGCAGGTCCAATCACTGAGACCCAGCAGTGCAATACGGCACCTTGCCCAAGTAAGTACAGTCACCATCAACGATCTCCTGATCTCATCCATCAGACTCAATATTGGTCTAGTGTAGATCAGTATAGTCTAGAATTGTGAGTGCTCACCTCATTCATTTGTGTGCATGAATTGACTTATGACCAGACTTGTGATGTACTTTATGATCCATTGTTTGTAACACTGATAGCAAACCAGTGATGGGATTTCCAGAAGGATAACTTAAAAACGGAACACATTATTACTCTGTTCTTTTCTCCATTTGCCGTTGTCTTACAGCCTGTGGGCATGTGAACAAGCCCTTCAGAGGAAACCTGAACTGCCAAGGTGCTGGTGAGGAGCAGAATTGCACCATCTCCTGCTGGCAAGGCTATGCATTCAGTCGGGCCATTCTACCCTCCTACCAATGTGGTCCCTCGACCGACTACAAGTGGTCACATGAGACTGAGGACAACCCAGGATTGGCTCTTCCTAAGTGTACAAGTGAGTTAATTATCACCATTCATTAGACATTGAATGTGACTCTCATGGCAAAAATTCTTCATAGAAAAAAGGTTAAGAAATGTGCAGATCAAAGGTAGCTGTTGACTCAATGTCATGTCTCTGCTAACATTGGAATTGTGTGCTAACGGCACTAGCAAAGAAATTCTCTGCTAACGCTGTGTTCATAGACTACTCTTTAGTTAAGTTAAGTATGCACATGCACAAGCCCAAATGCCTTGCAAACCAGCAAAATGCACTCACTGTATTAAAGTAAAAGCGTAAGTGTAAGGCTGTGGCTACAGCCATGTCACATAACACCTGAGTCTGTGGGAAGTGGCAACAGTCGGTAGCCAGTGGCTTCTAAAGTTGAGGACGTTATTCTAAGCCACAGCCACCTGCATCGAACAAGGGCTCAATCTAAATGTTCTGTGGCAGCTTGCAGAGGATTTTCACTTTGTTAAGTAGAGTAGTGAAATTGGGCTCTTTTATTTTTGAATTGGCTTGCTTGACGAGACGACAATGTCCATAGAGATCAATGTAAATCTCAGACATGCATTCATGCCATGATAAATTTTGTTTCAGCAATTTTAAAGATGCTGTTCAACAATTAATGTAATGTCTAGGTCAGGGTTGATCAGTGTAGACCATTATCATCTTGATTTTTCCATTCAAATCAACGTAACCGAAGCGAGGCTGGAAGAAAAATACTCTGGTTCCTTTTTTTCACAAAAAAGGTTATCATTCAGTACCTTTATTGGATACAGGAAACATGACTGAATTGGTGGCAGTATGATCAAGGTCTATTGTAACTGTGATTCCTGACTGCCTTTTCCCAGATTAAACTAGCATTTGAAGTAATGTCTTGATTAATCCATACAGTGTTCACTGTCACAGTTTGTACCGCATGAAATTTGTTGTCTCTTGCAGAGTACAAGCCGCCAATTAAGGTTGCCATGGAGATGAAACTTGCATACAGCAATGACCTGACCTGTGATGGGGTCAACGTCACTAAAGATGGCCTGGCATATCAGCGAGTCAACGATGCTATCACGATGAACCTACAGACGCTCAGCTGTGTGCAGGACAACTCTTGTGCTGTGAAACACCAGGTAAATGAACCTTACTTGATTACTATGGGAAAAAAGGAGGGAAATGATTACTGTAATACTTGGTAGGTGATATTAATACCTTTCAAAAACACTACATGAACTGTATAAGGCTGTGGCGTTTACATGTTTAAAGAAAAACAAATCTAAATCTAAAATGTTCAAAACGTTTAAACAAAACCCGCATTTAAAAAGTGACATAATAAAAAATTTTTTACATCGTGTATGTATTCAAAGTTTGTTTGTTGCGCATTTATGCTTCCATTTGTATGAACGTAACTTCATTTCAACTCCTTGTAATACTTCAGATCAGTGGCTGCAGTCCACATATTCCCGGGGACCATGCCCGCAGACGCCGACGTCGATCCCTCGAAGCGGTCCATATCACCATCAAGCTGGAACGTGATGTTGACATCCCTGATCAACAGAACCTGACCAATGAAGAAGGTGAGAGAGAAATGGTAGTGATGCCATTGGTATATCACAATGAATATCTGGATACTTTTTAAAAAATGATATGGTTTCCCTGAGTGAATCGCAACAGTTGCATGAGGGTATAGATGCTGTGCACAAGGGCTCCCTCAGTGGTTACAAAGAGAGAGTTCAGAGGGACTCATACACCTGGCAGTCATGCAGAGGCCATATTTGTTTGTGTACATTCACACGAAAATTAGTCATGTGTGTTTCATGCTGTGCACACGCCGACCAAAGTGCATGCATAGTTCTAAAACCCATGTACTGTTCCTGCATTGATCCCATAGCCGGTTTCAAGTTTACAAGCTGTATGCAATATTTGATGGCTAGCTCTGTGACCTGCTGACATATTGTGCTCAGTGGTGTACTGCTTCCTGTGATATTGATGCTACCTTCAACACGTGATGAAAAGAAAATTGTGAGAAAATTGTGAGTTTCATGAAATTTAGATTCTTGCTATGATTGCTGTTATCAAGGTCTTTCCTTACAAAAAAATGTCCGATGTAAGTTTTACTTCCGAGTAGAAATGAATGGATGGATAGCTAAAAAACTGATCAAGTACTCAACATGTATTGACTTAGCCCACTGTACTCCTTTCTCCATGCAACCCATCTCAGTGTTCAACCAAAACAGCTCCATTGAGGCAACCTATATGCTTCGTAACTCTGCTGGTAAGCTGATCAATCAGTCTACATCGGGCCAGTTTGCCATCAACGTAGACAGTCGGGTTTACGACGTGGACTCGGAGCAGACCAAGAGTTACGGCATGCCTGTCTGTCCCCCTGGTACAGTGCGTATGGAGGCAGAGGACGTACGATGCGGTAAGTGGCATTCTTGTTTCTCCGTCTAATTTTATAGCTTCATTAGGAGAGTTATGACTGTTCAACTGAATCTTAAACCTAAAGGTGACTGTGCATGTGCTCTTCATGCTTGTCCATTCCAGATTAGAATTAGGGATGACGGTTGGTTCATGTGCTTACATTTTAATACTATGCATTATTCAAAAATATTAATAGCACTGATGCTGGCGAGTGTTAAGAAAAGTCCAGGACATTGGTGATGACAAAGAAGTATTTTGTTCAACGTAGAAAAACTGGAATGACACATATTTTGTTGCAACAGAGTTTAAACATTGTTAAAAGGCTGGAATGATTTTATACACAACCTTAAAATGATCACATTAAACACTTTTCTACCATACCCTTGTTGATAAAGCATTGTTTTAGGAATGTCATAGAGGCAGTGTATACAATTTATGGAAAGTCATTTGTTTTACAATGTTGCAGTCTAAATGTTGCAGCCGAATGTGCATGTTCACAAATTTCACATCAACCTATCACGTTAAAATGCATTCAACTCCTTGTGATCCTCTGTAAAATTGTAGGGTCAAAGAAGAACCTTTTATAACAATCACTGTTCAATAGTACTATTTTCTGGTTGTTTTTCTACTCAGTTCCCTGCGAGTCGGGCTGGTATAACTACCTGGAGGATTGCTACCCGTGTCCACGTGGCATGTACCAGTCACTAGATGGCAGTACATACTGCCATGCCTGTCCACGTGGCCGCACAACCACCGGCCCCTCCGCTACTAAGGAAGGAGATTGCCAAGTCATCACCCTGTAGTCTCTTCAAAAGTTCTAAAAATCAGCTAGTCTCCAAAACTAGTCTGAGAAGCCAAGATTGCGTTTTGCCCTTCACTCACTGATTTCAAACAAACATATTGATGGTCTGTAAATGCTTCAACAGCAACAGCTGTCATCTACCTTGCTTGTACCAATACATTTAATTACAAACATAGAAGATGTTGGATTGCTTAGGGAAGCAGTGCAAATTTAAGCAGAGTTTCAAGAACAAACTTCAACTCATATTGCCTCATTTTTTTGTAATTGTTTATTATTCTGGGGGAAAGAATCCTCCACTGACTTTATGGAACTTTTGATGAGAAAATGTCCATCAAATTATTACAATCATTTCATAAATACCATTTCGATGATTTTGTTTGTACTGTCTCCATTTTTTGGAGTAGCTAAATGTAACAATATATTTCTCCTAATATAATATACTCAGAAAATATAAAATTTACTCAGAATTTAATCAGTCTTTGAATGACTTTTAAAGGCAGTTTGTTAAGGTGTTAATAAGTATTGCTGGATTTTTGTTTAATCCTTTAGCACTTGTATTACATTGTATTACATTGTATGTACTCCTCCATCGGCCATTGAAACCAAAGAGCGTTGGGGGGGTTTGGGGATATGAGGTGTTACAGGCAGGGCATTTTGGGGCGGTACAAGGGCTAAAATGTTATCAATATTTGCAGCTAATAGCGCATACATAATCAAGAGCCTGTTATTTGCTTTGCAAACAATCAGGAGTTACACTTTTAATATTAATAATACATGTACACAGATTGTTTTTTATGACAAGTGTTTGTAATGCTGTATTGAGATGAATTTATTTTAAGGATTTGTGTGTGTGTACTTGTTCAGTTTTCTGTCCTGAAGTCCCGGCCATTCGGTCAAATTGAATTGAGTCAATAATGCATGGCAAGACTCTAAATTTAGTGAAGAATGATTAGGAATCGCATGTTTGCCTGATAAAGTTTCATCCCAATGAACTTATGCAGCAAATGAACACCCTCAAAACTGGTGTTATGCAGTGTTTCCTTGAAAAAAATCATGTTTGTTTGTTGCACAGCCACTACCTTTAGATATTGCTATGTTGGGCTGTTGGGGTGTTGGTGTGTTTGTTTGGTTGGTTGGTTGGTTGGTTATTTTTCTGTTTGGACCCACAAATCTATTTTTGTTACTTATAACAGCGTGTTAGAATCCTATATTTCTCAAAATGTTTTGACAAACTTTGGTATGTATTTCTTCTGGAAAGAAAACACCCAATGATTCTAGGAGTGATTGTAAAAGCACTTAATGGAACAAGCTTCCATTTTCTGGTTGTTAATCATCATCATCAGTCAGTTATTAGTAAGTGTGAAGATTATGTTCACAATCCAATGTGCAAAGCTTTCTTGCATGAAGTACCATATGAGAAGAATCATACATTTTTGATTGATAACAATGTTTAGTATATACTCAGAATTTTTTTTTTTACTGAATTGTACCTGTAGTAATGAGGTTTAGTCAGTGCTTTGTCTATTAAAATGCATTTTGTATACACTTCTATTTGTCCATCTGAGTTTGTTATGGATAGATAAGGGTTTCCTAAAGCCGGGAGCAACTAGTGCAAGGTTCTGGGTGGGGAAAAGCTACTGAAAGTTAATGTCATACATCGGGATGGTGTTGGTACAAACAAGGTTTGGAAAGGTGTCAGGGGATTTGTCTAACCTGAATATTTTTTTTTGGGGGGGGGGGTGGTTAAAGGTAAGAAAACATGACATTGAAAGAAGGAAAAGACAACATCCCCACCACCGATAGAAATAAAAGGAGGACAAATCACTGGCAGAATCATTGGCGTCATCCACCTAAGGCCTACATCCTCTGTACCTGCCCTGTACTGTCCACCATTCCAGGTTCATTCCAAGTACTGTTGAAACAACATAACTTTTATAATGGTTCTTTTTCTTAGATTGGAGTTCCATTCCCTCACGTTTATACCGTTCCAAATTGTGTGTATTTTAGGGAGCAAGGTGATGTGGATGCATAAATGTGTTGAGAAAAAAAACAACCAATTTCTTCCTTTTGCTGGTTGCATATTAATTTCAAGCACAAAATATTAGTTGGTTTATTATTTTTAACGTTCGCCTGTGTTCAAGAAACACACAAATTCTCTCTAAAAAATACCCAACCAACCCATTCCGTTAAAATGGTCATTGCAATAACTCTTTAAAATAATAGCTTTAAAACAATTATAATGAGCGGACATTATGCAGTTATTCAAATATTGTTTCGGCGTCCAGCCCCTGCGAAACGCTGATTGGTGCACCCGGGGGTTTCGGTTCTGTGATTGGCTCAGCTGTGGGCGGAACATTTTTCCTTTTGTCTGGAAAACACGTGTGACCTTTTTGTACAGAGAAGCATTTTGTCTGAAAAGACGGGACGCCATTTTGTAAGATGCAACGAATATTGGCTCTGAATGTTTGTTCTTGAAGATTTGTGCAATAATTCCTGCAGCTTCCGCGAGTTTCCAGGAAGAACGATAACTTGAACATGCTGGGAGTCAGAGGAATGGTAAATTTCGCCATAAGTTTCTTGGTACGTTAATAATGGAAATTGGGAGGAAAGCTTATGATTAAAATGTGATTGTGAATTTTGCACACAGGACGACATTTCACCCTTTGCCATTGTTCATTCATTATCAAACTGTTGAACACATTGGCATTTGAGTTACAATTTCAACTGGGATCCCTTAAGGAAAGAATTCCATATACGTACGCCACTAATTTTTCCCTGCAATGACTCATCGACCACCAGAGAGGGATAACATGTCCTAAAAGTGAAATTTAGCAGGGAAAATATTTGAAGCATTTAGTTGGAAAACACTTACAATTTTTCAGCCCAATCACATAGGGTTTGTACTCAGGGTGTCAAGTGGCCAGTGGCGTACGTAAATGGAATTTTTTCCAGCTGTTCAAAACAATAAAAATTTCATTATTTATGCAAATCAAATATACAGAAAATTAACTTATAATCCTGAAACCACATTCTTTGACACTATCTGCACAAATAGGACAAATAACAAAGATGGTCTATGAGTGAATGACATTTGTAAGTATCTACAGGAGTTGTGATGTCATTTAATGGTCCTCTGTGAAATTTGAATTAAAATAAGCTAACTATTAAAGTATTATATAATCTGCAAAATGACTTTTGTAAAAAAAAAAATTGGTAGAGAGGAGAGAATGAAGTATCCAGACCCCACTTGTTTGGTTGTGTTTACAGTATTTTCTAACAAAAAAATATTTCTGGAAATGTTTCCAAGTCCTAGAATCATGTCTTTTAAACATTTTTGCAATGACTGACCTTCATTGAGGTGACGAAAAAAGTGGCCTCAGGACGCAACATTTTTCGGGTAGATTTGCAAAACCGGAAAGATTCCCATATCTGGCCATCACTAATTTTTACCCTCAGTGATCACTATCAGCCATCAGAAAGTGATATGCCCCCCAAAAAGTCAAATTTAATAGCTGGAAAAATATTGAAGTATTTACTGAGAAAACTCCTAGAAATTTTCAGACCACTGGTTTCATAGGGTTTGTGCACAGGGTGACAAGTGATGACCAGATATGGGAATCTTCAAAAACCATCACCACATTGAGGCCTCATATTTAATCAGCCAAAATTATGTGTGTTTGACAGTTTCTGTTTTCATGAAGGCAAGCAGATATGCCCTTATATAGGCCCAGGAGGATTTGCATGGCACAAGTATAATGACAGGAGTTCAAGAAAATCTTAAACATGAATAAAAAGTTAATTTCTCTTTTTTTCTTCTTTTGTACCAACGGAGGTCAGCATTCAGCCTTCTGATGGTTTCCCCACGGCTGGACCTCCAACTTCAAGAAGCACCATGTGAATAGAGGTGAGTGTGCAATGCTACGGCCACTGTTACCAATCATCATTCCATCAAAGCTAGACTAGGCATGCTCCCAAAATGTTTGTTTGTTTGGTCATGTCACAAAAAGGAGGTTCTTTTAATTGAAACTGTTCGGGTTTGTTTTCTAATATAACAACTAAATTAACAAAAACTGGCCTTTCTCTTGCATGCATTGTCCATTGTTTTGACGGAGTGAGGATTGGATACATAAATGTTACCCTATCAATATGAAATTTACCCCATTAAGAACTTCTCCCATTGAACTCTCCTGTCTTTGCCTTGTCTACTCACTTCATTAATTAAATTCCCCTTGGGAAAGAAGATATAAACAATTTTTTTTTTTTTTTTTTTTTTTTATCGAGAACAGATCTCAAATCATGGATGCATTTTGGCACTCTCAATGATCAAGGCTCGATATAACATCACAAATAAAATAATGCCCTAAAGTTGTCATAGTATCTTCTGTGAATTTTTTTCTTTTCTTTTTGCATTGTTGAGATCCAGTTGGGGTGGATAAGGTTTTTTTTGTCTTTGTTCTTTCTTGCAGTCACAAAATTAATATATTCAAATTCAAATGTCACCTCCAAGGTTGTATTAATTTTTTAACATGAATTCAGATTGTGTCATGAATATTTTCAAAAAGTTATATTATTAAAAAATGCAGCGAGATCAAGCAACATTTTTTTATAGTAACACATTTTACAAATGATTACATGTGCTCAGTGTTCAGTCATGAGATTCATATTTTTGTCACATTTTCAAAATTTTCCCTCTGAAATGTAGCTATCTTTTGGACGAAAGTATAAATAAATTCTCTTCGTGTAAATAATGTGTATCTGGATCTGGAAAAGATTCTACCTTTGACCCAAACTGGTTGCTTTGCCTTGAGATTTTTTTCCATCAGTAATATGACACTGGCCTTTTTTCTTCCCTGGCTACACAAAACCTCTCAAAGTTTAAGAAGAATAAAAAATAACTTTGTCACTATGTGATTATGTTATGTAGTTTTTGTAATAGTCATTGAATGAAAACAGTTGCACTGGGTTGAAATCCTTTGCAATGAAAGACTCAGATAAATGCTTTGAACCAATCATCAATTCTGCATTGCCAAGTTGTCATCAATTTGATTATCATATCGGTAATAATTCTTAAAACCATGTTCAGCGGGAAAAACAAGTTTACATTTGCAATGACAGGAACATTTCTACCATATCTTGCCATGCTCTTTGCTTTTCAGTCTAAATGTCCTATTCTTTCATTTGAAATGACACGGAAAAGCACACTAGCAAAATAGACCTGTCTTTTATTGTAATTGTTGAGAGCCAGTCTAAATACATGTACTTTCAATTGGATTCCAACATTTGGGTGTAAAAACAATATCACTAAAAAAATAATGTATTCTTATCTCTCTTTTTCTTCTTGCAAAAATAAGTCAATTAAAAAAGTATGATACTAATAGGCAGGTAAGTATATTGTCCCAGTTGTGGATACCCTTCAAATGTTGGAATCCACTTAAAAGGTTTAAAAGGAATCATTGAATTTCTGTGAATCACTAATTGCTTGTTCAGCATTTCACAAATTCTGGTTCTTTTTGTGTGTGTATCAATTTAAATAATTAATCAGATGTTGTACCATGCCAATATTTGAAAACTTCATGAAATGGCATTGTACAACATTAAATACTGACAGTAATTTTTAGGCCTACAGCGGCTAGAATTTCCAGGGCCAATTTCACTGGGCTTATCATATATTTTAGGCACAAAACAATCAGCCGGCAATACTAGCCAATATTAAAGGGAATGTACAACATTTGCTTTTGCTGCAAGTTTCAGAAACAATTGGATTTGGAGGATTAGTATGTTATAGCAAATATTGTTAAACTGACTTGCTTCATGTTTTGGGTTCGGAGGTGCTGGAAAATCCAAGAAAACCAACTATGTTCTTGTAGTCTGGTTCCGTAAGTTGAAACGGAACAATTTATAGACTTCAGGGAATCATAAGGTCACAGAATCCATCTAGCAGGCTTGTACCCCTTCACAGGTGTGTAATCAATTGCAAAGAAATGTGGAATAACTAAATATGAAAATTTAGGAGCAGTTTTTGAAAAAAGCCAGTTTTCTCCAACGCTGGTCGGCCGACCAGCATTGGAAAAATACAAGTTTTCTTGAAAATGTCAGCACACCAGGAGCCACGATTTTATAGGATGCTTTGAACTATCATTCCCTAACAATCCAGTAAGATATTTCGTGGTAATTTGACCATTTCGTTTTTAGATTTTTGCAAATGTTGTATCTTCCCTTTAACTCAGTGTGATAAAGTATATTTATAACTGAATTTTGCTTGAAATTTGTACGGTATTTGGTTTAGCAGCTCCTCCATTCATTATGGCACTGGTCCATTCATTCACTGAAACCCCCCCCCCCCCCATATTTTTGGTATTTTGCTTTAATAACATACATAGAAGATGTTTAACATGAATATTTGGACTCTACTTACTATTAGGATAGCTAATTAACAGCTGGCGGTCATTTTGAACCGAACTTTGTGGCCATTTTGAATTTAACTACTTGGCGGCCATCGTGGAAACAAAGTAAAAATTGCCATCATTCAGATAAACATTTAAAATTCCAATGTACTTAAGTCATTTAGAAGTGAAATGAAAATATGTCATTCATACCCTTTAATTTCCAATGAGTGAAAATTCAATTGAAACTAAAGGGACAAGACATTTAGAATAGGCCTATAATTTACTCAATCAAATTTACTCAATCAAATAGATTGAGTTTCCACTCCAGTAAATATCTTCATTTTAACTTTTTCAATCTGGCAGTAACTTTTCACTATAAATCCTTCAATCCCTACTTTTAGTGGGATGGTAGTGCAATTTCTGCTCTTGCAAATAAGAGTAAGACAACTCAGTGAGTTTTAAAGAAGTTGATTTTCATACATTAAACAATGCCAACACTTAAAAAAAACCAACGAATTAAGTTAACAACTATAGGAATATCTCCCTCAAATCTGTTTGAAGAATGAAATAATTTGTTTATTTTTTTTCAGCCACTGCCTGTACTTTATTGGTTATTTGCAGTGAATTTGGTGATCAGTGCATGCCTATGGCAATCTGTAACAGTTGACATTTAATTATTCAACAAAGTTTTGCTGAGTATATTTTGACACATGTGCACCCCACCCCCTGGATATATTCAAAATGTATACTCAAGAAAACTCTCACTGCAATCTGTTTTGTGTGTTGGCATTGTATAAAACCTTCAGTAGTTATTGTAGTTTGTATAAAAGCAACCCATGATGAAGTCAGAGGATTAGATGACCATTATTTTCTGAATATTGTTCATTCCTCTTTTTTGAAATTCAAAAGTTTAAGTCCAAAATGCAGAAAATGCTGCGGAAAGAATGTTGCAATCTGACGTCACTTCAGCAATTGTGTACAAAGTCTAGGGAGAGTCAGGAAAATTTTCTATGTATTTCCTGACAAATTTTTCGCAATGACTGATCTTCATTGAGATGATATACATGTAGATAAAGCAGCGTCAGGTTGCAACATTCTTTCCAATGCTGCAATTAAATTCTAAATACTTTTCCTACATTGTGAGTTGCCATGCAGGGGTAACGAAGCTATGGTTTCCTAACACTAGGGACAATGTAATTTGAATGCTGAACTTCCCCTTTCAATGTCATGGCCATTCTAAATATTTAAAGCCAAACATGTCTTCTTTTTTTTTAAAGTTATTTATAAATTTATGTTAAAATAACATTTTGTAGTATGTGCACACCTAAATTTGCAAATTTTACAGTCTTTATCAATTTCCTTGACTCTTTAAAAATGCAACAAGGCCTGATTTTGTTCACTGCCGAATGCGATGTTTAAACACATCCATGTAAAAATAACCCCCAGGAAATGTCAAAGGTTGTTGAAATAATTGTTTAGCTGCTGGTAATACCAGGATTTTTCAGACATGTTTCCATTAGAAAAGTTTCACTTAAATGTATTTGTACAATTAGAAATTTTACCAATGTTGTAGTATGCCAGCACTTCTCCAAATGAAAAAAAATAATCCAATGTATCTGGAATTCAATTTTATATTATTTCCTCTCCCACATCAGAATCATACTTGGTTTATTATTTTTCCACTATGAGTTTTGCTAAGTATCTTTTGACATATTTCATTTGGAAAATATTCAAAATGTATACTCAAGACAACTTGTTTTTGAAATTTTTTGTGGTGGCATTTTACAACATTACAATAATGTAGAATAATGTAGAATTAAATTGAAATTTGTGATCCTCACCAAACCAGTCACTGCGATTAAATTTTGAAAAACATGGATTTTGGGATCAATGGAAAGGACATTGAATAAATAATCAGTACTTTCAATTCCCAATGTTTGGACCTTGGAAAGATCAACAAATTGAGATATTTGTCAATGAAGTATTCCAAAAGAACTACTCATGAAACATACAAATTAACTTCAATGAAGTAATTAGCTTTAAACGTCTGAATCTGAATTTTGATAAGTTTTGCCTGTATAATGAATTATAGGCTGTATCTCAAAATATAACTGTGTGACTTCCGACTGGTTATGTGTTCCAGCAGCAAATATATAAATAGACATGACATGGACTTTATTTTGTCAGGACTTTGGGGATCCAAACTAGGAAAATATGGTTTCTTTTTTTCATGGCTTGAAAGCTCTTCTTAAATATATTTGTACTTGCAGTAGAGTACCAATTAAGCCTTTAATGACCTCAACTGTACTTATTTATACTTGGGTGGAGAATTAATATTTATACTTATGGTTGGACAATAGGAAAAAAAGTGTGCTTGATCCTTGGAATGGCCTAACATCAGGGTGTCAGTTGGATAAATTATCTGGCTGGCGGAGATGGCGCATGCATACCTTTGAAGGAAATTTGTTTATTACACTCCTCTAAAACCCTCCAATTAAGAAACAAATAATACCGAAGTTATCATAGAGACGTAAATTAGGGTAGTGGATTACATACAGTTGGTCCTTGGAATGGTCCATCAGGGTGTCAGTTGGGTGAGTACCGTGGCTGACGGTAATGGCGTATCCCTTTAATCTGTTGGTTTGGAATATTTTGTTTTAGAGAGAAAGGAAAGAATTAGAAATGCTTTTATTCATTTTTTTTTAGCTGTAGGTACATTTATATAATATTGGATGGCTTTGAGGTGGATTCAAAAATATATTGCACGAGTTATGACAATATTGCACGAGTCAAAGACGAGTGCAATATCATAGCGAGTGCGATATATTCTTGTATCCACCAAAAAAAAAAGCCATCCAATATTATTATTATTTATATCAGGCTGATTTGATCCGCAAGAAATACAATTCAAAACACTGTCCTCATTTCATCTTTTTCGTCAAACTATTTGAAGCTGCCACTGTAATATTGTTGACAACAGTGCACATACATGTGTATACCTGGCCTTCTGCGCGCAGCATGCGCTGATGCGCGCAGTGTTTTCCGTGTTCAATGGTACGCACGCACGCTATGCTCTGTTGAGTGGTTGACAACTGTGACTTTCTATGCTGTTGATTGTGCGGGAACCAGCGAAAATGCCCGGATGACTGCAATAATAATATTATTGCAGTCAACCGGGTACCGTAATGTTGCAGTCATCCAGGTACTTTTTATGGAAGCATACAATATGCTGATTTACTTTTACCGCTGGAAGCCTGATATAAATAATAATTAACAGTATGTTACCACAAATCTCTCGTGCCTAAACTTGCTTCCTTCTTACTACATTCCAGTTTTTGAAGTTGAGAAAAAAAATTGGCATTTGGACATAAAGAAATACATGTAGTATGTTTCTGATAGTTGTAAGTAGTTGGGTTTTTTTTGTAATATGTAACATATGCCGAAGTTGGAATATGACTTAACTTGCATTATTGTGTTGAATATGAGTGATCTCATGTGGGGTAACGTAAGCAAATTAAAAGTAAAGGTTTTATTCTGATTATTTGTTATTGCAGGCATGAACATGCTCTTGAAATTCCAGAATGAAAATAGGAGCCAGATGATTTAGAGTGTAAATCAGTCTAAATTTAGATTCAAATATTCTGAAAAGAATGAATCCAGTTCAACTTAATGAAAATTCAATCTATTCAATTGAATGAATTTCATTCTACAACATCTGGGCCCTATTTTCAGTCAGAGGGAGTGACTATTCACTTGAAAAGGGTGAATTTTCACTGGTGAAGAAATAAGAGTGTGCCCCTTGACCCATCTCTCCCATCTCCTTAATTTGCTCAAATTTATTTGTTTATCTACACTATTCATGGTGTAAATAAATGAAAAACATTATTTTATTTTTTACACCAACCAAAATTAATAAACCCAAAATAACCAAAGAAATCACCAAAAGATGTTCCATGTCTTTAAATTTACTTTACAATTGCATCACCGTTGCATTTGAAGCAGCCTGATGCTAAGACAGATTGTAGGAATTTTGCTGGTGTGCTTTCCCCTGTTATTTCAAATGTGAAAGAATAGTGCATTTAGACTGGTAGGTAAAGAACATATGCAAGATATTGTATGAGTAGAAATGTTCCTGTCGTTGCAATTGTTGACTTGTTTTTTTCTCATTGAACATGGTTTCAAAAATTATTACCGATGTGATAAGCAGATTGATGACAACTTGGCAATGCAGAATTGATGATTGGTTCAAAGTATTTATCAGAGTCCTTCACTGCAAAGGATTTCAACCCAGTGCAACTGTTTTCATTCATTGAATATAACAAAAACCACATAAAATAATCTCATCGTGGCATTAGTCATTATGTGTAAAGAAATATTTATCTCAAGATGGCGTCACAAGTGATGGAATTAAAAATCAACTTGTATGTGGCTACTTTCAAGTCAAAATGTGACTGACTTTTATGAGTTGACGGCATAACTGTGAGCACATGCTTTAATTTAACTCTTCAAACATTCATCCTTTGATACAGTCGGTATCTATCAAACTTTTTTTGCCTTTATGATTTTGTCAAATTTTCTTATATATTTACCTGGACTGGATCAATACAGTGCAACATTTTTAACATGATGGCTTAGTTTCCTCAAGCAGCAATTTTTTTTTTTATTAGAAGGTGTTCGATAACTGAAAAAAATACTTTAGGTGATGAAGTGTTTTAGACAAGGCAGAGTACAGATTGATTTACATATGGGAGAATTTTTTTTGCACCAGTAGGGTGGCCACAACTATTGCTCTTCACTTGCAAAATTCAAACATACCGACACACCAAATTATTTTTTTATAGAGACTTGTACAAATGTCAAAATATTTCCTTTATTTTGAATGCCTCATGAAACTTTACAGTCCTGAATCATCCAGTCTTAATATGTACTTTACACCACTAGGTAGTTTTGGTAGTTAAATCTGAGATGCATTTATTGTGGCCACCCTTGCCATTTTAAATTACGAGAGGCACTTTCTCCCACCCTTCTTCTTGACAACTGTAAAATTTACTGAACTAATGCATGTTATTCCATTTTGTTTTCCTTTTCTCCCAACATGTGCCGAGTCTGTTAAGGCTTTGAAGTCCGGAATCTATTGATGCTGCTCCTGACGTCTGGATCTGAGCCAACCGGTCGGACTCTCCTCTGGAAGATTGGATGGAATCGTCTTAGGGAAAGGGCAAATCTATGGCAAACTCATATCTAGAAACATAATCAAAACTAGAAAGTTTTGGCTGAAGAAGCATTCCAAAGAAGCTTGTGAGGCTTAAAAGATTTTCATAATTTTAAATAAAATAGTAGCAATTGTTATAACAGGCCTTCGGACTGTACGTTCCATGACATGAACTGTACGTTCTGTAAGTACACGCACTCATGAATAAAACATGTGCAAACATGGCGGCCCGCATGGTGAACCCCAAATGGTGAGTCTCCGCAATCTTGTCAATTCTTATCAACCTTAAACCAGTAACCTAACATGGTGGCAGCAGTGGTTGATACAGTATAAAATAACCGTCATTTTGCATTCCACTTTTCGCATGAAAAAGTGACATTTACGCTACAACTTTCGAACGAATTGTTGGGAGTTTCACGCACGCACGGGAACACGTAGACATCGCAATGACGCAGTCTGCATCGTTGGGGGCGGTATCCAGCGCGCCGTTAATTGGCCGTCTCGACCAGTACGACCAAGTTGAAGACATTCGCAACTACATCGAGCGTCTTAACCTCTATTTTGTTGCAAATGACATCCCTGCGGCGAAACAATCGGCAGTTCTGTTGAGTGCAGTTGGTGCTACTGTCTACAAGACTGTAAAAAGCTTAGCTGAACCAACTCCAGTGTCTGCAAAGAGCTTCAAAGAACTCTGTGATATGCTTGTATCACACTACGGCCCAAAGCGTCTAGTTGTAGCAGAGCGTTTCCGATTTTACAAACGCGAACAACACATGGATGAGTCCATCGCTCAGTTTGCTGTTGCACTACGCGATCTTGCCAGCCCCTGCCAGTTTGGGACATTTCTCGATGACGCCTTGCGTGATCGCCTGATCTGTGGCCTCCGAAGTGAGTATGTTCAGAAACATCTTCTGACTAAGGATAGCCTCACTTTCCAGAAAGCCCTGGATGTTGCAAAAACTCTAGAGACAGCCACCAAAGATCTCCGTGAAATTAAAGGAGCACACAATACGGCGGCTGTTCACGCGATGCACCCCAAACCTCGACAGAAGATGCCCCACAATCGATCGACCAAACCCAACACCCACCAGGCCAGGTGTCCCAATTGCGGATACGACCCAAGTCATGCTACATGCCCTGCTAGAGGCCAGAAGTGCAAGTCCTGTCACAAAACTGGACATTTTAGCCGGGTTTGCCGATCCAAACCTAAACACACGCGAGCTGTGATGGCACCGACTTCATCTGACGATGAGACTGAGTTCTTTGTAGGCTCCGTATCCAGTAAAAGTGCCCCATCACACACTTCCTGGCGCCAGACCATCCTTGTTGAGAAAAAGCCCATCAACTTCTTGCTTGACACTGGGTCCGAGGTAAACATACTGCCACTTCATGTTTACCACACCCTGAAGCTCCACAACCCGACCCTGCAGTCTACGACTACAACCCGTCTGTGCGGTTTCTTCGGCGGAAAAGTCCAGCCAAGAGGACAGAAACGCCTATCATGTGAAGTCAAGGGCAAGTACCATATCCTGACTTTTCTTATCATTGGCGATGGTGAGCCAGTTCTGGGAAAACATGCCTGTGTTTCCCTTAACCTGGTGCAGCGTGTGTACACCATGATAAATGATGATGATGTTTATGAGGGAACCGGATGCCTAAAAGGCCCACCAGTCAAGATAAAGCTGACAGAAAACGCTACACCACACTGTGTCCATGCCCCTCGTCGAATCCCACTGCCCTTGCACCCCCAACTCAAGGCAGAGCTAGACAAAATGGAGAAACAAGGAATCGTCACGCGCATCACAGAACCAACTGATTGGTGCGCCCCGATCGTGATCGCTCCAAAGAAAAATGGAAACATCAGAGTCTGTGTTGACCTACGAATGCTGAACAAAGCCGTGGCCAGGGAGCAGTTTAGCATACCTACCTTGGAAGAGGTCCTGGGTAAAATTGCCGGTGCCCAGTTATTTTCTGTCCTCGATGCCAAGCATGGGTTTTGGCAAATTCCGCTCCACCCTGACAGTCAGAAGTTAACCACATTCATCACACCATTTGGTAGATTCTGCTTCAATCGCCTGCCATTTGGCATCACATCGGCACCTGAGCTGTACCAGAGAATCATGAGTGATCTGCTGGTCAATCTACCGGGAGTTGTCGTCTACATGGATGATGTTCTTGTCACGGGTGCGACACCAGAGGAACATGACGCACGTCTCCGTCATGTACTGCAAATTCTACAAGGAGCTGGGCTGAAGCTTAATAAGGACAAGTGCAAAATTGCGCAAGAGCAGGTGCACTTCCTTGGCCATCGTCTCGATAAGCGTGGAATTCACCCTGATCCTGCTAAACTTGATGCAATCCTCCAGATGTCGCCGCCTACGACGAAGGAGGAAGTCAAACGACTGATGGGGATGGTGAATTGGCTATCTCGTTTCATACCCCATGCAGCTACAGTGGCAGCACCGATTAATGCTCTGATGAAAGGCGACACAGAGTGGACTTGGGGTCCAGCACAACGCAGTGCTTTCAGACACCTCAAGACACTGCTAACTACAGCCCCGACGCTTGCATACTATGACCCAACAAAGCCAACGATGGTCAGTGCTGATGCCAGCAGTTACGGCATTGGTGGATACATCCTTCAGAAGCAGGAAGATGAGTCCTGGAGACCAGTAGCATATTGTTCCCGAAGCCTGACACGTGCTGAACAACGATATGCACAGATCGAGAAGGAGCTACTGGCTGCTGTATGGTCATGTGAGCGTTTCTTCGTCTATCTCCGCGGTCTACGAGTGACGCTCCAGACAGACCACAAACCCCTAGTGTCCCTAATCAACAAAAAGGACTTATGTGATGCCCCTCTCCGATGCCAACGACTGCTGATGAGGCTGATGAGATACAACTGCGAAGCAGAGTACACCCCTGGTAAGGACCTGGTTGTGGCCGATGCACTTTCGCGAGCTCCTCTCCAGCGAGATAAAGTGGCCGAACCAGATGAAGATCTTGAAGGCGAGATCGAAGCACATGTCCACTTGATCACAACCCAGTGGCCAGCATCTGATGCAAAGCTGGTCGAAATAGCCTTAGAGACCAGTCACGACCGTACCCTGAGTGCAGTCATCACTCACGTCAAAGATGGATGGCCTAAGTACCAGAAGGATGTCGACCCAGAGTTGAAAAGGTTCTGGGATGACCAAGACAAGATCAGCCTAGTCGGTGGTATCCTCACATATGGTGACCGCATTGTGATTCCACAGAGCCTGAGACAACAAATGTTGCAGAGAATCCATGAGGGTCATCAAGGCATCTCAAAAAGCCGACTTCGAGCCAATCAAGCCTTGTGGTGGCCTGGTATGAGCACTGACATAGCCCAGTATGTCCAGTCTTGCCCGCATTGCCAGGATATGCAACCATCGCAACGCGCCGAACCACTCATGTCCACACCACTCCCACAGAGACCATGGCAGCAAATTGCCTGCGACCTAGCCGAGGTGAAGGGGAAGATGTACCTTGTGCTGGTAGACTACTATTCCCGATGGATAGAGCTACATCACCTCCACTCGACAACAGCCAAATCTGTGATAAACTTCATCAAGGCAACATTTGCTAGATATGGTATTCCCGAAGTGGTGGTGACTGACAATGGTCCACAGTTTTTGGGTGAATTTGACCAATTCGCTCGTGAGTACAACTTCCAACACATCACCTCCAGTCCCTATTACCCACAGGCCAACGGACAAGCAGAGAAAGCTGTACACATTGCCAAGAGACTGTTAAGCCAAGACGACCCAGTCCGCGCCTTGATGCTGTACCGGTCCACCCCTCTGCCTAGCCTTGGCCAGAGTCCAGCCAGTCTCCTAATGGGAAGGGAGATTCGCACCACACTTCCAATCCTGCCTCGTAATCTGCAGCCTAAGAAGGTAGATCACAACAAGCTGAAGGCTACAGACAACATGAACAAACAGAAAAGCGGACAAACCTTCAACAAGCGACACGGTGCAAGACAGCTGGATGATTTGATGCCTGGAGACAAGGTTAAGATCCGAACCAAAGGACAGCTGAGCCCAGAAGGTGAAGTTGTACGTCAGGCTGGGACTCCACGGTCCTACATCATCAACATCAACGGCACTGAGTACCGTCGAAACAGACGTCATATCTTTCTTCTTCCCAAACCATCCCTGGATCCAGTTCTTGACATCCAAACATCATGCAAGGAGACCAAGGATCCTCAACCAGCTGAATCTCGACCCACTCGAGTTACCCGTCCACCAGTTTGGCACAAGGACTACATTGTGTCTCAAAACTAGACCAGTCACACACTTAATCAAAAGAGAACAAACTAGCATTTAGATAAGCACCAAATGAATCAGAATCAACACTGAGACGCGAAATTACAGTAATCAACTTTTATTGGACATAGAACTGTAACGTGTTAGATCTGCAAGAAACCTCATCTCATCTGAACATTAAGCTGAACACTAGCAACTTTATTTTAGTCACAGAGACTCTCAAATCTCTCAACTCAAGGATTTGAACTTTTCAATTGATTCCAGTTCTTGGAATTTATATTCACATTGTTGTTTATTAACCAGTTTGTTTCTTTTAGAAAAAGGGGAGATGTTATAACAGGCCTTCGGACTGTACGTTCCATGACATGAACTGTACGTTCTGTAAGTACACGCACTCATGAATAAAACATGTGCAAACATGGCGGCCCGCATGGTGAACCCCAAATGGTGAGTCTCCGCAATCTTGTCAATTCTTATCAACCTTAAACCAGTAACCTAACAGCAATGAGAGCTGGAATTGTAAATGAAGGATTTTGCACAGTGCTCCTTGCAATCTCAAACAAGTGAAAACCCTTGCCATGGATTTGCCCTGTACACTCAAATATAAAGATGTAGAACCAGGCACATGTCACATTATATCAAGTCAAACATTGGTTTGTGCAGAAGTTTATGTGAAACAAAAATCAGAGAATTAAAGTAAAGATTTGAGCTCAAACTTGATAACTTTATTTATAATAAATGTTCACATTATCAAGA